AGATTTGGATTGTTGCAAGAACCATGGAAGAAAAATAACACGCCCAACGAATCACCAAATCTATGTTCTTAACACCACGTGTCTAATCTTATCAGTAACTATATCTATAGATACATATAATATGTTCGCTATAGAATATTCCAAATGATAGACGATTTGGTGTGCCATACATTCACCACCGAACTAACTGAACAATATATATCTTTCGAGATGCTTGAGTCATTTCAGAAACATAAAACTTAACTGCGAACTATTGTGGAAAATTGCTTCATTAGGTCACTAACTAACCCAAAATAGCATAAGTTGGCTTCAGACATGAAGTTTAAAGCAGTGGAGCATACGACATGCAAATCTAGCATCGGATGATACTTCGAGGACTTAATTGTACATAGTATTAAAAATGATTCCTTGAGATGCCTTATTTAATCATTGAGTGAACAGAAAAAATGCACTGTGGTGCACCATTTTTACATGACGACTTGTGATACAACCCTACTTCCAAGTGACATTTCACTTGTTTCTCATACTGGTTATGGCCTAAGTACTGCGTATAGGACAAAATGGCTGAATCTGCCTTTACTTATTCTCATTTATTATATCTAGGATCCTGCCCTGATTTTTCACTTATTTATCAACACTAGGCACGGGAAACCAGCTAACAAAAATTAATTCTTTTCCGTTAAATACCAATTGGTTCGTTCAGTAAAGGTCTCCCCACCAAAGAATTTCTTCAAAAGATACTGTGTTCGTGTCTTCGTTTGGCGTGGTCTAAAAAATTTACATAGGCAGATATCGATAGACGGCTGGTATAGTTCTATAGGCATATTCTATCTAAGCATAAATCTAATTAGTTATTGAGGATTGAAATCGTTTGGACTGATCAGCTTTTTTGATTCCGTTAAATTGCGGCCAATTTGGGGTTAGTTAAATTCGTGATCTTACTTGATTTGGTTGTAATGCGGCGTTCCCTGTGAATCTCAAGAATTCACCTAAAATCTGTCATGAGGAAACACTTGTTCCAATTGTTAAGGTTTTTTTTAGGAAAGAAGAGTTCATTTGGGATGTAGAATTAGATAAAAACATAACGAGTTATTATCGGTTTGCGAATGAACTATGCGTAATTACTAAATATAGCGTCTTCCCGTTACCTACGATATTATTTTCGGGTGTAAACAGGTGATTAACAAAATGAGATCTACGTAAAAGACTGGATTTATTCAGTTTATAAAGCTTATCAAGATCTCACACTTTGGTAAAACTTTTACCATTATCGGAGAAGTCCCTATGAGAAACTTGATAAACTATTACTAAACCCTCTACATTTTTCATATGCCGGGATTTTTCGAAAAATCACTCGATGATTTGGGGAGGTATCTAAAACGTTTAAGGAAACTTATGGTTCCCCCTAACTGGGGAAAGCTAATTTTGAATGTCTTTGAGGGAAACTCAAAATTTTTTAATGATTCCCCAAAGTTGAAATGTTGAGTTTTCACTCATAATGCTTGGCTATGGTCGGTTTTATTTGTGTAACTGATTTTTGTGTGACATTCTCCGAGTCAGTTCTCTTAAGCCTGGACCAAAATTTCCTAAATAGTAGCCTTCATTTGAATCGTTTCAATTATAGAAAAATTTATATTAAATTCATTATGCTCAGGGAACTAGAATATTTTTGTCCTGGAAAGGTTGATTTTATGCTTTAGGTATAATAAATTTCTTTAGAAGTCAAAATGCCTTTTTCTTTACCAGATGGCAAGTGAAAAAGCCGACCTTCGGCGCGTTCCATCCTCACTTCCCCTTCTTCTTGTTCTTGTTCTTCTTCTTCAAAGTAGACTTTATTTTGGTGAGAGCATCAATAAAATAGGTGCAACTCGCTCGTGGAGTTAAGAATTATATAATTTGCAAGGTTTTCATATTCTGATTACTGCGAAGCGTCATAAAGAAAGATCTATCACCCTCCTTGATCATTGACGGTCCCTCATTACTTGGAATCAGTTTTGGATTAGATACTTTCAGAATTTAAATAATAAGGTTTCAAAAACTATCCATGCTTAAATGAGACCTAATTTGAGGCTTCCAAAAACGAAAGACACCAAGCATATAAGCTGTAAATAACCACCAGTCAAATAAACGGTGTTATTTCACAGGTCACTTGAATTACTCAGATACTTCTTGGTACCAGGGTGTTGTTTCTCTGATTGGGAGAACGAAAAGCGAGTGTCCGGCGCTATAACCGAGTTGGTGGGCCCGACAAACCCACTTAGGGCTTTTCGAAAACTTTGGATACAAACTAATAGTGCACATGGGGTCCATAATCCTTAAGGAACAACTTCTATGTAAATACGTGTTGTTAGTTACCAGGTACTATGTAACTGTATCTCCTTAAGTTTCTCCACTTCATTGTAGATTAGACTTTTAGTTCAAACGTTCAGGGTGTGACCTTAAAACAACATCTGCTTCAGTTTGGGCATTCAATAGCATCTTATCCCACTCACAAATTCAATAATACGTGGAGCATAAACATTCAGGTATCTTTGTTGCATCAATGTTTATGTGTCTATATGAAATAATAAATCAACTTTCCTATACATCAGTCAGTCAGTTACAGCGTAGAACTTTGTACGCACGTACATCAGTCCAGCTCTTCATACCACATTAGCACAGAAAGATCGAATTGTCAATTCAAATCCGATTGTAGTAAAGGTAGTAGAAGTATTAGCAGTAATCGGAGAGATTAGAGTTTGAGGATATTATTCAAGAAGTAGAATCTAGTGAAAGAAACTTAAGTAGAAAAAGATAAAAATGAGGAATTCAGAAGGTTAGGACTTGAGAGAACACAAAGAATGAATGCACCTCCGCCATGTCGTTCAAGCTCTCCAAGTATCAATTACTATCGTCTCGTGGACCCCAACCAGGTAGTCGACACTTGCCAACATGACTCAATCCATTTGTCAGTTATTCCATGGATTTGTGTGATGTTTTTGTTTGGCTGCCCCTAGGTTTCTTCCACCCAATTCCTACATCGCAAAACAGCTCAGTGAGGCAGTCAGTGGTTGGGCATTTGTAACATATGTCCCAAACACATCAACTGATGAAGTTTCAATACTTCGTCTATTGACCTGCCATCCTTACCTAGCACCCGTTTTCTAACAACAGCATTGCTTGCTCGGTTGTCCCAGGATACACTAGCAATGCTTTGAAGACACCTATGGTCGAACGATAGCAATCTCCGGACATCCTCTAATCTTCGTGGTCATGTTTCAGACCCGTATTATGGGACGGAGCGAGCTGCTGTTCAGTAGACTCACCCTTTGGTTAGCAAACGGATATCTCGCCTACTCCAATCGAGCCTTTTGTATTTGTGCTGAGATTTCGTCAGTCACCGGGCCATCATTTCTGACGAGACTCCCGAGATAAGTGAAGCGTTCAACACGCTCAGCTGGTTTACTCCCTATCACCAATTCAGGTGCCGATACAAGCCAACCCTGGAGCAACATTTTGCATTTCGACGGGGAGAGTCGCATCCCGAACATGCTTGCATTGTTACTTAGGGTAGTCAGAAGACTGCATTTTGTCAGCGTCTTCACCAAGTAGATATGTGTCATCGGCATATTCTTAGTCAGCAAGCGAGTCTCTTGGTAGAAGGTTCACCCCTGAAAAGTCAGACGAAGATGAAGTTAACTCTAAAAGCATGTCTATGACAAAGTTTAACAAGAATGGGGAAAGTGGACATCCCTGACGGACACCATATAAAGTAATCGATTCTGATGATAGTACGCTATGAGCTGTACCTCGAACAGTAGTGTTCCATTAGAGAGCTTGTATAAGGTTAATATACTTCTTTGGTACACCTTTCAGTGACAGCCGCTACCGCAGAACCTGTCAGTCGACAGATTCGAATACCCCTTTAAGGTCCAGGAAGACAACTATTGTCGGACGCCTAAATATGTCTGTGTTCCAGGACCTGGCGAAGTATGAATATGTGGTCTATACAGCCACGTCCAGGTCTTTAGTCTGCTCTTCACGAGCTCCAGTTAGGCGTCTAAGTATAATCGAAGATAACAATTTAGACATTATATTAGTTAAGTTGATCCCTCTGTGATTGTCACAAGAGGACTTTTATCCTTTCTTATAAATTGGGACAATCAAGGATTGAGACCTGTGAGATTGGATTGCTTTCAGTTCCGAAATTCTACCTAATATCCCAATCAACGTTATAACTCTTGTAAATAAAGATCTAACTCTCAGGGCAGAGTTTAGATGTTCGAATTGTTTTTTATTGTTAGTGTTTTTTTAGTTAAATCGTTTTCTGCAGGATGCATCGCCAACATCATACTCAACCCTCCTCCTTTATCCGGGCTTGGGACCGGCAGTAGACCCGCCTGGGCCCAAGGCGGAATTCTATTCTTCTTCAAGATCTGGATAGTTTTGGCATGAACTTTGTTAAATATGGCAATGCCACAGTGCCATTATACATCTATTCCTCCTTTAGAAATAAGAAATGAAGTAGATGAGCTCATTAGTTGCTTCGGTTTTTCAAAAAGTTTGAGTCAATTGTAGTAGCTTGATCGCTGTCAAAATCATTAGGGATTCTCCAACATCTGCCATTGTATGTGAATTTATATCCAAAGGTTACAGTATCAAACAACGATCTCTTTTGTTCTATTTAGCCCTGACAAAGGAACTGTTTTAAGCACAACCTATAGAAAGCACTAAACAGTATATATCCCTCACTGCTAAGAGTAAAATATGGTTTGTAAGTTAGTTTCATGATTATAACGTATGTTAATTTTCTCATAGTGGCTATCATTAAAAAGAAGCAGCAACCTACCAAACTACTTTGTTTACTAAGAACCAGTCATTTTTCGTCTCACCCTTGTTTTCACTGTACACATTTTTACGACCATCTTTTATTTTGTAATTGAACTATCCATGTTCTTAGCATCCATAATCTAACTCTTATGTGCTGACATAGATACATGTGAAACCGGTTTATTTTCTCAGATGTCGGCTGAATCTGGTACACTTTTATACAAGGGAACTGCGACTTCGAAAGTTGGTAATGAAACTGTCTTAGGGACTCCCGTACCTGTTGCACACTCAACTGTTGGTTACGATAGATTTTCGACTAACCACAAACATTCCCGAATGCACTTAAATGAAATGCAGCAAACATCTCCGGCTTTCGAAAAACAAACGTATGTTATCAAATCATCTAGCAGAAATCAAAATCGCGACATCCCTAGTTCTAACAAGGAAGAATTAAGCATCCTAAATATTGACACGATAAAGGGTAAGTGTATTAACCTAGTTTTTAATTATTTTCTAGGGCTTTCGGATAGTGTGTTAGATCGCAGTTTACAGGGTCCTAAATACAATGAAGTATCAAAAAAATTAGGTAGGTTATTATATTTGTTCTTAATGTCTAAATCAATCATCACACAATATTAATAACAGTATATACAGGGGCCATGATTCGAACAATGAACTTAACCTTTATCCAAATAATACGCTTGATAAATTGAAAGGGAAACACTAGCTATTCAGTGTAAAGAAAAGCATGCTAACTAGTATAAGTGCGATATATTAGTTGAAATGTATGAGTAACATTCATGTGTCAAGTAGACAACAATTTCTTGCCGATTAAAGGCTCCCAAATAAAAAGACCAGTAATGGTTAAGAAACAGAAGACCAAAAATTATAAATATTTTAAGACAAAAGTACTGGTCGAATCGTCACGCTACTAATCATAATTGACTTTGGCATTATACTTAATTTACTGTTTAGTTTGTAAATTATATTCTGATTTTTCGATGTTTGACCAGCTTTAGAAAACAAAATTAAAAAAATGGATACTTTCAATGTTGAACAGTGTCAGTCACTAGCAGATCTGTCGACTGAAATAGAGTCAGAACCTCAGAAAATACAATTCGATGATGAGGAATTGAGGATGCTTGAAGAAGCTTTCAGCGACTTTGATTGTGAATCATCTGAAGCAACTGCTCCAACTCGAGTTTGTGAAACGTTTGCCCGCCAAATATCGTGCAAAGCACCGGAAGTTGGCGAACAATATTCGGATGGCAATAGCACATCAGTCCCTTCTCTGTCATCCAACGAAGGTATCTGTGATGTTGATGGTAACACTACTGTTGTCGATCAGGCTAATCCCAGTGCTTCTACCAATTCAAGTCATATCCTTGAGGTATGTGAGTAGAGCTTCAATTTCTTCATTTATTTATTTTTATAGTGTAGGACATGCTAATGTTAAAAACATATTTTTATATTTAAATAAATATGTACACAAGTTTAAAAATCAAAATTTTGTCTCCCTTTTAATTGATTTCTCCTCAGTTTTCTTGAAAAAAGCTCAATAGATTGCAAAACAGAATACGCTACTTCTCTAAAGCTTTTCTGAAAAGATATCCTAGAAAATTCGAACCCAGAACCTGGACAGTCTCATTAACCTCATGGTGAATTATTGATCAGTGTAATGATTGAGTATATCTGGAAGTTCAAAATAAACTGGAATATATATATATATATATATATATATATATATATATATATAACTTTTTGTATAGGTTACTTCGGTAGTTATCAACATCACGATTTTTTAGTTGTGACCGAAATTATCCTACTTTATGATTTTTCAATTTAGCCAATTGTTTGTTTTATATAGTTTCTTACAATTGCATGTAAATGTATTTAAGTGATGATCAGACGATTCCCATCACTAATAAGTTTGAAATCTTTCTAGTGAAGACTTAAGGAAAAAGTGTTGACATATTTGCCTTCAAGTAAAATACACTCAGTACATTTTGAAAGCTATCTAAGTTAATCCAACGCAACGCGATAACGAGTGACTGAAGAAAAGTGCAACACTTTCATCGATTATATATTGTAGCCCGTTTAAAATTAAAAAATGCATATATCTGCAATCCTATCGTGTTAGAACTGTTGATAATAAAAACTGAGCATTTATTAACTATCATGTGTGATGTGACTTATTGTAAAGAATACATCATAATGTAATAACAAGCAGTAATACAGGGAAGGGATAAAATAAAAAAATAAGTCACATTATATCTCTCAAATCTTATCAGTAATTTTAATCATATTTGTGAGGTTCTAAGTCTGGTGTGTTAAGAATCCATCTATGTTTCTCTTTCTTAATGGACGATTCATTAATTATAGTGATTGTAGATGTTAAACACCTTTGAAAATACCGCATAAAATCCACACGTGGAAGTACCATCTACATATTTAAGAACAAGTTGAACCGGGCCACTATTTCATTGTCTTTTTGTGTGTGTTTACCTAAATATCTCATTTACATATTTTGTCCCTCGGCATACAAAATTAATAGTATTATTGTGCTGAATTTTCTATTCATCTACAGGTTACGGGATTACCAACTTTAGTTTCAAAATGTTATTCAAAAAACGCTGTTGAGAAACAAGCGAGCTCTTCGAAGAATGAGTGTGGTCAATTCATTTTAAGACCTCAAAACACAAATTACTCACATTTGCCTTGCCTTACTGGTTTGTCCTCTGTTTTTGAAGTTGACTCAACTGAACCAAAAGTACGTTTTTAAACTGTATTTAAGCCTGCTCCTGTTTTCATCAAAAATTATATGAATTATCATTAATATGAATAAAACGGAAAACAACTGTTCCATGTTTTGATAGAGGAAAAGCCATTAAAGTGTATGAATCCTGTAAAACGAAGAAGTAGTTCCACTCAGTGAAATCGTTGAAATGACATAATCAATTCTAGTATTCGTCTATGAACCTAGTCGAAAATTAATAACCAGCATTGTTTAACTTTCTCGCGAAAACATACTGCTATCGAGAAAAACTAAATGTAATACCCACATATACCATACAATATTACGGTTATGTACATAGAAAGTGTATCTTTCATTTTTTTAGCTGTAGAATTAGTAATGCAGAGTTCATGGCATACCTGTGAGAGTGTATTATATGTATTTCTTTAGATGTGTTATTCTCTAAACTGATTCGACTGATTGTGAGGTTTTAACTGTCCTCCTGGACAACATCACTACAACATTGGAAAGGATCTTTTCGCATTAAAATAAAAATAATAATAATAATATTTCCCGAATGGAAAATATATTTTAAACTTACTAAAATTCATCTGAAGTAAATGAATTAATTAAACGGAAGATAGTCTGTGATAACTTCTAAAGATAACCTCATATAGAATTCGTTTATCGTACAACTTCAGATGTGCTGTTTGACTCTTCTCTACTGACTGACTTTGAGGACGTTACAAGAAATCATCAACTGTATTAGAGAATTACCTTCATTCTCAAACAAATAAAGGTTGTGATATGTGAATTATTCAATTAGATTTATCAACATCTCTGAAGTAGTATATAGTCATAGATCTACTTAAATATAAACGTTTTAACCGAATTTACAAGTGATATATACGTATACTTATTAAGTCATGAAAAATCTGTCGTTGAAGTTATCACTAATCATTTAGGTGTTTTGAATATGTTAAACTGAAAATACTTTACTAGGTTGGCCAGAACGTTTACCTACTCATTGATGTGACCTTTCGAAATATGTCAGGAATTTCACATACCTAATATGATAAATGCTTTGTGAAAGCTAGTTCATTACATGCTAATCTAGACCATATTTCCTGCCTTAATGATGTTGTTTTAGCACAACCATGTAGTTTATTCAATCTGGGTATTCAAGACATTTTTGATCTGTGAATTATGGCAATGCATTTAGCCTTTTAGTAGAGTTACTCTTTTTGTAATTGACCTTGGCAATCGAAAAACATTCTGTGTTCCACTAGTTATTATAATGATTTCATTTTGCTGTTGATGGAATACACTCGTAAAAGTTTAATAAGATAATGGAAGTAAAGTTATTTGTATCAGATCATCTGGAGCTCCATGATCCCAGACTACATCACAGATACTACAACCTGTAAGAATCAACACGACTTGCAATTATGAAAGTCGTTCTGCAGTTTCCTCTTATCTTCTGTACAAGCAGTATCACGGATTTTTGAGAGAGAAGCTAAGCTCACGTTGATTCGGTTATCCAAGTTATTGACTTATCTGTTTAAAATTCTACCAAATTTCCTACCACCTTAGATATTTTTACAATTTAGTAATTCGTATTTTAACCGTGAAATTTTCTTTGTTAACTTCCGTGCGAAAATGTAGGTGACAGATTACCGCATAATATGATAATCATAATAATGACAATAAAAGATAATATATTATTGATAACTAAGTGTTTATTAGGGTTATAAATCATACACAGGATTTGAACAAATAAATAGACTAATATGGAACTAATAAACAGTAGATTACGTTATGTAATTCAACTGAAATATGCTTTGTAAACACTAGTCAGAGTATGAATTGATAAGAACCAGAAGTATATAGATAGTGATTTAAAGAATGAGAATCTGTTTTAGAAGTAGGTGAAAAAAAGGTGATCTTCATACATATTTAGCTTGACGCATGGGTCCTTATTTTAATCTCGAGTGACAGACGGACCATTAATTATTATTTCTACTACTTTCGGAAAATACGTTCGTAGTTCCACTGCATTAAAAGTAATTAGTCACTTTCGGTTTCTGCGGTTGAAACTCATAGGCACTAAATGTGGAGAAATTCAGTAAGTATATAAATATCTTATTTTATTTGATTGGTATATTTTTGGTTATTATTATTTCATTATCATTCGGTCAATTTAGCTGACGCAGAGTTATTCCACTGAACTTAGTAAGTAGTTACATAACAATTAGATTATTATAGTAGGAACATTTTATCATAATCTGATGACTAGGGTTATATTTTGTTTACTTACAGTAGAAACGTCTAGCTGTTGACTTAATCGGTCTAATATGAACTAAAAATATGGTAAAATGATTGTAAATTTTTATCTATATTCACAACCATCAAACTGTGATCATGCTGTCCTAAAATTGCGTTATTATCCTCAGCGAAATTCTTCTCTCAGTTTAGTTGGTTTTCGGACATTTAAGTTACTTTGTAGTATTTGTTCAGTTGGTTTTCAACGACTCAAAAACGGAAAATGATATATTCTAATCCATAGCTATGGGTATGTTAACGTTGATTGTATCAAAATATTTATCCAATAACTTACCTATAAAAACTCAAATATGACTGTGCACGTTTCAAAAACTACCATGTGTGAATCGTCCTCGTTAACATCAAGTTTATAAAATAACCATGTTTTTCAAGTTTTGGCTTTATTATTAAAACACTCAGTTTTATTTACTTCGATTTGGGCAACCAGTTAGCCACAATATCCGCATAAACGATATGGCTCAAAGCTCAGTGCATATATCCGTATTCGGGAGACTACAATTTATGTATGAGCGATTCCAAAATTATGTTAATGAATTTCTACCATTTTCTGAGTTCAAAATAGAGTATGTATTAGTATGGGGAATTACAATTACCAATTATTGCTTTCATCATGAACTGAAATAATCTATAATACCGAAATTTTATTTAGTCATATGGATAAATGTATTTCGCGTGAACATCCGATAGGTTATATTTTGGATTTAAGTTGTTCATCCATAAATTTTAATCGCTTCTCTATCAATAAATCAGGTGTTTCTAGCAGGTTAGCTCACACATTATTTAATGTTCACTATGTGGTGGCAAAAAATCTTTTTTGAAAAAAAAATAAACTTGAAGCATTCTTCACATTAGTTTGGAAAATTTTCATTTTGTTTTTAATATGTTACGTGCTATCTCTCACTGAGCTTTGAATTTAAAGAATAATTCACGAATTACTATCTTAACTCTAGTTCTCTTACCCAAGTTCGTTTGTATTGCCTAATTTTACCTGCATTAGCATACATAAGTAACTTTTGTTAGTCAGGGAAAATTCTCCTGATTGTTACCATTGCGATTTTATTCTATTCATCGAAGTATATTTTAAAAAGTGCTTAATCGGTTTCTGTTTCTTTTTTGTGCATTCTTTTTAATGTAACAGTCAGATAATTGCATACAACCTAGTTTATGCGTAACAACTACATTGCCTTTAAAAGTCGATCAATCCGTAACAACCTCACCAGTACATACTGTAGTCAGTAACTCCTCAAACTGTGCAAACAATGAACCAGTTCAGTCTATGAACATAAATAATACTTTATCAACCCAAACACAACTGATACATCAAAAATTACCCAATCAATGCTTAAATCCTTCACAAAAAGTTGGTAATCTTAATAATGCTAGCAGCTTAAAACTGAAAAATTTCAATCAACCAGATGTATCACAGGTTGATATCAGTTGTCTACATATGTCCGATATTGACGGTTTGCTAGATATGATTACTGCTATAGGTAAACAACCAGAAGCTGGCAAACTGGAATTGTTTCCTCGTCAAAATAAATTATCTTCACATTTAGAAAAACAACTAATGGCTGTTAGACAAGCACTAACATCGAATCTTCCCAGCAATACAGTTGATTCTAATAAAATTTCATCTAATGTGAACGGAAAACAATCAAATTCCTCACAATCTAAGGTAAGCATTACAAATTTTTGTTTGCTCATTTACTAAACACTACCAATCACATATTACCTTCAATTTCGGTACACTTGTAAAATTATATTTTATGACATTTATTATCAGAAAGTAATTTTCCTCCATTTTTATTTTGTACATATATTTCAATATTGCTGAGAACTAGTTCTACTCATACAATTTCTCACAGATGCTTATAAATATTATCAACCTATATATTTTAGATTCAGTATCATCAAATACTTTACATTCTTTTATCCAATTTGTTTCTTTTGAAAATTATTTCTGATGGTCAGTTACGACAGGTATTATTTTCTCCCTTTTACTTCTCATTTTGTTAACTTGTACCTTTATACTTAAGTTTAGTATGACATTTCAAACCACATTCCGCGTCAATTAATGACGTAATGACATCATTCAGGCAAAAGGTACAACCACTTTTGGTTAGCTGTTTCAAACTTTCCGTTTTTAACTTTTAAGATTATATTGTTTAATAAATTTTCTTCGGTGTATTCTTCAACATTTCCGTCAGCTGTAACCTGATGCTATTATTTTATACCGATTGACAGTGGAATGAAAGATACATATTCCGCAACATTTAGAGATACACTTCACCACAACATCAAATTTGTACTCATATCTTTTTATAAACTTGTTTATTTTCAGATGGATGCGTTGAAAGAAAACATTCCCCCTGTAAATATAACTAATTCAGGCCAGAATTTAACACACAGAAGAACACTCTTTCATCATCCCAATGCAGGTGCCCCACCCATTTCTACGAATCCGTTAGCTAACTCCCATTCAGTTCCTACGACTAGCGAAAATTTGTTAGTTCATGACGGATCTGTAATTTCGCAAAAAGACTCTTCCTCCCCAGATGTGTTTACATCCCAAAATGTTCCCATCCTATCAAATACTAACTGCTTAATTTATGCTGGTGCGGTTTGTGGACAGATACAGTAAGTGACATTTTTAATCAAGTCTATCTTGAAATATGATGTATCTGATCCTATGCTGCAGAATGAGGCTTAGTGAATATAAACTTACTTATTTATACCCCTTATGGAACATAGGCCGCTGACCAGCATTCTCCAACCAACTTTGTCCTGGGCCTTTCTTCCCAGTTCTTTCTAATCACTATTCATTCTTTTCATGTCTTCCTCCGATTCTCGGCACAGTGTGTTCACTAGTCTACCTGTTTTCGTTTGTCCCTGAAAGTTCCGATTTAGGGTTTGCCTCGTGATGCAGTTGGGTAATTTCTGCAACGTGTATCCTATCTACCTCCAGCTGTTTTTCCTAATTTCATCGTTAGCTGGAACCTGCTTTGTTCTCTCCTGCAGTAGTTTGTTGATGATGGTGTCTGGTCAACAGATCCAAAGTATCTTTCACAGACAACTGTTAATAAACACTTTTATCTTTTGGATGGTGGTTTTGGTAGTTCTCCAAATTTTTGCTCCATACAATAGAACGGCTTTGACGTTTGCATTGAAAATTGTGACTTGGTTTTGGTTGTTTTAATTTCCATATGCGCCTCAATTGTATAGATGCTACCTCTGCCTTGAAAATCTGTTTCTTTACACCTTCGTTAGACCCACTCTTGCTCACCAATGATGCTGTCCAGGCATGTAGACGTTCCCACATCTTCCTAAGCTTCTACATCTAGTGTTACTTGGTTGGTGCTTACTGTGTTGTATCGGAGGGTCTTGTTTTTTCCCTTGTGCATGTTGAGACCCGCTGCTTTAGAGACTGCTGCTACACTGGTCGTTTTCATTTGCATCTGTTGGTGTGTGGGGTAGAAGAGCCTGACCGTGTGCCCAGTTCATATCCTCCAACTGCATCCTAGCTGTCCACTGTATTTCGTGCCTCCCCTCAAATGTTCACATCTTAATAATTCAGTCAACCACCAGAAGAAAGAGAAAGGGTGAGAGTAAGTAACCTTGCCTGACACCACCTACACTCGGAACGAGCCTGTGAGCTGTCCCCCATGAGCGACTTCGCAGTTTACTCTATCATAAGAATTCCGCATGATGTTGACTATCTTCTTGGGCTCACCGTAGTGTCGAAGAAGTCTTCTTAATATCATCCTGTCCACGTTGTCGAGGCATGCGATGTATCATAGTATGAGTTCCATTCAATCGATTGTTTTACAATGATCCGTAGTGTCGCGATTTGGTCAGCACACAAGCTATCTTTACGGAATATAGCCTGTTGACCTGGGAGTTGAGAGTCTATTGAATCTTTTATTCAGTTTAACAACACTCCTCAGTATACTTTTCTTGGTACTGAGAGAAGAGTGATACCCCTATAGTTCTCGCATTTCCTAAGATCTTTCCTTGGCATCTAGATAAGATGTCCCTCTTGCCAGTTTGTTGGAACTCAATTTTCCTCCCAAATCTTGCTGAACGAAGCATGGTATATTATATATACTTTCAGTCACCGCTGTCTGCTTTCAGTGCCTCCGCTGGAATGTCGTCTGGTTCTTCTGCTTCACAACTCTTGATTTGTCTGATGGCCGTGTTGATTTATTTGATTGTTAGTGTGTCAACATCAGTCAGGAGGCCTGTAGGTGCTGCTCCGATTTTGAGTGGGTTCAACTGGGCAGGTTCATTCAAGAGTTCTTCAAAGTGCTCTACCCACCTGTTTCGCCATTCTTCAATGTCGTTGATTACTTTTCCTTTCTTGTTGTTGACTGGTTTTTGACCGGTTGTTTCGGTTTACGATATTTTCCAGCGAGCTCCTTCGTTGTATCGTATAGTTGTCTCATGTTTCCTTCTGCCATCATCGCTGCATCTTCCACATATTCACGTTTATCATTTTTAACGCTCTTCTACACTGGCTCCTTTTCTGTGTATTTGGCCCTTGCTTTGGCTTCCGCTACTCTTGTTCAGCTGTAATTGATTACTATTTCCCTATTCTTCCTTTCTTGAATCTTATCCAGTGTATCCACATACATCCATTCCTTGTGATGGTACTTCGTGTGGCCCAGAACCTCATGACATGCTGAAGTTATTGCTTCTTTAATCCCTTTCTAGTTGTTTTCCATGGTAGATTTCTCTCCATTGAGTAGATCGTGAAAGGCTTGGAACTTACCTCTGTCAGCTACTTTGAGTTCGCCAGTCTACCAGCTTCCTGGAGAAAGGTCGTATTAAACTTTTGTAACTCTGTTCCGCAAGTTGTCCTTTACTTCTTTGGTCTCAGTTTCATGTTGACCACTACCAAGTATTGATCTGAAGTTATCTCAATCCCTCTTTGTTCTTACGTCTTCTTATGGTTCTTCTGAACTTTTTATTGAACCAGATGTGATCGATTTGCTTCTTTGTAGTGTGTATGCATTTGCGTGGGAATATGACGCCGCTTATACCCATTTTGTTGAAGGCCCATGGGTTTGCGGGTCTCTCACTATTTTCATTCATTTCTCCCAGTCCTCATCTTCTCATGGTTTCTTCGTATTCAGTGTTGTCCATGGCAACCTTGGCGTTTAGGTCTCCCATCAGAATGGTCTAATCCTTTGCTGAACATTCCTCTACGATTGACTGCAGCTCCTCATAGAATTGATGTTTATCGGCTTCATTGTTATCGTTGGTATGCGCATAACACTGGATGATGCATATTATAACGCCCTTATTCTTTGTCTTGAAGGAGGCTTTTATGATTCCGCGTGCATGAAATTTCCATCGTATAAGTGCTTTTTGTGCTTGTTTGGACAGTATCAGTGCAACTCGTTGTGTGTGTGAAGCATTGTCTTCTTGATGGTCATCTCTCCTAAAGCTAGTCTTTGAAGATATTTGATAAGCAGTGAATATAAACACCCTCTGCACATTATATTAACACAACATAATTTTGTCTGTTTCAGCCTTTCATTTCATAACACTGAATTTTCATCATTTTCAATCAGTTTCCAGTGTAATCCTGTAGCAAATTACCAGTTCAGCATAAATTTTGCATATAAGATGCTCTGAACTGAACTGAATTTTTTAAGACCGTGTTTCCAAACAAGCTAACTCATCAATTTGTAGAATTGCACATTTGACAACAGCAATGTAGGAGTATAATTAATACCTACTATTTCAAACATGCTAAACTATTCTTGCGTACTTGATGTAACCAATAGATTCGATGGTGGAAGAGGTAATTCTATCTCTTGCTGTAAATATTTCTGATGGTAGGTCTGCTTTACTCCTCTTGTATGATTGCTCAATATCTGGAGGTTGTGTATACTTCATCACGTTGTCAAACCTTAATACCTGTGAATTTATTTGTGCACTTATATAAATATTTTTCTTTATGGTCAGAGTTTCAGTGAATTTATGTCTTGTAAAGATTTTCATTGGTTTACTGAGTAAACGGTAATCGAACTCTTTGTAACAATACTGACATTTGGTAAATACTACGAAACTAGTTTGACGTTGGTTATTATATTCTCCTAATTCAGTACTCATTGTAGAAAGAGTGGTGGTAGGTAGATATATTTCATTGAGATATATTCTAGACTACACTTCTTTCCGTTCCATCCCAAGATCTATTGTGTTAAGGAAATTCTCCATTATTACATTAATCATGTTTTGAATTTTCTTAGAAAGTAAGCGATATACATTTTTTTTACTTACCTAAGTTAATTTGTTCCAAGAATTTGTCGTTTCCTCGTTTCTTTTTTTTTAACTTTTCTCTCTGCATATAATTTATTGTTTTCTATCTCGTAATTTCACTATGCTCTGTGAAAATCTGGGCAATGTGTGGATAAATTTCATGTATGCCTATTATTAGCTGATGTTATTGGTATTTATTGTTTGTTTCCTTAGTACAAAGGTGTAATAGTCTGGTTTTTATTCTTTAATCATTGTCTAATAGCAGTCATTTGAAATGTCATCTGATTGTCTGTATGTTGCAGGTGATTAATTGCTGATAACAGTTAATTTTGTATGTTTATGGAAAGAATTAATTTCGTGTCAACAATAAACTCTTATTTGATTATCATTATTATTATTTTTTGCTTCAGTCGACAACATTTCCTTATCAAGCATCAAATGGACAAACCAACTACCATATCATTCGTTGTTCACCCCAAATCAGAAGTATTCAAAGTAGGTTTTAGTCATCCCCTTTTCTGGTCAAAATAAATAATATTTAAAAATTCTATGTTGCAGTTTACACAACTGACTGGTGAAAATATTGATATATATGTAGACATATATTCGTAAAAAATAACCATAATAATATGTTCACTTGATGTATGTTTATTGTGCATATTATAAAATTTAGTGAAATGTCAATATTTTTGAAAAATATTTGCATACTGTCTTTTTTTTAAGTATATGGTTGATGATCTTACGAAACCTAATCCAGTTTATGTAGTTTGAGGATTGTTCCCAATAACATGATTTATAATTTATTTGAGAAACTCAGTTCTATCTCTATGTTTTATTTACATGATTGATGGATTTAGTGTAACGCATTTTCAATTGGGTGTTTAAGCTGATTTAGTCAAATTTGAATCAATTCTAGCTACAAGTTGAAATCTCTAAACATTAAACTATCATTCAAATAACTTAAATGATCTAAAACATAGGGAACTTTGCGTGTATTTAAGGAATGAATTAGCTAATGAAGTTTTTTAATATACATAAAATCATTGGTAACAACTATTGTTTTTTCATTTCAAAATATTTATTAGTAATATCTACATGTATGTATGTATGTTTGATTGTGTTGGGATTATTTAGCTCTGCAATATTTTTTGAATCATTTTAATTACGATTTAGTGTAATAATGTGTTCATAAATAGTTAGTCAGTACTACGTCAGTCAGTCAGTCAGTTGCAACGTAGAACTTCGTACGTAAGTACATCAGTTCATGTCGCCATACCACATCAGCACAGAGATATAATTGTCAATTCAAATCCAATAGTAGAAGAGGTAGTAAAGGTATTAGAAGTAATCGGAGAGGTTAGAATTAGAAGATATTATTCACGAAGTATGATTCAATGAGATAAGTTTAGAAAGTAAAAGCTAGAGGTGTTGAAGAACCCAGAAGATTAGAATTTGAGAGAACACAAAGAATAAATGCACTGGCGCCATTGCGAACGATTTTGAGCCATATCATTCAAGGTCTCTAGCCATCGATTATTATCATCTCGCGGACCCCAACCAGGTAGTCGACAATTACCGACATGGCTAAGTCCACTCGTCAATGACTTCATCGATTTCTGCCATGTTTTGGTTTGGCCGCCCCTAACTTTCTTCCAACCTATTCCTACACTACAAAACAAAGCTCGACGAGGCAGTCGGTGGTTAGGCATACGCAACACGTGTCCCAACCACCTCAACTGATGAAGTTTCACCACTTCATCGATTGATCTGCCATTCTTACCTAGTACCCGTTTCCTAATAACAGCGTTGCTAACTCGGGTGTCCCACGATATACGAGCAATGCTTCGAAGACACCTATGATCGAAAACCAATAACCGACGAGTATCTTCTACTCTCATTGGCCATGTTTCACAGCCATAAAGTAAGACGGAGCGAACCACTGCACAGTACACTCGTCCTTTAGTCAGCAAACGGATATCTCGCCTACGCCATAAGTGACGCAGGTTGGCTAAAGCCAATCGAGCCTTCTGTATCCGTGCTGAGATTTCGTCAGTCACCAGGCCATCGGCACTGATGAGGCTCCCAAGATAAGTGAAGCGGTCTACATGTTCGACTACTTCACTCCCTATCAATATTTCAGGTGCCGATGCAACCCAATCTTGAAGCAACATTTTGCATTTCGAGGGGGAAAACCGCATCCCGAACATGCTTGCATTGTTGCTTAGGGTGGTCAGAAGACTCTGCATTTTGTCAGCGTCTTCACCAAGCGGTTGTCTGAGCATGCTTGCAACAGACGGTCACCATTGTCTGTTCTCTGAGCCGCGACACCATAACATCCACCTAGGTGTCTCTCCTGCTCACTTAGTCTACCTACTTGAGCATTAAAGTCACCAGCCATTATTACTATATCAGAGCGCCTAGCTTTTTGGAGGAGGTCCGAAAGCTTTCTGTAAAACTCATCTTTTACATCATCTGGGCTGCAGTCAGTGGGGCGTAGGCTGATATGACGAAGAGGCAACGGCGAGTGTCCCTATCTTTCCGAGTCCTTACTGTCCCGTTGAGTCGGACGGCGCACAAGCGACTATCTACAGGGATCCAGTCAAGGAGAGATTGTTCTGCCCTACGACTCAATGCTATGCATACGCCAGCAAGACCCCTGGAAGCAGCATCAGGGCTACCGGATACACGAAGAGTAAATCGAGCTGCTTCTTTATTTTGACATGGTGTGGCCAAGTGTATGACGCGACTCGGATCCTGTATGCGCGTTTCCGAGACGCAGCACACATCGATAGCACGAGATTCTAAAGTCCTAGCTAAGGAAGCCTGTTGCCCTATTTTACACAATGTCCGTACATTAAATGCTCCAACATGTAGTCTAGAGCGAGGTTTAAGGAGACCAGGAACGACGTTTCGCGAACTCGTATAGTCTGCATTAGCTGTGCATTGTGATGAATGAATGTGAGAAGAGTTAGTCGTGGAGATAAGAGAGGTACTAGGGGGTGTAGGAAGGATTTGATTTCGACCAATTTGGCCTCGCGTGCTGTTACGGGTATGAGGGCGGTTGTCACTTCCCGGCTGCCCACACCGTGGAAGGTTGTTTCTTGACGAACCTGAAAAGGAAGATGGATTAGTGTTGGTGCGTGACCGCAGAGTCCAAAGGACAACTGCTTGAGGCCGGTCACGCACGGCCTTTTTATGAGAGGTATTTAGAGGATTAGCTCCGTTCTTAAAGGCCCTCAGTGGGCACCCTTACCCAAGGAGACGGAAATCTGTGAGGTAGGGGAGGTGTGACATTTTTAGGGTCGACCTTTTCTAACCCTTCCTTCCTTGTGAGAAGGCAGCATCGCTGCAGATGCTGGTTGTCCGAGGGAAACACCTTACTGCTGTCACACCCCTCTGCAGTCAGCAGTACGACTTCGCCCTCAGACCTTGGGTAGCTGCTTTTAGTCTGATCGTTCTCCAATCGACCTGTCTGGCATGGTAGAACCTTGAGGAACATAATTTCCAGCCAATATAGCTCGGTTGGGTCATCACGATAGGCAAGCCCGACCACCACGTCAAGGTAGTAGCTACGGTCGGGAGTCAGTACTACGATTTGATATACGTTATCCTGTGATATTATGTGATACAAAAATGCTATGAAAAGAGTTCAAAAAATATTTTATAGAGCGTAGTTGGAAATAAAACTTTCTTTAGCACCATAGGCTGTTAAAAATCTCAATCAACACTAGATAATAATAATCGGTGTTCTACAACATCTTTTTTATGGTGTATTTGTTAGTACCTTTACTTAAAACTTACTAATAATTTTCTGTAATATCATTGTGGTTGAGTAGTTATTCTTACTTATTAGTTTAGAGGATTTTTGGAAATTTTTTTTTCCCCTTACATCACGGATGGAAATTAACTGGATAACTACTGAGAACCGTAAAGCACTTAGCCAGTCCGTCAGTTCCAACGTAGAACGTCGTTCAACTTGCCATACCACATTAACACAGAGATGGAATTGTTAATTCAAATCCCATAGTAGTAGAGGTAGCAAAAGTATAAGCAGTAATCAAAAAGACTTATGATCAAGTATATCATTCGAGATGTATGTTATGTTCTGGTTTGGCCGCCCCTAGGTCTCTTCCAACCTATTCCTTCACCGTAAAACAAATCGTCATCCATCGGTTTATCCGTTTACTCACCAATGATCATGAAGTGACTGAACTTAAAAATGTAGACTAATTGGTTGCGAAATTTGAAAGGTCCTGTGCCTAATCCCTGATTATATGCTGGTTACTCAGTGTGGAGTCATCTAGCAGAACGAAATGAAACAACTGAGTGATCAGTATTGTTATTAAGTGTAAAGTTGTTTGTAAAAAGTAATTTATTTGGTGAACTGGGTTACCATGAATCTGTTCAACTGTGTAAATTGTATTCCATGCACAATTATCCACTTGTGATTTTATTAAGTAATTAAGTTACAGTTTATCCAAATTTCTATTGTGTCAACAAAAATATCTTCATCCAATATCATCAGTAAAAATTACTTTTCCCTGTCAACGTGATTTGCTTAATTTTTTCAGTGTGGTTTTTCTATCAGATACATGTTTTGTTTCAAACTTTTAATGAAATGAATTCATAATTTATTTTGTATCAGGTTTTTACTTCTGTTTAATTCTTCCTTTCTACCTTTTTTTGTTTACAAATCACATGTAGCTTGTTGATGAAAATGGTTATCTGATTTCAGGAGTATTTCGTGTTCACTTACCACCAAATCTTGAATATGAAGTAAATGTTGCTTATGTTGCAAAACATCCAGTTTCTTGGGATTTTGGACATTTACTTTTACGATCCGAAGAATCTAAATCTTCTACATTTAAAGTAATTGATACACTGGGGAAAAAAACTTGTACTATTTTGTCTTTTTGATTGCTTCTTTATCATTATTACCACATTTAGTTTGACTTTAACACAGTGCATAAATGGATAGATATAAAGCATACGAAATAAAACAAATTCACTAAATTCTACAGTGTTGTTAGTGCTTTACAAATATTTATCAAGAAAACCAGTTAGTGCAAGGATGTGAAGATTGTTAAATTTTATTGATAGGACGAACCTATTCAATTTAGAAAACCATTAAAAAGCTGGTATGGGAACTCTTAACAGTGCGTATCCAGTGTCCTGAGACGGGGAATCAAACTCAAGACACTCAAGTCGCGATCTAAATCTTGATCTCTAGTCCACTGAGTTGGGATCCAATGATGGACAAGTCTAACTTCAATAAATCCACAATATTGTGCAATCGTCCATTGTCTTCAGTAGATATCTTCTTCATGCTCGTTATGGTTTAGATCCAATAGTGACGGCTTCTCACCAGGATTCTGAAATTTCCCTTTCAAAGCTAGTCACTGTTATGCACATGATAATTAAATTATGGAGATACAATGAGCCAGTCTAAATTAAATTTAACTGTTAGCAATCTTTTTTTATATTCAGCCAATAATCTCACTATTTTCGATTCAGCAATAATCAATAATAAAACTTGGGTTATTCAAACAGAATAATGTATTTTTTCACTGTCATTGTTATATTTCATTTGGAATATTACCACAAAATTTTACTGTCTCGAAAGCAAAGAATATCTGTAACTTGTTATTCAAACTGAATTCTTACAAGCTTTTACTATATGCGCATGGTTAGTTGTCGAAATCGTGATCGGATATAGGAATAAGAAATAGGAAAAGCAAATTGCATACTGATTTTTTCCAAGTTATCACCATTTATTTACTTTTATATTTTGATTACATAATAATTGATTACAGCCTTTATTTATTCATATTCTTGTTTTAGGTAAGACTAATCGGCTATACAAATTCCAGTCAATTAGTTTATTCTTGTTGTTCAAAATTAAGTTCTAATGTTTATTGGACTGTTGCATCGAAAGTAGATCTGAGTTCTGAATCAATGGTTAAAAATAATGAAAAATCTCATCAAGCAAGTCTACGTTCTACCAAATGTGAATTAACGTCAAATATATCTGGATGCTATTTAGCAAGTATTAATATCAGTAATTTTGGTTCTAGATCTGCTTGGGTCTGCGCTCGCGTTGAATGGATTGATCGAAAAACTGCTAATCAAAATGAGCATGAAGATACCTCCAAATGTGGTGTAATTATTGAGCCTAGAGCTTTAATTGTTGGGTCGAAACAATCTCAGGTTCATCGCGTTTTATTATATTGTGCTTTCTATTCCTTTTTTGAAATGTAATTGCTATTAGTTACAATTTCTGTTTTCTACCTGTAGAATTGATCAGTCAGTCAGTTACAACGTGGAACTTCGTACGTGCGTACCTCGTTAGCACATAGATGCAACTGTCAGTTCATTCCAATAGTGGTAGCGATAGTAGAAATGTTAGCAGTAATGGAGAAGATTAGGGTTCGAAGATATGATTCGTGAATTATAATTCAGTGAGATAAATTTAGAAAGCGAAAGGTAGAGATGATGAGGAATTCTGAAGACTGTAAAATTAAGCTGACATCTTAATGATAACTAATTGATTTCGTGCATGTTATATTTATTATTCTTAGTCCATTAGTTATTATAACTTACTGATTAGATTAACGGATACGGATACTGTCAGAATTTTATTTTGAATATGACTGAGTTTTCATATTTCAAAAAGTAGCTGATAATTTGAGTAGATGGTATGGTATATTATCGTATTAAATAGTTTATTATCACACACAGTTGTAGAAATCATACTTAACACTTGCTTTCCTTGGGAAATCACTCCATTTATATTGATTTCAGTATTAACCAATGTTATCTAAAACATTATGAAATTTGTTTGATAAGATAGTCAAGACGCATTAAACAAATAATCACTAATAGGTTCTGAAGTACTCAATTTCTACTTCTCTGAGAACTTCGCTTTTCCAAGTTATAGGGCACTCTTAAATACTAACACATCATAATCCTTAGTTTGCGAACACACTATTAACCTGAATGAACCAGTAGTTCACTAACTATAAAAACATTATCAAGACATTATGCCTCCATTTTTGCTACCCAGTTAAAGTGTTTACAAATTTGATAAACAAACTTGAGGAAAAGAGTGAAACCGCTTAGTTTAAAATGCCTTGAAACTGAAAAGAAATATGTCTTAAGGCAACTAATTTGTGTGAACAATTTCTTGAATACACATATAATAGGACAATGCTAATATTTATGTAGAAAAAAAATCAATTACTTTCTAAAGAGTTTATTTATCAGCTGATTTTTATACATAATAATAAAAATTATACGTTGACATGTTCGAAAATTAATCTTATCATAATAGTTATTGATAGACCGGTTTTTAAAATGCTATCAAAGAATAACTTCTGAAAAAATTCTCAGAAAGTATTCGGATTTATGTTCAGATGTTAGAAAGTTTAAAACTGAAAATATTTACAATAATTGCGCTTTTCGTTTTATGGTTTATTAAAAATAAATTTAATCATAATGGAAGTACACGCATAAGTTTTTGCGCAAAAAAATTCCCATAGAAAGTCGTATATGTAGATATTCTATTGTTGTCTTAGTAGTAGGGTACTATATCACAAACTTTTTTATCAAATAACCAAGTAATAAATTTTATCTCTTTTTCAGAGCATTTTAATTACTTTAAAGCCTGGTGTGAAGGCTGTACGTATAGTATTTTACCATGGAGACGAAGTTGTTCGTTATCAGTTTCGTCAATTGTAAGCGCGATCTATTTTTATTCAAACTATTAATTTTAGTAATTTATATAATACTTTTACTGTTATCCTACTTTAATCTCCTGTTTTATTCTTGTCATAAGCAATATTTCACTTCACAATATGCTTCTGTCTAGTTTTGTTGAAAAGTAACTATTCTACGAATTCATTCCTTTTGCTCGTTACTGACCTAGCATATGCCGATGACGTAGTTCTGTTCGGTGAAGACGCTGACAAAATGCAGAGTCTTCTGACCACCCTAAGCAACAATGCAAGCATTTTCGGGATGCGGTTCCCCCCCCCCCGAAATGCAAAATGTTGCTTCAAGACTGGGTTGCATCAGCACCTGAACTAGTAATAGGTAGTAAAGTAGTCGAGTATTTAGACCGATTCACTTATCCTGGGAGTCTCATCACTGCTGAAGTCCTGTTGTGTGACGAAATCTCAGTACTGATACGGAAGTCTCAACTAGCTTTTGTCAACTTGCGTCACTTATGGTGTAGGAGAGATATCCGCTTGTTAACCAAAAGACGAGTGTACTGCGCATCAGTTCGCTCCGTCCTACTTTATGGCTGTGAAACATGGTCAGTCAGAGTAGAAGATATTCGTAGGTTGCTTGTTTTCGACCGTAGTTGTTTCCAAAGCATTGCTCGTATATCCTGGGACTATAGAGTAAGCAATGTAGTTGTTAGGAAACGGGTAGTGGGTAAGGATGGCAGGTCAATGGACGAAGTATTGAAAATTCATCAGTTGAGGTGTTTGGGACATGTGTTGCGTATGCCCGACCGCCTCGGGGAGCTATGTTTTGTGGTGTAGGAGCAGGTTGGAAGAAACCTAGGGGCGCGTTCAAACGACATGCAATCACTTACTGCGGTGTCTCAAAAGAGGTCTTCAACACACCTAGATCAAAGTTTTGCTAGTAAACGTACAGTAGATATTCAAAGTTTCACCGACTTCCCTCATTTGGATTCATCTGATGGTATGTACCCACTTGTTATTGATATTGAAATAAATTTTTTTCTGTCATGTCTTCAATCGTAAACTTATCTATACATCACATATGATTAAATATAAGCAAGTGTACAGTTGATCAAGTTTTTTATAGGAATATTGTTCAGATAATAATCAACCACCAAATTGAAATCGGCAGTTTAGTTTTGACGCTTTTTGTTGTATCTTTAGAACTTACACGATGAAACGAGTCTATAAACTTTTTAAGTAAATATTTGCACCACCACACTATAATAACCACCACTTCGTTGATTTAGGACGGAGTACAGATGAGAAGCTTACTGTGAGTTGATTTTACGTAAATGGATAAGCTGTTTAGCACTTGCTATACACTTTTGTAAATCAGTAGATCAAGTCAATTGACTCGCAGCTACTAGAACACAGATCCTAGAAATTCACATCAGCTGCTTCTCAAATCCTAATCTTCTGGATTCGTCAGCATCTCTACCTTTGTCTTTCTAAACTTATCTCACTGAATTATACTTCTTGAATAATATCTTCGAACCCTAGTCTTCTTCATTACCATTAATACCTCTAATATCTTTATCACTATAGGATTTGATTTGACATCTGCGTCTCTGTGTTAATGTGGTGTGGCAAGCTGAACTTATGTATATACTTACGTAGTTCTACGTCGCAACTGACTGACTGATTCTTTTTGCTCGAATCATATCGTCCATACTAAGTCATTTTTACGGATATTGATAATGCTACTGCTTTTACTAATATCGGATTTGTTTTGACAACTTGATCTGATACACATATGTGCTAAGTTCTGCATAGTATGTAACTGACTAAAACAGATGGTCTTTAAATCTTGTTTCAAAGCTTGTTTTCGATTTAATTAGGAATCTATGTTATAAATGTATAAAAGCATCTTACATAGGTCAATCATCATCACTAATAACTCATTAGATCAAATAAGATTACATGGATTAATGATTCACTTTTTCGCATCTTCTTAAAATAATGAACATTGTATTTCAATGTATTCTTTTTATTCATAATAATGTTTATGTGTTATACAATTTGTGTTATCTGTCTACTCAATACTCTAAATGCATTGTGTCTACTTTAATCTTATCAGATATTTTTTTCATCTGAAAATAACATTTGGCATGATTATATCTAAAACTTAATTCTATTAAATATTAGTATCAAGATAAATAACTATTAATTATCTACATTTATGGCTTAAAGATTCATCATACCTAAATAAATGGGATTGCATTGTTCGTTAAGTTTAAGCTTGTGTATGAATCAAAAACAAGATTAGACTTGATAGTTTCAAATAAATTAAGCATTAAATGGTAAGTTAATAATGATAATTTTGGTGATATAATAATGTGCAGAAATTTGTATTTCCAACATTCCGTGACTTAATGCAAATCACTTCTTCAGAGAAAATAAGTACGTAATCGAAATAAATTAACTGGGACGCACTGAGTCATGAAACGTTAGAAATGCAAATTTCTACTTAGTGGGATATCACCAAAGAAAATGATTATTTTATTATTATTAATCTTGTTTTTCCTATAGAAGTACATTTTTTATAATGAACATTATATATTATCTAATCTGTTAAAATATCATTTCCGAATTGTTGACACAAAAAGTGTTTATTATTATCATTAAAGTATTTACTGTTCATTGGTACAAAATAAGAAGACTATAAATTTGAAGAAACATCAAATTTACTTGCTAACGTTTATATTAGTAATTTTTTTGAATTCTTTAAGACTTCAGTTAAATTAAACACGTAATTTGGAACATTTTGTTCAAAACTGAAATATATTTTGTTTATTTTTTGGGGGGTTTTTGACTTTTGACAATGTATAATCCTGATAATATAAAATCATACAGATATCTGAAGTTTTGTTCAAATTATTACAATAAATTATATCATCCATTGATTGCTACTGAAAACACAGCATTATCCAATTTCCATTCATAAACACTTTGTTCTTACTCGTAACAATAACGACAAGTAATTTTTTCATAATCCATATATGTCATATATCATTACCCTTTTCCTTATTGATTGTTATTAGATTTAGCTTGCTAATATTTTTTGTGTCTCAAGAACATGTTTTTCTTATTATATATGCAGAGTTGTACCATTCCGATTGATTTGCTTGAACATCAAATTTTCCTGCATTCTCGTTTTCTCTCGTTGCTTTGAAATAAAAGATTAAAATTTAAAGTGTTGTGTGCCAATAGCTGTTTCCTCTAGCCCCTAATAGAATCTGTTCGTATTAGAGTAAGCTCAGTCGTTCTGTAATTAGCAATAAACTTATGTACCTAATGAAACTCAATCGCAAGATATAAAAATCATAAATATTCAATTGCTTGTTGAACAAATATATTCAGTGAAGTCAAGTATTAAAATATTTTGATTTGTTTATTTTTTTCTCTCTCTTAGATGTGCTGATTCTAATGAGACTATCACAAAAATAGGGAAACGATCTAGTCATAGTCGTTTACAATTATCAGAAATTTTGGAAGATTTTGAACATGAGCAGTCTATTCAAATTGGTAAGATGATCGTTGTTTTACTTTTTGTGTGTCTTACAACTAGTAAAATATTTAAAGTGTGTTTGTTTATTCGATAATTTGAACCAGATTGCTGAGCAAGACATTGAATTTACTTAAAGTTCAAACGATGAGACTTACAAATGTAATTTAGCTCTTGAATATATTCGTTTATCTGTTTATAATATAAAGCATTTTTAGTAATGTTAGATATCGATGAATGTGTCACACTAAACAAAATGACATAATTGTGAGAATATAAAAGGTTTGTCAGTCTATTTAGTTATAATTAGTATAAAACTGATAAGGAAATGTATCATCCCAAGGTGCCATATATGTCTTACTTAGCACAGGAAAGAGATAATTCACAGGACGAAAATCCAACAGGCCGTTCATTATACTTTTATCTATTATGTAATCTTGTGTAGCTGACTGAACTAGGATTTCCTTTTAATTATTCAAATCTTCCATAATGATGCAATGAGAATTTATTTAAAATGTTCTTATATTCTATGTAGTTGAACTGCCGCCTGCAACATTCAGTGATCTTCGACCACAGGACTGGCATCAGGCCTTTATTGACCAAGTACATCATTGTGAACGCATATTCCTGTACATTTATGCTTCAAATAGTCTTAATCAGTCCAGTGTATATTCACCCAGTTCAATATCAGAATCAGTATTTGAGAATTCATTGGCTAGTGTTTTTGTACAACAAGATGCTTTCAAGCATCAAAATTCTCTTAAACCCAATCGTCATGAAAGTTCTAAAACTTCCTCGTCACAAACAAAAACAAGAAAAACTAATTCACGAGAAACTTATCCAACAAATACTTACACCCCTAATATCTCAACTGGTCAAAGTTGGAACGAGAAAATGTCGCTTGTTCAACCACCGAAATTGGAAATAAACCCTCCGTATACTTTGGTATTTCCTCCATGTATTCCTACTTGTTCTACAGAAGGTAAACTGTCAGTGTTTTCCATTTTAGTGCATTTTTTTATTAGTGTATTTCCATCAAAGTTTATTGTATAGTATTTATGCTATACTAAATGTATCGACCTATTTTGAATAGTAAGGCTTGTAAACTTTTAATAAGTTTGAAGTGGTAACCTTGCTATTTACTCAGTCTTAGGATAGACCCTTTATTTTAGAATGAGTCCAGATTAGAGGAAGTTTAGTTGAGTTCTAACCTGAAGATATGAACAGAATAATCTTATTAATATTCAGCTGTGTTCAGTGATTTTCACTGATCTAAAGAATAAAGGGATGTATTATTTGATGAAATAATTCTCGGTTTTAAGGGTTTGTCGTATTGTGATGTGCTTCCATGTAGTCGGGATGAAGCAGAGAAATCTTATAATGTTCCGTATGATTAACCCAAAGTAATAATACAGAAGCCAATCATGTTCTTTCACCATCATAGGATTCTGGCCAATTTTCAAACAATTAACGAAAGCTTCTTCTGAATCGTCTTGACTTTTCCTTGTTATTGCAGTTAATTTCTTTCATTGTTTGAATATTGATTAACTTTATACTAACGATGTTTAGATTGATTTCTGACATAATTATTTCTTATCGGATGTCATACATTTTATCTTCAATTACTGTTATTGATTGTTTTTCGCCCGGTAAACTCTTCGGTGTTGATGCCCACTGGTGACTGCATCAAAATTTGAATTATAATTGATGTTGAGGACATTAGATCCCCAGAACTCATTTGAAAAGTGTCCTAAATTTGGGTTTTTTATGTTTTCGCGCATAAGTCGCTTGGTTGACCTTGAGCTTACATTTCCCACTCGGAATATCCTTGACTATCGTTGGTTGGTGGATTATTTTATTACGCTATTTTTAGGCTCTCCCAAGGATGTTGCTGTCGTTTTATAAATAGGCTTGATTTGTGTGTTTAGCAACCTCGTATTTTCTGGGTGTTTGTAGAATACACTCTCTACGCCTTACCAAGACTTCTTGCTTTTGTCAGCCGGGGCTGGACAACGGATTAAAATAGCCTATCGCGTCACTACATCGTTTGTCTTCGATTCGTTACCGATTAGGGTAAACTCGTAATAGTATCAAGCACATCAATTAATAGCCTATATATAGGTGAATACTGTCGCAAATTATTATCTAAAAAGGTAATTGGTCTCTGTCTGTTAATTCTGATGATAAGATTTGCAGAAACTGTTCTGACCCGTATGATAAACATTAAATTGACAATGTTTTCAAATTGTTATATTTTATTCTAATCCTTATAACTCTAAAAGCTGTGTTGCAAATCATACAAATCATTGGCTGTTCAAGAAATTTACCTACGAAGCGTTATCAAAATGTCATTTCAATTATTGTGAAAGTATTCCGTTTCGTTCGCTAGCTTGTTTTTCATCATCAGCTAAAATCAATCTAATACGTACTTCTTAATGAGTAGACTTCGACTCCATTGAAGTGAAAATGTGAATTTTGTTGACATTTTTTTGTATATCAAATAAACATATGACAAGCATCACTTTCTAATGCTTAATCATTTCCCTCTTACTTCTAGCCCAATTTTCTGTGAGTTTAAAACATATTTCACATGATAATGAAGAAACGTCTTCTTTGTCATTATGGAGAGTGTTTTGGTCAGTAAATCCCGTAACTGATGTACAAATGAGAAATATCACTTCAAATTCTTCTCACTCACTTAACAAACGGTCTACCATGGAACAAGGTATCTTTCAGTTGTTATCTTCTGAATCGAATCCACTTAGTCAATACAACATAAATAATAAATCAGTCGAAAGTGTTGGCATTTTATCAACTGATGCTAATAATACAGAATTTCGTTCATTTTCAATACCTTTTCGTTTCAAACCTACTTCCTATTGTGAAAATATTTTAATTCAAGATTGGCATTTGGAATTTTGGCTAGAACCATACATACAAAGTCAATGTCATTATTTATCTAGATTCAGTTCAAAAGATTCAGTCACAATTTTGGTCACTTTAGAAGGCTCGGTGAGATAAAACAATTGAATTTCTGCACTATTGTAATTCATGTCTAATTAACTTTTTCACTCCTCAACTACTCGTTTAGTTTTCCTGTGTTGTCTTGTAGAGATGTATTCACTATGTAGTTGGTGATATCCTAAATCCACTTGGGTTGAACATCTTTCGAACAACAGAAAGCACTGGACAGTTATTTAATCCTATCATGTGGATCCACGGCAGCACACATCCACAACTCCGCCGGAGATCGACTCTAAGACCTGTCCCGCTCGCAAGTGCTCAAATTCTATATTAGACCACTGAACCTGACTAGAATGATATATATGTCTAAATTAGGTTGGTTTATGATATTAGTAGCACCCAATTTCCACAACCCCCTATTCTGAAAATTAGATAGTTGAGTCTATCGAGTGTATTCGCTAGTCATTTTCATTATCATCAAATCTCAATTAGGAATATCCGTGTATTTTCACTAGCAGTTTCACAGATTCAGTTATTTGAGCAAACATCAGTGCACATATATAAATAAAAATCAGTGCATAATCTTCATTGACCATAATTGTAGTATATATACTGTATAAGTTTTACACATAATTACATTAAGAGGGAATGCTGATTATGATTGAAGGCAATCAGTAATCGACCTACATCAATATCTACCCAGATATAGTAAAATGTAGTTAATTAATTGACTTCATAATAAGGCTTTCTGTCAAAGTAACAACAGTCTATTCTCAGTGGTATATTTAAACATACGGTTGTGTTCAACGTACGTTTACTGTGATTTCATCTTCCTCACTTATATTGTTAAATCCGAGAAGCTGTACCATTTAATTGCATCTCATACTTCTAGTTGTAGTGAAATAGGTAGTTTGCGTTTTACCTTGTAACAAAATAATTCGTGGAACCTTCGCTAATGGCTGGTTCATAATGATACACTACCTGATACCAATTTAATTGTTGATTTTTCATTACACCTTTTTTATATTGTTCACTTTAAATTTATTTACCCTTATTTTATAGTGTTATAAACAAGCAACAATAAATGAATCTCCGCTTACACACCTTCCAATTATAAGCAACTACAAATGCCCTCCTTCAAAATCTCAATGTTTAAGTGATCGTACTTCGTTGACTACTGTTGAAAACCCGTCAAAAACTGTTCATATAGGTCCAATTGATGTGATTGGGCTACCAGTTTCATTCGAAACTGTAGACTCTAATTCTTCAACAACATCTCGTTCTCACAATGTAAGTTTTTTTGATAAAATACATGCCTTATTATCCTGCTGAATATTTGGCTATTTGTCATACAAATAACTCATATTTCGTATTGTTTTATAGATTTTATTGATCAATCGAATGAAAACAAGTGAAGCGTTTGTCAAATTGAAACCTCCTAGTCCACCATTCTACATTATTGAGCCCAAGGAAATCAGGTTCCGGTTATTGTAAGCTCCTTTGCAATAATCCTGTTTACTTCGATGCGTGGAACAGTTATTTCTTTTATTTTGTTCTTTGCTTATTAGGAAGAGGATATGCTAGTTAGGTTGATATAGTTATTGTTTCAGCCTGTCATATAACCATGACTTCGTCAAAAAAATTCATTTGGTTATCTTAAATAATTGTGCATAGATTTGTTCCATAATTATTCCAGTATTATTTTTTTCGACAAGAATATTTCGTGAAACTATTTCTGTAATTGGTTTGTTTTAGTGATGCTGTCATATTAAGTAATTATTGTTTTCTAAGCACTCTTAAATTGGTTCCATTATAATAGTAAATACATTAAATATTTTTATTATATCCGTTTATTGTATAGTTTAAACGTTTATCGACTATTTAAACATTCGATATTTCACACTTACCAATCGTAGGTTAATCGACTTTGCAAAAATTCATTTCAAATAGTTTGATAATTGTTAGTATTTCGTAGAAATTTCCTAAATGTCAATTGTCTCAGTGGACACAACAATCGATTGACATATCCAAAGTTTTTGTTCTTGAAAATATACTACTGCTTAGCAACGTGAAATTATTGTTTTTAATAATTTACATTTGCATGCATACAGTTGATAGTTTTTTTCTACCATTTTGAACACTAGGCCTCGTTCTCGTGTACGAATAGTGCTTATCTTTCGACCGTATACTCTAGGAAAATCAAGTTCCGTTCTGGGAATTAATGTTGAATATCACAAACAAGAAAATTTATCTGTGGAAAAAAGTAATTGCAATTCCAAACCAATTATTGATTCTTTCCAAGTTCACTTATTCGGTACAATGAATTAACTTCAAATTTTTTTATTCCTTGTATTTTATAACTGTATGTTTTTACTGGTGATTTTAATATATATGTATATCTATAATAGATATTTTCTACTTAATTTCTCCAATAAATATAACTTCTTCCTCCTTTGTTTCACATTATACTGGAAAAGTAACTGAAATCTAAGAATATGTTGGTGTTAATCATGACATGCATGCGTACTCGTGGTGCGTCAATACATAATATATAATCTCACACCACAGCTTTACACCAGCTACAATATATTTAGTGCACTACCAGCTGTTTTTGTTGTCAAGATACACGAAGAGCACTTTGTCTCAACTCTTGGTTACACATATATCTAACTTCAAATCTAGTACGAGCTGTAAAATAATGATACAACTACTGCATTAAACCATATCCAGTTCCCAAGTTTAGATGGAAAACTGCATTTAAATTAGTGCTTATTAAAAATGGCCTTTGGAAAACCTCATGATAATTTTCGCGTACTCCATTGCTTTTTTATTAGATGAACAATTTTTTCATAAAACTCTAAGTAATTGGGAAGTTTTTACATTTTAAAGTCAGTGGAGAAATCAGCGATAATAAGGAAGGTTAAATCCAACGCCACTATAATATAGGTCAATCAGTCAGTTGCAACTTGGAACTTGAACCAACGTAAGTAAGTTGCCACACCCCATTACCACAAAAAGATGAAATTGTCAGGTCAAATCCAAGAGTAGTAGGGTAGTAACCGTATCAGTGGTAATAGGAAAGTTTGGGAATCGTACGTAAGATATAATAAAATATATGTCAATAAAATTAGGACAAAAATAAAATCCTGAAGAATGAAGTAAAATAAAATTGTGCCAGTGTGAACGCTTTTGAGCCTTTTCGTTCAAAGTTTCTAACTACTGATTACGATTATCACATGGACATCAACCAGGTAGTCTACACCTATAAGCACAACTCAGTCCAATTGTTAATGATTTTATAAACTAGTGCCTGTCTTGGTTTAGCCGCCTTTAGTTTTCTTCCACTCTAGTTCACCTGGTAATATTGCTTATTGAGATTGACGATGGTCGGGTATACGTAATACACATCTCAATCATTTACCACCCATATCCCATTGTTTACTCGGTGGTCACAAAATACACAAGTAATGCTTCGAAGATACCTATGATCGAATACTAGTAACTTCCAATCCCCAAATTCTAGATGAGAGCGGTAATCTAACTGCCAAAATTGACCAACATACTCATAAATCTCAGGGGTTATTTCATCAGACCCAGTTACTCTCCCTCGCTTTAATTTGCCCGTATCCTATTCATCCTCGCTAAGGGTTGGAGGACTTACATCCATTTACTATTCATATTGCTTGGAGTGGGTGAGTAACTGTGACGTGGGTGAAGGCCATTTAAGCTATTCACCCAGTTGGTTTAATCTCCTGGGTTGAGAGTGACTAATAGCCCCATCTTTTTTATAGATAGTCACACTGAAAGTCAGATTTCGGAGATACCATTTCCCTGATAAGTCTAAACAGTTTTCGACTACTACTTATCTCCACTGCCTGTTTTAGTTTTGCTGCCCACTACTGCTCAAGATCATTGCGTTGGCTTCCTACCAATTCACGTTTAATCTATTTCCGCTCAGTGTTCGGAGCCAGAAGGACGAATTTCTTAGCATGTCATTTTAGTATATGCCGCTGAAATCCACTGATTTTTCGTAACCTTTTAGTCTAAGTTACCGGTATAAATCATTACAGTCTCAACACAGTTATTTGGATACCATACCAAGCTACCTTGGAATGAGTATCACTTTCATAATTGGTTAGCTCCTTCAGTTCTTCTAAAAATGTATTCTTGACATTTCCAATGTTAAGTTAAACTGTAAAGGGTTTTCTTGTATCCTTTCTACGTCCGGTACGACGCAGAAAAATAATGCTGATGCTAGGGTCGCCATGTTTTAGTCTAAACATGTACTGCACAACAAACGAGTCTTCCATCGAGGCACTATCATCATGTCACTACGTCAGAGCGTTTAGCTTTTTGAATGTGAAGAAGCTTTCTGTATTCGTTTTTTGATTCGTCTAACCTACGGTCAGTGGGGGCATAGAGAGGTAAATGCATGTGCGCCAACCTTCCCGAATCCTTCCATTCAGACATCGCACAAGCAACCGCTCATTAGAATCTTATCTAGGAGAGCTAGTTTTGTTTCGAATTTAGGACATCACCTATACCAGCAAAACTGAAGTAGTGGCGGATCTCTAGATGCACAAACGTTAATTTAGGCCCGTCCTTTATTATGACAAGGTAATATCAAATGAATGACTGTACTTGTGCCCTTTAGGTGTGTTTCCGAAATGCGGCATACAGTCCACTAAGGAAGCCTGTTCGGCATAACCTGTAAATACTTAAAAAGTGCTGGTTCTCCATGAAAAACATCTTAGTGTCCCTCTACAGTCAGTAATACGACTCCACTCTCGGACCTTAAGTTGCCACCTTTATTCTTACCGTCCTTCAACTGATCTACCTGGCATGACAGGATCTAAGAAGACATGTTGTCCACTCCGTGGAAGCGTTCTGGTTGTCAGAAGGGACTTCGGCCTCATGACTTTCGAAGGAACTCGGCTTTAATCATGAGACGTTATTAATCTTCTACATGAAGACTTAACTCCCGAAGCAGAGTTCAAATTGTTTGAATTAATTTTTCTTGTTACCGCTTTTAAGGCAAGTTAGTTTTTTTGCGGGATGGGGTCGCCAAACCCTTATCCTTTTTTTCCGAGCTTGAGATCAGCAGTAGCCCCGAAGGGTCTACAGGCGGAGTTCCGAACGAAGGACGGATCCTTTTCATTTGTTGTCAAAAAAACATGAAAGGTGATGGACGGTTAATTTGAGAACATATTCAATAACTAGACGATGCAGGTAGAATATTTTAATGAAACAAGACTTGGGATTTCTCATTTTGGTTGACATCAGCCAGTAGACCTACACGGTTCACAATAATAACCAGTGAATTCGGGATAATTATTTTAGTTTAGTAGCTTGGTCTTTCCTATCTACGACATTGGACGTCGTGGTACTCGGTTTCACAGGATCACCTGAATAAATATTTGAATAAAATTACTCTCTGTACCAAAACTCAGATATATAAATGAATTCCAAAAGGTGAATCAGTAAGAACTATAGTGTTTCATGATATTTACAAAATATAATTATTTATTCACAATTAAAGAAAACCCTTCCTTTTTCACGAGCTTTATTCAGTTTTTTCGAAAGTTTTTTCATCCTTCTTGCTTGAATATTAGTGGTTCTTTTAGCTTGTCTTTCACGTTTCTTTTCTTCATTAGCCTCTATACGCTTTTCCCAGTTTTTAGCTCGTTTACGTTTCAGTTTATGTACCTTACAAGCAGCCTTTTTCAGAAGTGAAATATCATCCTTAACCTTCACACCTAAAATAATAAAAATTAATCCGTGAAATCAGCAAACCTTGAGCTCTGAGTGACGCAATTTTCCATTTTTTGCGAATGATATCAACGGATGTTAGGTCTGTGTGGTTAGATGCTGATTCAGTTTTCCTGTTGGCTTTTTTAAATAATTTAACCGGGTCTCTCCCAACAAATATTCCCTGCTTCTCGAGTTTTGCTAGTTTTCGCTTCTTTTTCTTTTGGATTTGCTTTTGAATCCCGTAATTTACGATTTCATTAGGATCATACAGCTGGATCTTGGAGAAATAGTATTTCTCAGGCTTTGTTGGTGTCATGTAGAGGCGTTAAAAAGCAATAGGATGACCTCTGCAGTTCGTAATTTTTACTACTAAAAAGTTGGAAACGATAAATTTACAAGCTAACTTGTATGTAATAAGCGTTGAAGTTAAACAATCTTTACTGTTTTTATTTAAGACTGATAGAACGTGTATGAACAATATCAGTGACATTTATCAATAGTGTGAAAAAATTTATTAACAAGCCAAAACAATCGGATATAATCGACTACACCGTGTCATTCCTGTTAAGAAACAAGAACGAAAAACACCTGAAAATGTTAGGAGGTAATTTAAATCAAAATACAGCCATTATATGATTTGTTCCACACGACGCACATGTTCGTGTCCACGAAAACTACACTTCGAAATCGCTACATTAACACCAATTTTATTAGGAATAATATCTAGTGAGGCAGAATGTTCCCAATTTACACGCATCAGACTTTTTTTCAGAAAACTGTTGCTGATAAGGAAGTACTCCTGTATAATAAACAATCGACAATTCGTCTCGTTAACGTAGTCAGGAGATATGATTGTGATTTGTGAAACACAAGAATTTGATCACGCCAGACAATGAATTAAATTACACAACATTTTGAACAAGACGCCTGAGTGTTTGCAAGCCAGTCTGTTTGTGTGATAGGGTTGTAATCACTATTTAGGAATTAAATTGTAGTTAACTTATATGGTCCAGTTGTTGCACATTGCGTAGTGAATCGCTCCACAAAATAAAGGTGATTTTCTGGGATTTCCCAAAACAAATTACTGTTTTCGACTTAGTTAGAGTCATCTTTTTGATAGGCTTTTTGTGATGATATTTTTATTCAGCTTTCTATTAGTCAGTTACTTGTTTGCCCCGTATAAGTTTATTGAACGTAAAAGATAAAGGAATGTGTGAATGACACAACTCAGGCAATCAAATGGTTGATATTCCGAATGCGCCACATGATTTTTTATTCTTACACTAACCTTTGTAGAAAATAGCAACTGAACCTAAAATATAAATCTTTGATAATTAACATAAAAATATACATAAAGGCCTTCCAGCAAAAAACTCTAACAGTTTAACTGCCTGGTTCATTACGATCGGATCGCTAGTGTAGATGGAAGACAAATCGTACTCGGGATACAATCTGATGATAGACATCACTAATATTGAAGTGTATACAAAAATTCGAATACGTGTGTTTCGAATGTTTATAGTTCATTCACATAAAGCGAAAAATATAGATATGTCCATTCAAAATATCTTCAATTACGTTTCAGCATAACGAAACATAATAAACCCGGGTGACAAGGAGACAGGCATTCGATAAAATGATAAGAGTACAAGCACAAACAAACATGCATTCGACGTAAAGTTTAGAAATAAAAGGACAAGAAGAATATGTTTCGGAGTTGTAAGCTCTGAGTGGACCACAGTTATATATATCGGTGAGGTAACGTTGGTCGGTCCATGATTTCAAAAAACAATTCAAGACCTACTAACAAACCATACAGCTCAACAACGAGACGGCATCGGAACCCTACGTTTCGGCTACAAATTTTCCACATTGTCCCAAGGTCACAATTTCGAATGAAATAAAGATGAAACAATATCCAATATCTTTTTCACGAGCTAGTGTAAACCGATTTGATTTCTTCGTGCTCGATTCTTGTTCTTTCGGTACGGTTCCAGGTGTTCGGTAATGTCGAATGGATGGAGGTCTAGCCACTTGACTGTCTATTTCTAGTCAGTTGGCAGTTGGTTGTGAGTTTGTATGTCTCTGGATTTGAATGAAACGTTTGTTTCAGGGCAGTAGGGTTTCTGGGTACTAGCAGCCGTCACATTACCAAACCGGAGATCAGTTAGTTGCAATGTGGAAAGTAATAAGGGTAATAAGGGTAAATTAAAATGATAATATGAGTAAAATTTCAGAACTGAGTAATATATAGATGAATTTAGTTTATTAATTGGTAGTGAAGATTGTGAGAGAGGACCGAAGTGTAATCAAGGGAGAGGAATAGGCGAGATAGATTAATTGAGTGATCTGAGGAGATGGTATTGGTAACAACTAGCAGGTCTCAAGATATGCATCAAGCACAGCTTGTCCAAGAGAGAGATGATAATCCGTATATGAGTACGTGATTATCAAGTCTCTTCTTAAAGCAGTCCACTGAGGGGGCTGAAACTACCTCGGCTTGGAGAGCGTTCCAAGTTTCGACGACTCGCTACGAGAAAAAGTGTGCACGAATCTGAGTATTTGCTCTTTGATGTGCAATCTTTCGAGGATTGCCTCCGAGTTTTTAAGTTCGTCCGGAAGCTGAAAAAAGTCGCGTGAGTAATTAATAAAGTTGAAAATAATATAAAAAACCCTTTTAGATCTCATTCAATCAAAAACACATACAGCCCAACATTTAGATATTCTTCGTCAAACACTGATGCTGACAACTACTTTAGTATCTCTCTGTGCTGATGTGGTATGGAAACTCAAACCACTGCATCTATATGCCAAATTTTATGTTGAATACTACTGATTATCATCCAATATCTTCTGATGTAAAGAGACATACTGAATCTCATTGCAGACAAGTTGAATAGACAGACTTGACCAGCCCTGTGATGATCGACTGGAAAACGCCAAACCCGACATGTTTACATCAGTTCAAGCTGTTAAACTTCTTTAGTAGTGAAGGCTTTTACTATCAAAGCGAGTCCCAGAGTGTTAGAGTTAGTAAAAATTTGTGGTGACAGAAGCGATTAGGGATTAAAAATACGACTTTATTCAATACAAGTTTGTATAATGATAACTAATGAGGAATTCAGAAACTTGGAAAATAAAGTTGATGAGTGTACATGAGTTTTATGACAAAACAGGTGTAAACAAAATATTTTTAAGGATATATCTACATGTTTACGGAAAAAACTTTGGAATTATGACACTGTTGACATATTTGCCACTGAAATAACTTGTTTTTGAGTCGATTGGTTAGGTCGAAAGCAAGACATTGACTCCGGATATAACGAGTTCACTTTTCTCTTGAAACAAAGTTTAAATGAACCGTTTGACTTCATATCGTTATGATGATATAAGCCACGGTTTAGGACAAGGCTAACTTTCTGATCAGCAGTCATTAAATTCAATTTGATATGTTAACGGGGGCGGGAGTCTAGCGTAGTGAAATTGATCAAGCTGTAAGCATACACAAGAGTGGTACATTTGTGAAAAATTTTGGGGATACCTAGAAAAAACCGTATGTTGAACGTATTTGCACAACATTTATTAGGTCGAAACGGTAAGACAGGTGCGATTTATTGGCACTCTAATTAATACGACATAAGTAGACTACTTAAAAAATAAATTTACTGAAATTTTGAAGACCGAAAATATAAGGGATTAATTGTGACTTTAGGTGAAAATGTTGGGATTGGGGAAAGCGACCACATCCCACGCTAACCCGAAAAAATAAATCAAACCATTTAAACCCTGCTTTGGGAGTTAGAAGGTCTTCATTCAGAAGAGTTATAACGTCTAATGATGAAAACAAAGTTCCCTCGGAAGTCACGAGGTTGATGGACCTTCTGAAAACCAGAAAGACCATTCTTTTGGGCACATGGAACGTTCGTACATTGTGGGAGACTGGAAGACTATTTCAAGTTGCAGCAGAAATGAAAAGATACAACCTCGAGGTGCTCGGCATCAGTGAAACGCATCGGACACAGGCAGAACAACTGAGACTAGCTTCAGGGGAACCGCTGTTATACTCTGGTCATGAAGAAGAAAATGCTTCACATACACAATGAGTTGCACTGATGCCGTCCAAACATGCACAAAAGGCAGTGATAGGATGGGAATCTCATGGACCACGGATCATTAGAGCATCCTTCAAAAAAAAGAAAGAGGACATTACAATGAACGTCATCCAATGCTATGCACCTACCAACGACTACAATGATGACGTTAAATATCAATTCAACGAGTAGCTGCAGTCAATCGTCGAAAGATGCTCACCAAAGGATTTGACGATTCTAATCGGAGACCTAAATGACAGGGTTGTCATGGACAACACTGGATATGAAGACATCATCGGACGACATGGACTGGGAGAAAGGAACGAAAATGGTGAGAGATTTGTAAACCTATGTTCCTTCAACAAACTGGTCATCGGTGGCACAATATTCCCGCACAAACGCATTCACAAAGCCACATGGATTTCACCGGACCACACTACTCAAAACCATATTGACCATATCTGTATCAACAAAACGTTCAGAAGGACCATGGAGAATGTGAGAACCAAGAGAGGAGCTGATATAGCCTCAGATCACCACTTGCTGGTAGCCAAAATGAAACTGAAGCTGGAGAAAAACTGGACAACGGGACAGGCAACATCACAGAAGTTTAATAGTGCCTTTCTTTAGGATAGCCCTCACCAATAGGATCCAGCCCTTGCAGGATCTACTCAATGGACAACCTTGGAGAACAAGTGGAAATGGATCAAAGAGACAGTCACTTCAGCATGTCACTAGGTTCTGGGTCAGAAAAAGTACCATCACAAGGAATGGATCTCTATTGATACTCTTGAAAAAATTGAAGAAAGGAGGGACAAGAGGGCAGCAAAACAAGAGGTCAGCCGAACAAGAGCGGAGAAAGTTACCGCACAAGCTGCATTCACAGAAGCAAACAGGAAAGTGATGAAGAGCATCAAAGCCGACAGTCGAAAATATATGGAAGATCTGGCAATCAGGGCAGAAAAGGCGGCAAGAGAAAGTAACATGAGACAATCGTGCGAAACAACAAAGAAGCTCGCCGGAAACTAGCGTGAACCAGAACGACCAGTGAAAAGCGAGGGAGGCACAGTAATCAACAACATTGAAAAATAGCGAAATATTTGGGTAGGGCACTTTAGGGAACTGTTGAATCGACCAGCTCCACTGAACCCATCTGACATCGAAGCAGCATCTACAGACCTCCCAATCGATGTTCGCCCACGAACAATTGAAGAGATCAGTCTGGCCACCAGAAAATTCAAAAGCGGCAAAGCAGCAGGACCAGACAACGTTCCAGCAGAGGCAATTGTGGTGTGTGCTACTTATACGAACGATATAAGTAGTATAAGAATGGACGTGAAAGAAGATGTCTTACGGTCAGAAGAGGAAAACGGAAAGCAAATAGAGCAAAAGCAAGAAAGATTTAGAGCACCGACAGGAAGTAAAGGAAGCAACAGCAGGAATGGAGGAAGGCTGGAGCGTTGGAAGTCAGGACTCAAAGATGGTGTGCAAATGGAGTGTTCAATGTAATGTTATCGTTTTTAATTGACTAAGAGTGTAAATTTGCCAAATACAATCTATCGAGCCTGCCTCAGTCTTCTCAATTGGTGTCGCTGCCTCCACACAGGATGAAGATACCATGGCCTCGGGAGTTTGAAGACGGAGATGTAAGGAGCTTCTTGAAGGAGTTCGAGGCTGTGGCGGAGCTGGTCGGAGTCAAGGAACGGAAGGCGAAGGCGGTGGTGCTGGGGACTCTACTAAGAGGCAGGGCGAGAGCGGTGTACGATAGTGTGGAGGACGCTGACTGGAAGGCGGTGACGGAAAGGCTGCTGTTGGAGTTCGACAGCCCGGCGGATAGGCAGGACGCGCTGCAGAAGTTCCGAGAGGCGCGGCTGTCGGTGGACGGCGACCCACTCGTGCTGGCCGTGGAGTTGACAAGATTGCTGCGCCGGGGTCTGCCGAATTTGGATGAGGAGTCGCAGGCACAGCTGCTAGCCTCGCAATTCATTGAAAGTGTGCCTGCAGAGATTGGCCAACAGTTGAGACTGGTGAACGCGGCACAACCAATGGACGTCACCGAGCTGGCGAAAGTAACAAGACAACTGATGAACTCAACAGTCGCCTCGGTGGCGTGTGAGAGACAGGCTGATGATGTCGTGAAGAAGATAGAAGAATTACAACGAGAGGTGGCAGCGTTACGAATAAAGGGTGAAAGAAATAATAAATGCTACATTTGCGGAGGAACCGGACATTGGAAGAGGAATTGCCCAACAAGACGAAGACGTAAATATTTTAGACCATACACAAGTTGTTCTTTATGTCTTTCGAAACTGGGGGTTTCGGCATTAGTAGATAAGGGGGCGGTCTATGCGAGAGTAGGGATAAACGAGCGAGAGGTAGTTTGCCTGATTGATACAGGGGCGGCAGTTTCGTTAATAGACAAAGAGCGGTGTAGAGGTATCAGGCCGAGTGCATTAGTTGTTAACACCATCGGCGGCCACGTGTTAAAAATCCTCGGAGTCTCAAATGATATCGTGAAAATCGGCAGTTCGAAAATACAGTTTCCCTTTGTAGTGACTACGAACTTGTCGAGACCAATACTAGGAGCAGATTTCTTGAGAGAAGTAGGAGCAATTATTGATACAAGAAGTAAGAAGGTGATTACAAAGTACGGCACACTGACAATACATGAAAGCAGCGAGGTGGCTGAGGTTAGAGTAGCAAAAGAGGACATTGGAAAGAAACAGAACATTAACGAGGTGCTCACAAAATATAAGAAGTTGTTCACGGGAGACGGAGAACCGTACGGGTTTTGTAATAAAGTCAAACATGAAATTCCGATAAAGAACGAAGAAGTAACCATCTTCACAACACGACGGGTCCCCGTACATTTGGAAGCTGAGATAAACCAGCAGGTACAGGAGATGTTAAAAGCAGGTATAATTGAAGAAGCAGATAGCCCGTACAGCTCACCGGTACTTTTGGTAAAGAAGCCAAATGGAAAGTATAGATTCTGTGTTGACTTTAGAGAACTGAATAACGTGACAGAAATAAAACCATGTGCAATGCCAACAATAGCGGAGACATTAGATCGTCTACAGAGTGCTACGGTGTTCACAGTGTTAGATTTACGGTCGGGCTATTGGCAGCTACCAATAAAAGACAGTGATCGCAGCAAAACGGCATTTATCGTACGGGAGAAGCAGTATCAATTTAAACGAATGCCCTTTGGATTGGCGGGCGCACCCTTTACGTTTCGAAGACTAATGACATTGCTGCTCAGAAACCTGGAGAATGTCGAGGTTTATGGCGATGATTTGGTCGTATATAGTCGTACAGAGGCAGAACATGTGAGGCACGTGGAGGCGGTCCTAAGGCGAATTGATGAGTTTGGTTTACGAATTAACAAAGACAAGTCTCAGATAGCGAAAAGAAGCGTCACGTTGCTGGGGCATAAAGTAGGCAATGGAGAAATAAAACCACTGCCGGAGAAGATTCTAACGATAAAGAATATTGCAGTTCCCAACTCAAAAAGGAAGTTAAGACAGTTCCTGGGAAGAGCGGCGTTCTACAGCAGATTCGTGAAGAACTTCAACGATATAGCAGCACCTCTATATAAAGTGCTAAGCAATGCGAAGTTTACGTGGACAGAGACCGCTCAACAAACTTTCGACCGAATCAAAGAGCTGTTAGATGACCGCCAAATGACGCTGAGACTGCCGGAACCCGAGAAGCCATTTACAGTGACCACTGATGCGAGCGATCACGGTATAGGTGCGGTCTTGAGGCAGTCTGACAGAGTGGTGGAGTATGCCAGCCGTGTCCTTACGCCGACAGAACAGAAGTATTCCACAGTAGAAAAAGAGTGTTTAGCGATTGTATGGGCGGTAGACAAATGGAGACCGTATCTACTGGGTCGGCGATTTCACATCGAGACGGATCATAAGCCCCTACAATGGTTAAAAACAGCAAAAGACCCTCGGGGGAAGTTGGCTCGATGGATGCTACGTCTGCAGGAGTATGATTTTAGTATCGGGCATGTGCCAGGGGAGGAAAATGTAATGGCAGATTATTTGTCAAGACCGGACACCGAAGCCGAACTTCCAGAGATAGCGTGTGCAGTTAACGGCCTAGAGGGAGATCCCCTAGAACTCGTCCGGCATCAGAAAGCCGACCCTAACCTTCGGGAGGTAATCAGAGTGATAAAAGAGGGAGAAGATGTTGACAAGAGTGGAACAGATAAAGAATTAACAGTGTTGCTGAGGCAGAAGGAGAGACTGAGAGTGAACGGATACGGAGCCTTGACCTGGCGGGATGATGACGAGAATTGGGTAGCAATAATCCCAAAAGATCTGCGCCAGGACATGATTCGTGAATGTCACCAGGTAGCGCACACAGGTATTGCACGGACAACTGATTTGCTGCGACAAAGTGCGTACTGGCCAGGTATGAGAGACGATGTTGCACGATATGTATTAGCGTGCCAGCGATGTCAACTAATGAAAGGGGATCGATGCATACGACCGCCATTGCAGTCAATTCCAGTAACAGCAGTTGGTGATTTGTGGTCAGTAGATATTATGGGACCGTTCCCACAGACGACAAGTGGTAACCAGTACCTGCTGGTGATGACTGAGCATGCCACACGATGGGTAAATGCCGTGCCGATGGCGGACCAACGTGCAAGGACGGTGACGGAAGCGGTAATGCGGCACATTGTGGCTGACCATGGGATACCAAAGATAATATTAACCGATCAAGGTCCCTGTTTCGAGAGTGATGAGTTCAAGTCCCGTCTAAAGCAGTTAGGTATCAAGAGAGTACGAACAACGCCGTATCATCCACAGACGAATGGGTTAACGGAAAGGAATAACCGAACGCTAAAGGAATGGCTAGCATCTAAAGGGGGTGACTGGGAGAAAGAATTACCATTAATCTTGCTGGCACATCGTGCCTCGGCACAGGGAACAACCAGGAAGTCACCGTTCCAGCTGATGTATGGCAGACGGCCGAGACTACCAACGCATGATAAAACCTGGCCGCAACAACAGAGATGGAATACAACAAGATTGAGAACAGAGCGGAGACAAGCAATCAGGAATGTGAGAGAGAAACAAACATCAGACATGCAGAAGTCAGAACAGGAGAGAAAGAACTGGAGACCGTTTGAAGTGGGAGACCAAGTGAAGTGTAGAGAACGGAAATGTACCACAGGAAGAGGGCCAGGGTCAGGTAAGCTGATCCCGAAGTGGGAGGGACCGTACGTAGTAACCGAGAGGCGCGGCGCAGTGTATACAATCCAGAAAGGAAACAAACAGAAACGCGTGAATGCCAGTGAACTCCAAAGGTGGTTCCAAGTGCGCCAAGAGGGCGAGCCACAAACACTGATAAAGAAGACGGCTGTACGGAGATCAGAAAGGCTGAGAGAGCGACTTGTTAAAGGGGGGACGAGTGTGGTGTGTGCTACTTATACGAACGATATAAGTAGTATAAGAATGGACGTGAAAGAAGATGTCTTACGGTCAGAAGAGGAAAACGGAAAGCAAATAGAGCAAAAGCAAGAAAGATTTAGAGCACCGACAGGAAGTAAAGGAAGCAACAGCAGGAATGGAGGAAGGCTGGAGCGTTGGAAGTCAGGACTCAAAGATGGTGTGCAAATGGAGTGTTCAATGTAATGTTATCGTTTTTAATTGACTAAGAGTGTAAATTTGCCAAATACAATCTATTGAGCCTGCCTCCGTCTTCTCACAAAGGAAGAAACGTATAAACTCAATGAAGGCAAAATATTAGAAACTATAATAAAATACAAATATATTACGATCTCAAATGGAATCGAACAGACTAACGAAATGTTCAACTGAAGGAATCAATAAGAACAAGTTACAAAGGCATACATGGAGGTATTTTCACAAACAGTACGTTCAAAAATGGATCTTACAATCGGTGGATTCTGCCACAAAGTATCGATTAGTAAATCGTCATTTATCAGTTCATGAATAGGAGAAGAAACGGTATGCAGAACGTTTCAGTGAATTTCAACAGCAGAGATCGATGAATAAATCGATGAGTAAATCATCGTTTTTCAGTAAAAACAAATCAACAGAAACCGTATAAAGAACGTTTCAGTCATCTTCAACAGCAGAGAGAGAGTAAGTGAGAAACTGAATGAAAAACCGAAAGACGTTGAGCAGTTAACTTGAAGAAATAACAACATTATAAATGAACTTGTAAAATAATTAAGTTGAAGACGTATGGGAGTGTGTGCGTTCCATAGTTAACAATTTGATCATTGTTCGATTTCTGTCGCTTGATTATATGCCATTTTGTTTCGAACAACCTGTCAAATACAGTCAAAATCAGTCATTGAAACGGGAACACTGAAATGCTAAACTTTCGCATTCTTGATTGCTTTACGAATAAATTCCAATACCACAGTATCCTCACATGGTAGGTGGTGTCTACTGAAAAAGTAAATCGATTTAAGCTCATCCATGTTGCCGACGCCAATCATCATTTACAAACTGATACATGTACTCAACATCTAGAAAAATCTGCGAATATCTACCAACACGTATGGACAAAACAAACCATTTTACTTTTCTAATTTATTCTTCTTATTGGCTCTCTTTAACCATCCAATCCGAAATAAACAATCGGATTCCAAATCTAGTTAAAGCTGTGTGTACTTGTAACATTATTCTTCTGATTTGAACTAGAATACGAGGTGAGTGTCGGCCAAAACATTTGATGCCAGTTGCTGCATAATAGATATATCACTCCAAACAAATGATATCACAATGTTATGTTCATTTTGAATATTTCAGAGTCACCGCTGCATCTGGATTGCTGATGCAGTAGTTTGTTTGGTGTTTTACTTCCAAACGTTTTGGAGTGTGATGATATTTGTGCACAGTTTACTGGCTTCCAACCAGAAAATTATGAAAGTGTAATCTATGCAAACGATACTTACAGAGAAGGAACATATCGGCCGGATGCTGCAACACATGCACAGGCTAATTATCATTATTCGCAGACAATCCTTCGACAAGAACCACATTCAGTCTGTGATGAAGATTTCAGTCAAACAAGACAGCACTTCCGGTAAGTAGTCGATATTGATTTCTCCTCCTCCCCCTCCCCCCCCTAGCTTTCCACCCCCCCCCCCCCCCCCCCCCCCATCCCCCCTAGACAGTCACTTCAGCATGTCACTAGGTTCTGGGTCAGAAAAAGTACCATCACAAGGAATGGATCTCTATTGATACTCTTGAAAAAATTGAAGAAAGGAGGGACAAGAGGGCAGCAAAACAAGAGGTCAGCCGAACAAGAGCGGAGAAAGTTACCGCACAAGCTGCATTCACAGAAGCAAACAGGAAAGTGATGAAGAGCATCAAAGCCGACAGTCGAAAATATATGGAAGATCTGGCAATCAGGGCAGAAAAGGCGGCAAGAGAAAGTAACATGAGACAATCGTGCGAAACAACAAAGAAGCTCGCCGGAAACTAGCGTGAACCAGAACGACCAGTGAAAAGCGAGGGAGGCACAGTAATCAACAACATTGAAAAATAGCGAAATATTTGGGTAGGGCACTTTAGGGAACTGTTGAATCGACCAGCTCCACTGAACCCATCTGACATCGAAGCAGCATCTACAGACCTCCCAATCGATGTTCGCCCACGAACAATTGAAGAGATCAGTCTGGCCACCAGAAAATTCAAAAGCGGCAAAGCAGCAGGACCAGACAACGTTCCAGCAGAGGCAATGATTGCAGACTTGGCAGCGATTGCGAAAACATCCCATACTATTTTCTACAAGACTCTTAATGAAGAACAAGTAACAACAGACTGGAAAGAAAGATAACCTATCAATTACAAAAACAAACGATCTCAGCAAGTGTGAGAACTACAGAGGCATCATTCTTCTCTCAATACCTGGCCATGTCTTTAATGGGATGTTTTTAAACAGAATGAAGGACTTTGTAGACGCCCAACTTCTAGATCAACAGGGTCGATCTTGTACCGACCAAATCACACGCAATATTACGGATCATTTTGGACTAATCAGTTGAGTGGAATTCGCCACTCCACATCAGCCTCATTGACTACGAGTGGACATTCGATAGCCTGAACAGGAGGCTTTTTCGACACCATGGCGTGCCTGAGGTGATAGTCAATATCATACAGAATTCTTATGATGGATTAAACTGCAAGATCGTCGATGCAGGGCAGCTGACGGACTCGTTTGAGGAGAAAGCCGGTGTCAGGCAAGGTTGCTTACTCTCACCCTTTCTCTTTCTCCTGATCATCGACTGGATAACGAAGGTGTCAAAATCTTGTGGGAAGCACGGAATCCAGTTGGCAGCTAGGACGCAGCTGAATGATCTGGACTTTGCAAATGGATCCGATGCAGATATGAGGGCGCGGATCATCAAAGCAAGGGCTTCATTTCAACCAAAACCAAAATCAGGATTTTCAATACAAATGGCAAGACAGTTCTACTGTATGGAGCGGAAACTTGGAGAACTACGAAAACTATCATCCAGAAGATACCTTGGATTCGTTGGCCAGACACCATCAACAACAACCTACTGTGGGAGAGAATACAATAGATCCCAGTGGAGGACGAAATCAGGAATTTGTAGTTAAAGTGTGTGGGAAAAACATTGCGAAAAGCACCCAATTGCATCACAAGACAATCCCTTTCTTGGAACCGTCAAGTCAAAGGAAAGGGGAAGGCCAAGGGACATATCATGACGAGAACTAGAGAAAGACATGCCAAAAATCAATAAACGGGAAAGGGAAGCCGAGGACAGAGTTGGTTTGAGAAAACTGGTTGGTGGTCTATGCTTCATTGGGGGAAACAGGCGAAATTAAGTAACCAAATCAGGTGAGAACTGTGAGAATACTGTCAGACTGACAGGAAAGGATCTGAAACCGAACGTAAAAGATGAGTGTTCACCGGCAATGTCTAAAAGTGTAATTTACGAAACGACGAAACGAAGATTCGAACTTTAATTTCAGTGGTTCAAAGTAAAGTCCATCCATACTGTGAACTCACAAAGCAAGGTTAAATCACATAAAATTCGACAGTCCCTAACGGTAGTCCTAATGAGTGACATCATTGGATTGACTGTACAAGGTGTTACTTTTCTGTCAATCTCAGCCTGTTAATCGAAAGCGTTTTCTATCTCTTTAAAATCTATTAGACCTTACACCAATAAAGAAATGGGAAGTCGACTATGTGTTAAAACCTAACCGGTCATGATTTTCCACCTGATACAGACAACTTACGTCCTCAATGGAAGTTCATTTCTGAATGTTTGCTCAAAGCGCTATTAAGGCCCAACGCCACTGCTAGCTTGGACACACAAATCTGCTGAATTGAGTGCAGTGACGAGGGATTAAATGGGTGACGTGGTCACAGAATAAATCCTACGAAGACAAACTCTGAAACTTCGGACTATTGCTGTTGGGTTAAAGAAGAACCAGAGGCGATATCATAATAGTATGCACTATCTTAAATACGCCGAATCACTCCAGTACGAGCATCTTACCGAAACATCACCACTACGTTCCTCCAGGAAACCCTCAAAAAACTGCACATCAAAGAGCAAAGATCTAGGTACGCGCACGCCTAATATTTGTCCGAAATTGTAATGTTCAACAAACCCTATTGGCCACAGTTCCCTGAGTGGAGAGCTTTTATGGGAAACGTTTCCCGCCTGGATCAGATGTGCCTGATGCATGTTTCGAAACTTGCTCCTTGCGATTACTGTCATTTCCTCAGATCCTATTACTTGATCTCCGTCGCTAACTATCTCTTTTCCCTCTTATTTTCTCATATTACTATCGTCTAACACAATCTTCAGTACAAACTAATTAATTTATTTATCTATTTATTTGGTTTTAAAATGTCATTAGTATTGGAATTTTGTCATTTTCACTCCCCACATTACAACTAACTGATCTCCAGCCTGGTAGTGTTCACAGCTTCTGGTACCCAGAAACGCAACTGTCCTGATAAAAGTACATTCACTCAAATTACAGAACATCCAGGTTCAGAAATACCTGTCAGCTAAATTTAATTAGCGCTTTCGAGTGGCTAGACTGTCACCTGCTGTAAATTACCAAATTCTTGTAATCATAACGAAAAGACAAGAAGCAAGCTCAAATAAATCAAGTGATTTACACTAGCTCTTGGAAAATTTTGGATATTGGATATTGGAAGATGCGCTGCTCTTAGTTTAGCGCGCAACATCTTCGCTGGGGATGGCGGAAGATGATGGACGGAGTCTCGAAGAAGAGAATCGACAGTTAAAGTCTGCACTTAAAGTGTCGATGCAAGAAAAGTATGAGGCAGCTGAATATGGCCTAACCCTTTTGGAAACAAATCAACAACTTAAAAATCAGCTCGATGAATTGGGCGGAAAGTATGAAGAGTTAAATCGAGAACTGAAAATTACTCGCAAGGTAATAAGCTGTAAATTACAAACTTAATCCAAACTTCAGAGTCTCGAGGAACAAAACCTTATACAGCGTAGGTTAAGTATCGCGGGTTTCCAGGAGGAAGACGATCTAGTATCCGAGTCTGCAAACAGAGAGCGAGTGTTGCGAAATCAAGTTCATGACTTGGAGGTAGAATTAAAGGAGGTTAGACTTAAGTACGAGCGACAAATGGCAGAGAATGATGCACTGCATAAAAGGAATGCTGAACAACAGTCAGCTCATGAAGATTTGGAGAAGCAGTTCAGAAACCTAAAGTCCGATATACGAGATGCTAAAGCGAAGGAAGCCCAAATCTTAAATGAGTACGATGACTTGGAAGCAGAAAATTTGGAGTTACAGAAAACTATACTTTTCCTGAAAACTGGTCAGGTGAGTTCAAATTGTGTTATGGTGGTTATCTCAGGTGGAATTCGAAAGCGTAAGGCATGAATTAAAACGACTTCAGGAGGAAAATGATGTTATACATGTCCAACTAGAAGAAATAACTCGTTTAAAACGTATGACGGAAAAGTCCCTGGAAGATGCTTTAGAATCACTTCAGATTGAACGTGACCAACGTCATAATTTGCGCAAAGAATTGGACAGTAGAATTATATCAGATTCAATTAGTCACCTGAGTGACTTACGGAACCTTAGCAATTTCGCGAATGTCAGCAAACTCAGTCATCTTCCGGAAACTAATACAGAATGCCAAAAATTAGGTAAGTATTCGTGAGCATTTTACTATGTATTATTTAGTTCGAGTTTTGTGTTACTGTAAACATTATTCTAAAACAGTTTATCTATTTGTTTAAAGTTACTTCGTTCTGGAAAGTATATCACAACTGGTTTTTACGGTAGAAAATAAAGTTCGTTTTAAGGGCGTGAACATATGGTGGCTTTGCTTTAATATATTTCAAAAATTAATGCCCAAGCACCTACCATATCTTAAATGCTCTTCAGGTGTATTATGCGACTATCCCAACGACGATTAGAGACTTTGTCTTGCTAGATAATGGATAATGTCAACGTTCGGTAGTGAGCGTTTGGACAAAATATAACCATTCGTATGACAAATCAATTTATCACAGGATAATGGAGCTTACACCAGTGTTTCATATTAGTATTGTTTACATGAAAGCTAATGCAATCGTTTTTAAAGGAACAGGTGTGTATATCTTACATTATGATGACAGCAATATTTCGATCTTAGTCGGGAACGACTTGAAAATTGATTAGTAAAAGAACTGTAATTGTATAAGGATTATACCATTCACGCTGGTCATTTACCAGTTATACGATTAAGATTGTGGAAGGAAAAACCAAAGTTTTTATATAACAGTTCCTACAAAATATTTTGCCATAAATTACTTTATGGTAACAACAAAATATCAATTAGCGAAACTCAGTAGTGAAGCTCACAAGAATCAAGTATAAGAACAAGTTAATGAAATATAGTATTCAACTAATTGATGAAAAATAAGAACTTAATGAGTGGATAGGGATTTGATTGTGACAAAGTAACAATGCCAAAATGTTCGGAATGCGATTCTCCCTGTCGAAGTGCGAAATCTTACTTCAGGATTGACTTGCATCGGCACCGGAACTAGTGATAGGGAGTAAAGTAGTCGAGTATTTAGACCGATTCACTTATCCTGGGAGTCTCATCATTGCTGAAGTCCTGGTGTGTGACGAAGTCTCAGCACTGATACGGAAGTCTCAACTAGCTTTTGTCAACTTGCGTCACTTATGTTGTAGGAGAGATATCCGTTTGATAACCAAAAGACGAGTGTACTGCGCAGTAGTTCGCTCCGTCCTACACTTTATGGCTGCGAAACATGGTCAATCAGAGTAGAGGATATTCGTAGGTTGCTTGTTTTCGACCATTGTTGTCTCCAAAGCATTGCTCGTATATCCTGGGAATATAGAGTAAGCAATGTAGTTGTTAGGAAACGGGTAGTGGGTAAGGATGGCAGGTCAATAGAGGAAGTATTGAAACTTCATCAGTTGATGTGGTTGGGACATATGTTGCGCATGCCTAACCATCGACTGCCTCGTCGAGCAATGTTTTGTGGTGTAGGAGCAGGTTGGAAGAAACCTAGGGGCGCGCTCAAACGAAAACATGGTAGAAATCCATGAAGTCAATGACAAGTGGACTAAGTCATGTTGGTAGGTGCAGACTACCTGGTTGGAGCCGCGAGATGATAGTAATCGGTGGTTAGAGATCTTGAATGCCATGGTTCAAAATGATTTGCAATGGCGCAGGTGCATTCATTCTTTGTGTTCTCTCAAATACTAAACTTTTTATTTCCTCATCACTTTTTTTAAGTTTATTTCACTAGATTCCAATTCTTGAATAATATTGTCGTACCCTAATCTCTCCGATTACTGTCAATACCTTTACTACCTCTACTACTATGCGATTGAATTGAGAGTTGCGTCTCTGTGCTAATGTGATATGTCAACTTGAACTGATGTACGAACTTCCATGTCGTCATTGATTGATTGACTTATTCGGTCTCGTGTGCTTTTATGGGTATGAGGGCGGATGTTACTACCTGACTGTCCACTCCCTGGAAGGGTTCTGGTTGTCAGAAGGGACATTGGCCTCATGACTTCCGAAGGAACTCGGATTTCATCATGAGACGTTATAAATCTTCTAAATGAAGACTTTCTAACTCCCAGAGCAAAGTTTAAATTGTTTGAATTAGTTTTTCTTGTTAGGTTTTTTTATGGCAAGTTAGTTTTTTGCGGGATGTGTTCGTCAACCCCAATCACAACCCTCCTCCTTTATTCGGGTTTGAGATCGGCAGAATCCTAGAAGGGTCTACAAACGTAGTTAGTGGATAGTGCTTGTAAACTGATATCTTTTTCCTGCTTTCTTTTTGTTTTGAAATACTGACATGTTTGCTGTTAAGTAGTTAATGAACTTGTGTTCTAAGTATATTCAGAGCGATGGACAATAACTCTCCGTAAGGTTTTAAAATGCATTTACCTTGGCACTTTTTATTTTTGGCTGTTTAAGCGAGCAATTCAGTTGTTATGAAGTTAACTCTGCCAGATTATTTTTGTAGGCACAAAATGTTTAGTACAGTAAGAAAAGCAGTGTGTATGAATAAATAGTTAAATAGAAATGGTATTTTATTATAAATATAGTTCATCTAAAATAATTGATTTCACCTTTATGAATATTGTGATACTGCAACAGAACTTCAACAGGCTCCTACTCTGATATCATCTGGAGCTATTGAATTATGATGTTTAGGTACCTATCAAAGAAGTTTTATTGAGATAACAACTGACAATCCTAAACAGCCTTCTTTCATACAACAAAGCTATGTCATAAACTGACTACTCCAAGTTTTTCCACTCTCTCCTAAAGTGGAAAAATGGTCCACTTCAAAGGCATATGAACGAATATTAGTTAGTTTCAAATATTTATTCTTAAATAATTCGGCTGCTAGTCATCAAATTAATAGAACTAAATATAAAATTTCTGTGCTTCAGGGACATTATTTCATTGATGTTTCAAGCGATACCTAATCACTGTATCGATATTAGTTAATTATGAGAAATAAATTTTTATCTTACCAGATGCCAATGTATCTTCCAATGAACCTCCAGGAAGTGATGTAAAAAGTCAAGAAGAAAACAAGGATGGTTCTAAGCATCCTTCGCCAGATGATCTGTTAACTGAGTTAAGAACTACAGAAATAGCCAAGTATCAGACAGAATTGGCTCATATAGAAACTGAGAAAAATGAACTTATGAGAACACTCGAAAATACACAGAGGTCACTTGAATTAGCTACAAGTGAAGTTTCAAATAAACAGGAACGTATCAATGGTTTACTAGCTCAGTTAGATGCAATTATGTCTGTCAAATCTGAAGCAGACTCTGAATTTGAAGTCAAAGAATTGGAGTTAGAAGCACAGACAACAACTGCAAACTGTAAGAATACGATGAGTGAATCCTGTATTTCTATGACTGCTCATCCAGATGAAAATGAGGATCCGAATGCAAACATGCACAGTGACCTAAAACGAACACGTAGAGCCCTGCGACTGAGTGAAAACCGTTATTCCGTAGCTTTGCGTCAGATCGCCAGCATGCAACATGATCTTTGGAGATATCATGAGCGTGAAAAGATTGATTCCCGGCCTGAATTAGCCTCAGAAGAATCCTTAAAACAGGAACTGGTTCGCTTACAAGGTATTTTAGAACAACGCAATGAAGAAATAAAAACTTTGCAACAAAGACTATCCGACAATGAGCAGGCTGTTTGTACAAATTATAGTAAGATCTGTTCTGTCACGGAAACTTATAAGCAGTGTCTCATTGTTCTTATCGGGATCTATAGCTTTGTGTGCTCAGTTATCAAGGTGTCTCCACATAAACAAGTGAGTGTTTTAGGTCTTTTCTATCCTGCTACTATGCTGATGTGTTTACTTTATGCTAGATTTTATTCTGATATCACAGTGCTGTCAAAAAATATTTGGGTTGCTTGAAAATTTACCAAACTTTAGTAAGGAATTCTATAGCTTAACATTATGTGAGTCGTAAATTTGAACCAGTTATGCGCGCGGTTCTGGCTTTGTGTTTCTTTTCGTCAATTTAGATGTGTTAGTAATATCTTAGTGTTACACAATTCCGCAATAAATGGGTGACACTGCTGCTTTACAACAATCATTCTAAGCAACCAGTTATGCTGTGAATTAAGTTTTCATAAGAATTAATCTAACACAGTTATTATTTGAGTGATTTATAAGCGTATTCTTTCTAAATATAGGCGTTATTTCTGTCCTTAACGCTAATGAAAGCTTCCCAACCAAACAATCCAGCTAAGATTTTCATCAATAATATTGGTTATCAGTTACACAAGTGTTGCACCAAATAAGTAGATCAGCCTTCTACTAGTAGTTGATTTAGCAGTCACACATTGTGCAAAACTGATATGCATAATCGTTAGTGAGTAGTCTAATGTGAGACAGTGGCTCGCAATAAAAGATATACTATACTGGCAATATCAAAACCCGGTGAATAGTTAGTCCACTTGCGAAAATGATGGTTGTTTTATCACTACCAAAAGCTGACCAGTACTTCTAATTAGAAATTCAACTGAAAACTAGTTATTTCTTTCTGTTCATTATAATTTAGTGAGATATTTATTGTTGTGCCGGTTTTGAACTTTTAAATTTCACTGGGTTATACTTTTTGAAACGAATTTTCGATCCCTAATCTTTGATTACAGCTACTATTGCTACTATCCCTACCACTATGGAATTTGAATCGACAGCTCCATCTCTGTGCTAATGTGGTATGGCAACTTGAACTGATGTATGTGCGTACTAAGTTCAGCGTTGTTGCTGACTGACCTTGTACGTAGCCTTTATGTAGTTTATGCTCTAAGGTATCCTTAAAGTGTGAAGAACGGAGTCCTGTACTTATAGCGGTTGTTTATACGAATATAGCTAAAGTTTATCTAACCAATTTATAAAATATCCAAAGCATTTCTTTTTTGGCCATGTACAAAGCTTAATTCAGTGGAATTAAGTATTTGCAGAATTGTTCTCACTTTCCATTTCAATCAATCAATCAATGACACCATACCACATTAGCACAGAGACGCAACTCTCAATTCAATCGCATAGTAGTAGAGGTAGTAAAGGTATTGACAGTAATCGGAGAGATTAGGGTACGACAATATTATTCAAGAATTGGAATCTAGTGAAATAAACTTAAAAAAAGTGATGAGGAAATAAAAAGTTTAGTATTTGAGAGAACACAAAGAATGAATGCACCTGCGCCATTGCAAATCATTTTGAACCATGGCATTCAAGATCTCTAACCACCGATTACTATCATCTCGCGGCTCCAACCAGGTAGTCTGCACCTACCAACATGACTTAGTCCACTTGTCATTGACTTCATGGATTTCTACCATGTTTTCGTTTGAGCGCGCCCCTAGGTTTCTTCCAACCTGCTCCTACACCACAAAACATTGCTCGACGAGGCAGTCGATGGTTAGGCATGCGCAACATATGTCCCAACCACATCAACTGATGAAGTTTCAATACTTCGTCTATTGACCTGCCATCCCGAAACACGAAGCGTAAACCATGTTGTTTCTGTCTGCGGTAGGTGAAATCAAATTGATTGTATTACTCATATCCTATATACGCGTCTCCGAGACGCAACATACATCGGTCGCTCGGGATTCCATAGTTCTAGTTAATGAAGCTTGTTGCACTGTTTGGAACAAGGTTCGAACATTAAAAGCTCTAATATATAATTTAGTACGGGGTTTGAGGAGACCAGGAATAGCGTTCGTGAGATCAAACCGTTTGTTTCAGAGGCGGTAGATGAAAACCGATCGAAAAAATGGTTGATCATGGAGATAAAAGAGTTATTAGGTGTAGAAAGGATGTGATTCTAAACGGTTTAGTTTCATGTGCTTTTATGGGTATGAGGGCGGATGTTACTACCTGACTGTCAACTCCCTGGAAGGGTTCTGGTTGTCAGAAGGGACATTGGCCTCATGACTTCCGAAGGAACTCGGATTTCATCATGAGACGTTATAAATCTTCTAAATGAAGACTTTCTAACTCCCAGAGCAAAGTTTAAATTGTTTGAATTAGTTTTTCTTGTTAGGTTTTTTTATGGCAAGTTAGTTTTTTGCGGGATGTGTTCGTCAACCCCAATCCTAACCCTTATCCTTTATCCGAGCTTGAGATCGGCAGTAGCCGCGAAGGGTCTACAGGCCGAGTTCACTTAGTTTAATGGAGTAACGTTTACAAGAAAGTTTTGTTTTGAAGTGCGTTTCTTTATTCGACTTTGAAGTAAATGCTTTGTAAATTTCGATTTCATTTGTTAATAAACAGGTGGCTTATGTAGCAGATCGTTTTAATATACCTCTTCGTGTTGAAAAAGATTCATCGGATAATTCAGTCGCATCTGATCTAGTTGGAACAGATAAATCGATTGATGAACAACTGGGGCAAGATTGTGGAACTAAAGTAACGGAATCTCCTACAGTAAATGCGAAAACTACTACCACTGCTACGGAGTCAGATTTTGAGGTCTTGTCCGAAGAAGCTGATTTACATCTTACTGTTGTCACACAATTGCGTCATCTAGTTAGCACATTCAATGAGAAGTATTCTCAGATTTCAAATCAGGTACGAATAACAGTTCTATAATTCTCTGTCTGAAGTATTTTCTTGTATAACTAATAAGATTTATAATAGTTTTCGTTTCAAGTAATAAAAAGAACAAAAAAAATGTACAGATTAAACTATTTGAGCCAGTATAATACACTCTACGCTTGGTTAATACTTGTATTAGTGTATCAAATGGTTTCCAGTACACTCGTCGTATGCAGAATCAAAAAATTAGATTACCAACTCATGCACTCCTTTAGGACCAAATCTTCTAACCTTATTGATGATTTTAAGTGATTTATCAGATGGGGCCATGTGACCAGAATTCACAAGATGTTCTAACTTTGAACTGTTGGTTGATTTACAACATTCACCTTTCGAGTGCCTCTTCTATGATTTTGCTTATCTAGGTTATGTACACTGGCCTCTATGTGAATAGGTTTGTGGTATCGTATAATCGACTAAAAGTTTTGTGATTCATAATGATAATTTGGTACCATACGATTTGATTTTACGATTACGTGTTTTAGTTTAGTAATCGTTTACATCATTGTATTATTGTTTTTCAAAAAGCAGAGGTTTTTGTCACAGTTTATTGTTAATCATCATGTAATGTTTATTAAAGAACTTATCAACATTTAAGTTTTTGTTTATCGTTTACGCAGAGTTTGTAACGAGTGTATGTCATCAGCTAAGGCAACCCACATCTCAAATCAGCTCAGCGAAGAATAAGATTAACAAAATTTAAAACAGATAATATAAAAAACGAGAAACAATCCAGGAAGATTTAAGAGAATAGACAAATGGAAAACTCTAAATAAGGCTTGAAAGAAAATAGAGGATGAATATCATAGGTTTCACCCAACAGCACACAATATTTCAAACCATTGACTATGATTTGTGTTTGGGTTCTAACCAAAATGCCTACATCCGTTGATGTGGATCAGTTCGGAAGTTAAGAACTTGAATGATTGATGATAAGTATTGCTCTGACTTTCACCTTAGCTTCCTTCTCGTTTCCTTACGTAAGCCAGCACTGCACGTCGAGTTAGGGCATGTTTGGGTTTGCATAACACTCTGTTGTACTCTATTTCTGGCTATTTGATCTGATTTACATATTTCAAAAACACACCTGTTCTAACTCTTACTGTTGTTATTTTTACGAAATAGGTTCCTGGACGTAGCAGTTTAGATGTTGAAGAAATTCAACAACAAAACTTGCGTTTAAAAGGTCTGTTGGAGACAAAGCGTGAACAAGTTCATGCATTACGTAATATGCTACGAGCTAACAAAACTACAGCTGAAACTGCTCTGGCAAATTTAAAACAAAAATACGAAAAAGAAAAAATTAATGTCAGTTCAACAATGCAGCAATTACGTAATGAATTAAAAACACTGAAAGAAGATGCTGCGGTCTATGCTTCGTTGCGCGCTGTATTTGCTCAACGTTATGATGAATACATGACACAATTGGATGAAATGCAAAGAAAATTAAGTGTAAGTTTTACAATAATCTTTAGGATAAACATATCTTAGGTGTTATGCGTATATTTAGGTGACTGATTTGTTTTCCTTCACTTGAACGTTAGTTTTTTTCTTCGTTTATAATACTTTTTCTTATTATTTTTTCGATTGGAAGACATGACCGTATTTCGACCAGATCCTTTAGGTATACCAATGAAATCACAATGATTATATTTATTGTAAACATATCTTAATACGAAAATGAATTGTAGATTAAGGAAAGCTATAGAAAAAAGAATTAAACGATAGTGAATACTAAGAATTAAACATAACGTCTGCTTCTTATTCAAAACGCAAAACCTCGATTTTTATGCACAAAACCGGGGAAAATTTAGCTTTTTCTATTTATTTTTCATAAATCTGGCTAAAATGGATTGTTGTATTTTAGTTTGAAAACTATATTCGAATACCAAGATATTATTCAAATACTTCAATGATGAATATCAGCACTTAATTATCTGTAAAAGTCCTCTGCTATGTTTGCGTTTTTTTACATATTTTTTTTTCAATATCAATTAATCTTTTAGTTGTATTCCTACTCCTAGTTTGCTTCTGTAAATCAGCTTATGCTGAAGCATTGTCAAATAATGTTCGATTGCTTTATGAAGTATTTTATATACAAAATAAATATTGTTCGTCTGTTAACCACTTCTAGTTTAGACAATTTCAACTACTCTTATGTAATCACATTTTTGTGTTAACTTTTTAATATTTTTCTGAAATTATAGATGGCTGAAGAAGAAAAAAGGACTGCAAACACTTTGTTACGTCTTGCTATTCAGCAGAAATTAGCTGTTACTCAACGACTTGAAGAAATAGAAGTAGATCTTTATCAAAAGCAGAATTTTGACATTCGTTCTGGTCAACCTTATCCCCCTTATCATGCTAGTCCAATTCAGCCGCCATCTAATTCCCTTTTATCCGGCCCAAATCACCAACACTCCTATCCTACTTTAATTCATAATCAGCGACATTCAACTCCACAAAGTTTCCCTCCATCTGACCTATCCGCTCCTAGATCATCTGCCCTTCCGAATACTTACTATCCCGGTTCCAGTCCACAACATGGGAGCGTGTCATCCAATGGCAGTGGTACAAGAGTGTCAGGTCCAGGATCCGATAGAAGCAAAGTAATTAATTTAAATTATAACCCAGTGGTCATGTTTCATCAAAAAATGGCATTTTCTTTATCAGAAATAAACTTTTTAATGGGATGTAAAGTAAATTCGTCTATCATTAACAGAATGCTAAATCAGTTCATCAATGTTACTATACTAAAAGTTCCGCATAAGCTGTTTAAGACTGTAATTGACGATGTTTGACGAATCTGTCGACTCATCTCTGTTTCTGAAGGATTTTCGTCATCTGGTGGCGACATCATGTTACTAATAATGAGGTTCGGCAGTGTGTGCTAGAACATATTGGTGATCATGTTATTGGCATCACCATTTTTAAACGCGGGCTTAAGTGACTTCGATATTTTTTACGAATGTCATCTCTATGCCTTCTACATCATGCTTTAGTTGTCGACGCCGTAACTGGTTAAAAAAACGAGGGTGATAACTGTGATAACTCGGAACTTAACTGTCTGAAAGATAGTGATAATATCTGGCTGCCAAGACTGAATTTGCGACCTGTTGGTTGAAATGTTGGTACTTTCACCATCGCCGAGACTTGACTTCGCTTTATCTTTTGTTACTACGATATTCATATAAGTTCGTATTGCTTAGGCATACTAAATTTGACTAAAACAAAAGCAGACTGAGTATAAAATGTTTTTTATTCTTACTAGAAAAAATTAATCAAATAACTTCATAAAATAGAATTCTCCAAATAGTTATGTAGTACTTTGTGATCATCGAATGTAGTTGGATTTCTTCAATAATTCTCGCGACTATCAAGTCAAAACAACAGTCTATTACTTCCAACATGATGATGTAACTCATACTATTATTTAATAAATGGTCGCAACCTACCTGAATGAATAAATATATACGATTGTATACAGAAGAGTGGAACTAGTGGCAACAGCGAAAATGTATTTATAGAAGTCGATTAGCACCGAAGGATTAAACAAAAATAACAGTGGTCATGATATTACTGTTCATAGTTCTACTTGGTGAAGACGCTGACAAACTGCAGAGTCTTCTGACTACCCTAAGTAACAATGCAAACATGTTCGGAATGCGATTCTCCCCGTCGAAATGCGAAATCTTACTTCAGGATTAGAAGATATTCGTAGGTTGCTTGTTTTCGACCATTGTTGTCTCCAAAGCATTGCTCGTATATCCTGGGAATATAGAGTAAGCAATGTAGTTGTTAGGAAACGGGTAGTGGGTAAGGATGGCAGGTCAATAGAGGAAGTATTGAAACTTCATCAGTTGATGTGGTTGGGACATATGTTGCGCATGCCTAACCATCGACTGCCTCGTCGAGCAATGTTTTGTGGTGTAGGAGCAGGTTGGAAGAAACCTAGGGGCGCGCTCAAACGAAAACATGGTAGAAGTCCATGAAGTCAATGACAAGTGGACTAAGTCATGTTGGTAGGTGCAGACTACCTGGTTGGAGCCGCGAGATGATAGTAATCGGTGGTTAGAGATCTTGAATGCCATGGTTCAAAATGATTTGCAATGGCGCAGGTGCATTCATTCTTTGTGTTCTCTCAAATACTAAACTTTTTATTTCCTCATCACTTTTTTTAAGTTTATTTCACTAGATTCCAATTCTTGAATAATATTGTCGTACCCTATCTCTCCGATTACTGCCAATACCTTTACTACCTCTACTACTATGCGATTGAATTGAGAGTTGCGTCTCTGTGCTAATGTGATATGTCAACTTGAACTGATGTACGAACTTCTATTTGTCATTGATTCATTGATTGACCGACTGCATTTATTTCTCAATCCCACAGAAAGTCATTCGAGGCTTGAATAACTCAACGGTTATATTTTACATTATCAAACTGGTTGATTCAGGACTGATCCCACTAGTAAGCAGCAATTACTTCATGATTACAAACAGACCGTCCCTAATGAATGCCCAGGATGCACTCGATATCGAACCACCTTGACTAGTGGTCACCTCACAATTTGAGCGGTTCGATCTAATAAAAAATTAGGACTAAGCAAACGTAACCCTAGTCTTTGCAAAATGAAACCAGTTACGTTTTTTGGTAGTACTGATCATATCTTATCGATAGAGTTAAGTTTATTGATGTAACCATATTTCGTAAGCCCACGTCAAATATGAATGTTTTCAGCAGTTGTAGTTGTATCTAGTTACAAAAATCTGTCCAACCAATCTCTACTCCAGCTGGACATCGATTCTACACATATGTTTTAGCACTATTTGAATGCTGTGTATAAAGTTATACTCAATAATAAATGAATAGCGACATCTTTCAATTAGCAACCTTTTTTCATACCAATTTAAATTAACCCTATCATATGAAATTCAAACATGATTTGTTACAACATTCTGAAAATAGATTAGTAGGTTTCTATTTTATTGAATCTACCAACAATATATTTTAGGCACAGTTATAAGAATCTTCCAAGTAGTCGCTTAGTTCTGTAATAAATTATGCCTTTTCATTAATTCTATTCAGGAACAAACCAAGCAATTAAATGATTTATAATATATTGAGGAAAGACAGTGAGTTGCAGCTATAGGTTGGCTATTATGAGTAATTGAATTATTCATCTAGCCAGGGTCACCGCCCATATATGTTGTCAATAAGTTACCAAGGTGAATTTTTTTTGTTACTGTGCTTTTTTTATTAAGATAGAATTGTATGTTACGTTTATCATCTTGACTGAGAAAAATTTGCTGTTTTTCAATTTATTATCCCAGTCAGATGATAATGTTTTGAATACCAGATGAATTTTTTGAAGATCATTTACTGTTAATACGTGTTACTGTCTTTTTTTTGCTGATTATTTTCCACATATTCTCCTTCACACCATATCTCTGATTCCGTTTGCCTTTAGTCAGTTATTTCTAGTTTTAGATACGCAGATACTTAGTGACTGTTTCCATCGATTTATTATGTGGATAGCATTGTGGTTTAGATTATATAAATTAATATTAGGACAATATAATGCAGTTAATGAATTATAAATCCCATTTAAAAAAAATCATTTATTGCAATTCAAATTTGAAGATTAAATATGTTCATTTATTTACTTTTCAGAGAAATACACGTTTTAGACGAGATGGTGTGACCTGAGCACATTGTCTACAAAGTCATCCGTTAAATACATCAATCTATCTACATATAATATGATTTTTAACTCTTACAACCTTGCTTACATTCGAAAAGAACTTATTGCCTTAAACCTTCTCAAATTAGGCTATCATTGGTTGTTTTTCACAGCTCATTATATATATATATGCTTGTATAATGTTTTCAATATTTTTTTCTCGTATATTGTATTTATTTAAAGCTCACTGTTCTTACCCGTTCACAGAACTTAGTTAATCATATATCGTGAATTTAGTAAAAAATTCTAATCCTCTTTTTTGCTAGCGTAAGGAATTATTTGTTGTTATGTGCAATATTACTTCTCCTATTTTTTGATCTTTCCTCTCTGAAATACATTTTTAAATGTAAGCAGTTAGGGGATTATTTGTATGTGTTTGCTCTTTCCATAAACATTAATTCATATATGTTGACATGTTTTTAGGAATATTTATATACATTACTGAAACGATAATATATACTGTCTTTTTTTTTAACATTATCGGTCTACCGAGAAATATCAGGTTTAATCTCTTGACTAAATTTTAAATCTGTCTAAATGTTTTTTTGTCCCGTAATTATTTTCCATCAGTTTATCATGCCAGTTATTGCTATGTTTCATTACTTGTTTTCATCATGGTAGAGCACGTACTTATGAATTGCTTTGTCCTAAATTTCCCGTCTTTGTTTTGTAATCTCTTTCTACATTTTTAATTCCTCCTATATATAAAAACACTGAATCTTACAATTTTGATTCGTTCCTGTATTTCTTTAAGTTTTCTTTTAAAAATTATTCTGTCCTTTTTCATTTAGTGGTGATCCAATTGATTATTTCATAGAGAATTTAAATTTCTCATCGTCTTCAGAGAAGAATGTATTCTTTGCTTTCTTCACAATGTATAGTGTTAAAAAGTAACAATTTGTTCGAAGTTATAGTTTCTTGGTTTTATTTACCCATTAACCTGCTTGGGTTTTGATTGTGATTACTCAATCAGTCTAGTAAGAGTTATTTCAAGTTTCCTAAAAATGAAGTAATTTGATCATTCAGCTTCATAAAAAGTAATGGTTTTAACTTTACACAAGCTCATTTATCGGCTTCCTCATGTCAAAATACTTTTCTTAATGACCGAACAGTACCGTACGTTTGTTAAGCATGAATTAGAGATTAATTTTTGGATGTGATTCCACAAAAGGCTGCGTAAATTAGAACATTGGCAGATAATGGGTATGTTTCTCGTCACTAAAGTAAATAGTATATTAAATATGTTTTATTCTTCGTGATACGCATTTTCAAACATGCGAGAAGCTTGATTGTTTATGAATGTTTAAGGTTACTCATGATGATATGATTAGATTTAGTATATCGGAAGTCAGCCCCACATGACTTAGGCCAGATTTACTATGTGGTGAATTAAATATTCCTGTATAATCGACAAAATTGTTTCAAAAATCTATTATGATTATTTAAGATGGAAATTTTCTTCTTGACGACGTCATTTTCTGGAGCTGTACGATCATATTTATAGTTAAATTTTCATATAGCAGTCTGTAATAAAATAGATGAGTTTTAATAATGATGTAACCTATTTCATCCAAAAAATGATACTATCAAAAATACTTTCCTTCGCTGAAACGTCATTCCTATCATAATTCTGTTTAAATGCATGATGTTTTGCTTCACTAAATATCAAAGCACCTGAATTTTGTGATAAATATGCTCACACTCAAGGAATCTAAGTATTGGATATGGCATGGTGATGTACGCCTTCTCTCCAAAGAATATAGAACTCAAAAGTTTAGTTTCTAACCTAGAATCGTACAGCAAACATGAGCTTCATCAAAATCATTCGGTTTGGCTTTATTCTTTATACCCAAATGTAACATATTATCGAAAAGCATTTTCATGAGCATATAAAAAAACTTAGGAAAGATTGTAGGTGGTATTTGCTTTGCTCACTTGAGAAGCACATGTGACAAATTTGAACTATTTATTTTAGGTAAACATAAAATCTATCTCACGTGATGGTTCATTGAATGCCTTAGTGATTGATGATGTACGTCATCTAAGAATTACACATTCGTTTGTAGAGATACTAATGCGCTACATATTTGTTCGTAGTTTTTTTTCATAAAACCACATGTTGCGCCTATTATCATTGTTCATTTTGTATTGACGAATTATATTTTAGTAAATGTTCGTCATTTTACTATAGTCTGACCTCGAAGTAAGTATTCTTGTTTATCTGCCCATCACAAAACCGTACTCCTTTTTATAAACATGGCTACACTATTAACTTATTCCCTCTATGATTTTTGTCCTATATGCACTAATTTATTGCTACCTATTTCCAGTTGACTTCATTGGTTCATATTCTTGCGCTAAACGTATTTTTGGATTTAAAAGCCACAAAATTTACACATGCATATATGTAATTAACCTGTTGTGGATAAAGCTTAGCCAAGAAGTGTGGTACAACAACTTTGGCTGATTTTCGTACGTACGAAGTTTTACATTGTTGTTGACTGCACTTACTGATATGTCATGTGGAGCACCGTGAAGACGAGCTTAAAAAATTTTTGGCACGCAAAATAAATTAGACTGGATATCTGGAATTTTCTAAATGGTCGTTTGAGTATCGGTCACGACTTCACAGTCACTCTCAGCTTCTAATTTTTACTCTAATACTGACAGTAATTTCATTGGCTTAATTTTCGTTTTATTTAGTTTTGCTTGAATTTTTTTTCATAAAAATATTTACCTCATATTCGTTTTTCCTAATTTTCGTACATATGAAAATATAACCTGTACATTTTAAACGATATCATAAACATTCAGGGCTTGATAACGCTTTTGTCTGTGACGGCTTTGTAATCGAGTATCCAAAAACCGATCAATTAAGAATTCAGAAACAGAGATATATCCAGAAGATGATTTCTTCTAGGATACATAATCCAAGGTGGCTCCCACGAGGCAGGATCCTTGACTACTCAAAGACCTTTTATGTTGCTATGATTTCGTGAATACAGATGAAAGACGATAGGGTAAGTATAATCCCCATACCTTGGTGTCAAACTTCCAGCATCAACATAGTTTAGAAGCAAATCTCACAGGGATAAACTGTATTTTTTTGCATAGTGGTATTCTGGCTGTGGTTCCTTCAGTATTTCAGTACTCTACATTGGATTGCTAATAGACTCATGGGATTTCAAAATAAATTTGCGAGTCACTTCAGTAATCTTGGACTCTTTTAATCGAGACTGATTCATTTACCTATTTCAAGTTTATGTAAGATACATAGAGTCGCCTAATGTTTACACTATCCAGAGTGTGTAAGAACTGAAAGCACAATCATCTCTCGTTAATATAATTCGATAATACTCAAGAATTACTGAAATCGCCTTACATTAATAGTATAATACTACTGGATACCTTTAATGCGGGAACTTCGCCTCCTTTCATACGTATTCAACCGAAAGTTTACGATTTCAAGTATTAGCTACTTAATTATTCTTATATCTGCGCATTGTCGTGCTAAAATCGCTAGTTCTGCCCTCAGTGCTATACCTGCACCAGCAAGACGCCGGGAAGCAGCAGCGGGGCTTCCAGATTCACGAAGAGCTAAACAAGCTCGTTTCGTATCTTGACATAGTGAGGACAAGTAAGAGACGCTATTCAGATCCTGTGTGCGTGTTTCAGAAAATCGCTCGAGATTCCAAAGTCTTAGCTAATGAAGTCTGTTGCCTCATTTGACAAAATGTCCGATCATTAATACTTCAACAGATATTTTAAAATAGGGTTTCGGGAGACCAGGGATAGAGTTTCGTCGACTCGAACCGTTTGCATCAACAGTGTAGGGTGTAAAGCGATGTGAAAAAGTTTGGTTGTGCAGCTAAGAGGGTTAATAGGGGGTGGTGGAATGATTTGACTGTGACCAATTTGGTCACGTGTGTTGTTACGGGCATGAGGTTGAATGTCATTTCCGGTGCCCTTCACTGTGGAAAGGAACCTCTTGAGGAACTTGAAAAAGAAGGTGGATTAGTGACGCAGATTTTAAAGAACAACTGCTTGAGGCCGTTTCCACACGGCTATTAATAGGACGTTTTTAAATAGCTTTTTGCGCTCTTCAAATCGCGTCACCACCAGAGACGGAAATCCGTAAGGTAAGTTGAGGCGTGATATTTTCACTGTCAACCAGCAGTGGTTCCTTACCACCGAACCAACGTAACTCGTGCCGAATTTCGTATTTAACATTGCAGAGTCTGAAACCTTTTCTACAATTTTATGCGTAAAATATAAACACTCCATAAGAAGCCACTTTATATTGTCTATCTGGCTGAATGAATTTTAGCAAATATTATGTTATTAATTTTAAGATTTAAATCCTGTCTATAAACTGACATGCTTTTTGTACTATCTTATTTAGGAATAAATAATAATTAATAACAATCTAGCGTGAAACGTACTGTGAGATCCTGTATAAAATTGTTTTGCATGCGAGATGCTTTACTGGTACAGCCACATATATAACATTTATCAAGCCGTCCAAACTCTGCTGCTGTTAGATACGTGCAAATTTTGTGATACAAAACTTTGCACTTGTAAAAACAAGTTTTCAGCTTTATCATTGTGGATCACCAACCTAGGTTTTCCGTGTAAAATATTGCTAACCAACTGCAGTTTTTCCAGAATGATATGACCGCCCAACTCGAGTCTTAATTAACGACTTACGGTTAGTGCTCAGCCTGCTATCGTGCTGATTAGATGACTGGTCAGAATAAAGTCTTTCCACAATAACGCCATTTTTTGGTGTTACCACTAAACAGAAGTATCATGCGGACCAGCCAGATAGTTAAAAAGCGATAAATTCGGGGCAGTACTCTTTCTGATAGAAAGGCGTAAAGAGAGCGTAATCATTCTTAAAGTTACATAAAAATAACAGGAAACCTGTTTTAAACGATAAAATTGGGATTTCGGAAATTCCGCCTATCAAAAAGCCTAAGCCTAGAAACTCCATGTCATAGCCTGTTACCATGCCACATTCATTGACTGGTCGGTTGGTTAGTTTAGCAATGACCCAGTTAAAATTCTCTGAACGGCAAGCTCTCTTAACACGGGAACTGGCACCGTTGTAAAGTCACAGTGTATGATGTTAACATTGCGAAACTATTTTTTTATTGCAGAGTGACCAAGGTTAAATGTGCTAGAATTAGATGAACGAGCCCTACGTAAACTGAGTATGTAGCATGATCAATTTCATTTTTTTGGAAGATTTTCTGATTTGACGGTAATAATCTTGAGACCTTGATTCGATACTCAGAGACTAAGCAGAAGTGCTATAGCTTCAACGAGCAAGGAACTCTTGGAATGAGGTCCAGTTTCGTGACAATTTCCTAAACATCATGAACCGTAGAGAAGTTTTTAACCTTTCTGCTTGTTGTCAGGACAAGAATGACTGGACGCTGTGAGGAAAAGTAGGTGGAGACGTTGGAGTTCCTCATATTGAACCACTAAGAGTTACATGGCTTACCCGAGGAGGAATATTGCACACAGAAACCATCCAAGTTTACTTCGTGTATCGTTCACAACCCATGCTGGCATGGAGTAAGTCCTAACTAAATTCTGAATGGAATGTGAGTATACTTACTAATACACAGTATTGGAAGTGCAGCCTCGTCCGCGGCATCGCGAATGTAACCCAATAAGTATCATTGTGCATGGTGTCACAGAAAGTGTGACTTTATCGGTGAAATCAACGATACTGAACAGTGGAAGTCTATAAAATTGTCTTTGAATCTCAGTAGTTGATTGATCCATCAATTTATGCGACTATTCAAGGATGACGAGGAGTTAAGAACCTGGTTAGGGAAAACAACTTTCTCTTCTGCCCAAACGGCAGTGGAAATTCTCGAGGTATTTTGCTTCGATATACGTCGGTTATCAACTGGAACTCACGTGCATCCTTAGAGGTCTCATGTTGTTAGATAAGACCCGGAAACGAATTGGAGCTAGCAGTTCTACCTGTGGACTAACAAGCTTAAGGAAATTACATGCGGCCTTACCTACAACCTGGGATGTATTTCAGAAGTGAACATACGCTCCGCTGTGTTTTACAAAAATGTGCATAATCTAAACAATGATATTTCCCCTCGCCTGGACATGGTTCACCCTGCTATATTGAGAGAATGTGCTTCAATCTTAGTTTGATTTCTGCGAATTAGCCGAGTAAAATTACGGTCTTAAACAATTCGAATCTGATATACACCGCACGAGCTTTCGAAGGGTGCCAACGCAATGTCTCATCAATAAGCCCGAGCTTTTAGGTACCGATCAACATTTATTAGACTGGTTAGTTCCATTCATAAGCGACAGATATTTAAACCCATGATCAGCTGTAAGTTTTCTGAGGTTAAAGGGTTTCATAGTGGAGTCCCGCAGAGGTCAGTGACAGAACCTTTTCCATTTGTCATTCATGTAAATAATTCTTCTCAACGTGAATCATCTGCGTTATTGCCTCCCTCTGACGATGTCAAACTTCAGAGGGAATTCGGCGGCCAAATAGGCTGATCAGGAGGATTCGGCTGGAACTCGAAGTCGACAGAATGACAACGAACCCCCATTTGCCACTCGAAACAGCAAAGTAATCCATTTGAGAAATGCTGCAGACTATGTGGTAGACTTAGTAAATCTCCTCTAGAGCTGTCACAAATTTTAAAATATCCATGTCTGAAATACTCATAATCTAAACCCTTACGCAAACTATAGAAAACTGCTTTTCGAGCAAACCCTGCGCTACTAAAATGAAGGCGCATTTTTTACTAGCTTGATAGTAGAACTTTCCTCCTCCTCCTCTTCATTCGTCCTCCCATAGAGCATGAAATTATGGAGATTCCTCCCTTTTTCGAGAAGGATCACATTACACAATAGGAGGTATCCAAGGGAGATTCACGAAGTCAGTTAGAGGACTCAAGTGAGAACCTTACGAAGAGAGCATTAAGTTACTGTTTCTCCACCCGTTAGATTGTAGGCGTCTTAAAAATGATTTTCTAATGACTCAGAGCATTTTAATCACTTCTGAGCATCTCATAAAATACTTACTTAAATACTTACAGAAAAGTTTGAGGAAATAACCAGACACCATAGGCGCAACATAGTGAAATGGACTTAAGGCACACCTTCTACTTCTTACGAGTAGTTAAATTCTGGAATACGTGACTCATTGAGAAGATGAATGCGACTTTCCCAGATTCCTTCCAGAAGAAATTCGACACATTCTTAGAGAATGACGGAAGCATTTTGTCAGAGTTCACTAATATACCTCCTTTACTCGTTGAATATATCATAGTTCTCACCAGGAGAAATCGGCGATTCATTGCTACTAGCCCGTTAAAAGAAGGCTTCTATTCCGATCACAATCATTTGAACTGTTTGAATGTACCTATTTTCAACCTCTGAATACGACTGTATCTTAATCTCAAATAATCAAACCAAATTCTCACTTTGAATGCTGGTGGGGAATTTGTTCGACTTGGTTAGTAATGTTATGTTCATAATTGAACATTATCATAGCGTCTGATGACAATTCAAAGTTTCAGCAATTTTTGCTGTTGGCGGAAATAACCTCTACACTTCTATAAATTCAGTTATTTTGATTAGTCGTTAGGATTTTTCGCGTAGTTACGACTGAAAAGGAAGTTTATTAATTAGTGGTGAGTTTTTAAAAACGCTGGAGTAGTACAACTAAATCCTAATCTTTGTCTTTTTAAACCAGGCTAGAAATATTCGTTAAGATATAAAACATTGAGCGTGTTTCGAGAAAAGCTTTTGATAAATACGAATCATTCTGCAATGTGCATTGGGAATGCACAAGTTCGTCGTCAATTTTACACATTTTAAAATTGGAAACAGCCACTTTGTTTCATGCAGAGTCAAAAATGTGTTTTTTGATAATAACCTAAACACACGACTTGTTAATTCAGGGGATATTTTGAGGAAAATTCATTCGGAAAATAAGACTAATAATTCCTCATCTTCTAGGGTTTTTTCTTAAAGTCGTTTCACTAAACGCTTAGGTAAATGTTAGAATAACTCCATATCTGCCCAGATTTTTCTGAATCTTTGGGCTAATATGTCGAACTCTATTGACAAATCCTGAAGATTTCTTATCATTTTTGTGAGTGACCCCAAACTATTCCAGTTTCTAGATATCTTTTTCGAGATCGCTAGTAATTCCCTAGAAATTTCACCATATGAATATCTTTCCCTACTGTTTTTAGTTACTTTCGCAAACTTCACACAATTTTAAAAGCATTGTGTTATTGCTACAATAATTAACCCGAAATATGTTGTTATCTTGTGTTTTATTTTAATAAAGTTGCTAAACTATAATGTCCACCCTTGAGAACAAAGTAATCGACGATATCTTTTCTTTTAGGCCACTCATTTTTTGATTGTAAAACCACTCAGCATTTTATCAGTCCTTGGTACTCATCATGCATTTACTGGATTCAGACTCAAGTGCCCATGTAGATGTTACATAAATCCCTGTTCTAGGGGGATATACCGTTTAAAACGAAAGGTTGTATTTGAAGAATAATAGGCTTGGTATAGTATTAAGGCTCAAGGATTGAAGAAAAATAATGGCAGGTACATTTACCTTACTGTGATTTGTGTTGATCTGTATCGCTCAAAACCATTAACCATTGATAGCGGCTATCTCTCAACCCTAAATATGTAGTATGCACCTACCATCATAACCTACTCCAAGGGTCATTGATTATGTAGACCAAGTGCTATTTGATTTTCCCATTCGTAGTTCTATTCTAACCTAAACCTACTCCAATCATCGTTGCGCACACAGTCAAACTCACCCGAGAAACAGGCATATATGTGAATAGCGAGACAAATCTGTCGAGACAAAGCCCAAAGTATGAGTAACACCGTTAGTTGTAATAGCACAGACTTGGTATAGGAACTATAACTCAAGAAAACTGTTCTACCGATACATATTACGAACACTTTAGTAGGCGAAGACTCTAAGTACCGTCTACCAATTTGCCTTCTTTATCGTTCTACTCCTAACCTCAAGATTGTGAAGTATTAAGAAACACTTCTTTCCATTTGTCTTGGGTTATTGGAAGAAATCAATCATTTCGACGAAGAAGAAATCAGCATAAAGATAGATGTATGCTATGCAACAAGCCTCACTGCAGGAGATTTCCTGCAATATTATATTGAAGCATTTATACACTTAAAATTAATGGACTTCAGTAAAACGTCTGGTTGAATCTCGCTGTTTTTTCCTGGGGTATGACCAAAAAGTATGGGATTCAGTGTAAAAATATAATTTACTAAAAACGTATTCAATAATAAGAAAAATTTGTAGGTCATTATCAGTCAGTCAGACTTATACAATGTAAAACACAACATATACACACATCACACAGCACAGTGACATCCTTGAGTAGCATAAATAGGAACAGTATCAGTAATACTCGAAATTAGGCGTAGATACTGTTATTTAAGAAGATATGAATGCCTACCGTAAAAGACAAGGCGACTACATAAGTCGGGACCTAAGGGAAGATAAAGTGTGAGTTCATCTACCCCATTGCGACCGATTCTTAGCCATGTCTCTTTACGCTTACTCTTTTATGTAAATAAACTATTCTCAGCTGAACTTATCCCGCTGCAACGTTTGCGCATAATTTAAAAGTATGGGGACCCATCAACAATTTTACATCATTTTTAATCCTACTAAAATGTAGCATGCTAAAGCCTATCTTTTATTCAAATAAGTACGGTAAATAAGTCAACAAAAAGTTATGTAATTACTTTATCTTACTGGATAACTAACGGCATTAAATAAACACTTTAAGGAAGACTAATAAGTTATTGATAAATGGGATCTGTGAGCATTGTATTTTCATGGTTGAAATCACGAACGGATATTAGCCAGACCATCATTAGAAGTCTGGAATCACTAAAAGGCCGTTTCGTCCTAGTATGGGAGCCGTCAGCAGTTGGTGATCCTAACTATACAAACAAGACAGACACACACCACAGAACCTCGTATATACGTGCATCAGTTCAGGTTGCCATACCGCATTAACACAGAGACGCAACTGTCAGTTCATTCCAATAGTGTTAGAGATAGTAGAAGAAGTAGCGGTAATAGAGAACATTAGGGAGCGAAGATATGATCCGAGAAGTATAATTCAGTGAGATAAATTTAGAAGGAGAAAGACAGAGATTATGAGGAATTCAGGTTAGAACTTCATAGAACACAAACAGTGAATGCACCTGCGCCATTGCAAACGATTCTGAGCCATGTCGTTCAAGGTCTCTAACCATTGGTGACATACGTCTCGCGGACCCCAACTAGGTAGCATACATCTACCAGCATGACTCAGTTCATTTGTCAGTGATTTCTTGGATTTGTGCCATGTTTTGGTTTGGACACACCTAGCTTTCTTTCAACCTACTCCTAAACCACAAAACATAGCTCTCCGAGGCGGTCGGACATATGCAACACACGTTCCAACCACCTCAAATGATGAAGCTTCACTACTTCATCTATTGATTTGCCATCCCTACCTAGAACTCGTTTCCTAACGACAGCATTGCTTACTCGGTTGTCCGGTGATATATGAGCAGTGCTTTGGAGACATCTGTGATCGAAGACAAGCAATTGAGGAATGTCCTCCACTCTCAACGACCGTAGCCGCTACCTTGACGTGGTGGTCGGGCTTGCCTATCGTAATGAACCAACCGAGCTATATTGGCCGGAACATATGTTTCTGAAGGTTCTAACATGCCAGGAAGATCAATCGGAGAACGATGAAACTAAAAGCAGCTACTCAAGATCTGAGGGGGAAGTCGTACTGCTGACTGCTGAGGGGTGTGACTGCAGTAAGGTGTTTCCCTCGGACAACCGGCATCTGCAACGATGCTGCCTTCTCACATGAAAGGAAGTGTTAGAAAAGGTCGACCCTAAAAATGTAGCACCTCACCTTACCCCACGGATTTCCGTCTGCGGCATTAAGGGCTGCCCACTAAGGAATTTTAAGAGCAGAGCTAATACTCAAAAAACACTTCAAAAGAAGGCCGTGTGTGACCGGCCTCAAGCAGTTGTCCCTTGGACTCTGCGGTCACGCTCCCAGGTCTCCAAGACCACCGCTAATCTACCTTCCTCTTCAGGTTCCTCAAGAAACACCCTTCCACGTTGTGGGCAGCCGGGAAGTGACAACCGCCCTCATATACGTAACAGCACACGAGACCGATCCGGTCACAATCAAATTTTTACTACACCCCCTAACATCTCTAATCTCCACGACTAACTATGAAAACAAAATATTTATTTAATATTAATGGAGTCAAAAGTAGATTAATAGTCGAACTTCTCTGTGATAAAGTGTGTCGAAAAAATCAAGTAAATTTGTGAGAAGTCTGTCAAGAAATTATTTTGACGAAAAAAGTGGTATTATTACTATGGTACCGTACGCTCTAAAGTTCACAGTATAATTAAAAAATTTACTAGAAAGTTCCTATTTTCGGATGTATGTAATCTACAATTTCTTCAGTATCTAATTTCTTAAAGTATTTTGGACTTCAGCTAATCTTTTATAATCTTTGATTCCTTTTTATATTTAAGTTTTAGTCCTGTTAACGTTGTACATTGTGGACCGATCAGTTGTCTTCACGCTTTCAGAGAAGATATTTAAATGAATTTATAAAGAAGCAAATAATGGTAATGAGATTTATTACACATTTTCTGGCTCAAATCGGTAGGATAAATAAGTTTCTTTAATTATACGTCTAGGACCGCAGTCTGAATATACTTGGACTCGTCTGATTTACAGTGCACTTAAGGCTCCTACATATCATCTGTATTTTGAATTGTTACTAATTATCGGTATAATATGGCTGCTGTTTAAACGCAGTTATCGTATTAATGACGTAATTAATCTAAGTATAGAAGAAAAAAATCAATTAATTAGTGAATGGAAACCTGACAGTTTAGTTCCGAAAGATTGGGAACCATCAAAATACCTGTTAAAACAATTCCACCGATGTGCATATGGTCCTCTTAGCAAGTAAGTAACATTTTTCTGTTTTTCACCTACTTCAGTGACATGAGTTGTTCGTTTGTCTGGGTGATTAGTATTCACGAACAAAAAACAGTCATGGCACTCAAAGTTGTTCCCAAGATAATACGAATCAAATATTTGAACTTGTTTTCGGTGTAACTGTTGCATTAATCGATCAAAAAAACAACTAATGTTTATCACACATGAGAAGTCCAAATTAAGACTTCATAATAAAGTAAAAGATTATCTTTGGAATCGTAATCGCATAAAGTAACGAAAATATGATATATCCTTAGATATCTATAGACATTTGATCAATTGTTGATTTATTTAAACAAACGTTTTTACAAAGGAGCACCAGGACGTATGTTTCATCCAAATCATTGAATTTGTGTGTAGGCTGGAATACTCCAAGGGTGCTCCAACCGAAGCAGATAGACTAATAATGTTTTCCAGTGTTTTATTCCTATTCATACTGTTCCATCAAAATTTTATTCTCTTATCTACGACGGTATACCATTACCTTAGCTCTTTTCATCCCATTTGTTGTTTTTGTATTAAGATACATAAAATGGGAATATTACATCATACCCATTTAAACATCCTTGTTTCGTGAGATCTTTCTGTGAATTCAGTTAATTATAAAATATTTGGTCTTATGGATGGTTTTCGTTTATTCAAATTAGATTTTAACCATAGCGGTTTTTTATTTTATTACGTAATTCGACTGTAGAAATACCAACCCTTGAAAATGTCTACATTCGGAATTATTCTTGCTGATCATGAATAAGTTGACTAAAATGATATAATTTCAGTATATTGTTTTGTCTTATATTTCATCGATTTCTATACAGGTTAATGGTATCTAAATTTTAAAATCTAAAACTATTGGCCTCAGTTTCATTTTAGAAGTGCTGTATACCCATTTGAATTTCTCTATGAGTCAAAGCACTACTTGGTGTCACATTTGTCTGTTATCTGTTTGCATTCTCTAGAGGTTATTTGTTCAGCACCATTCGCTTCCGTTCAAATAAAATGTGTTTTTGTTAACTTCGGTGCTACTAAAAAATTAGTTTTACAGTTAGTGATGAGCATTCACAATTATGACAAACAACATCCGCTATCAAAATTAAAGTCACTTTTATCCGACTAGCAGGACAATGTATGTGTAACCAGTTTAGCTTATGAATTGTTTCACGTGACTAAACAGTTAGACATACAGCCATGACTGGTATTGTTTGTGCTACTACTGCTTAGATAGTCGGAAAAAATTTGTTTTTTCAACGGTAAACCGTCTGAATAATTTCCATCTACTAATCTTGAAGTTAATTTTATGTAGACTGTAGTGATATTGACTTCCTTCCTGTCCTATTGTGCATTTCGTATCATCGATATAAGTGATTCTAAGGATTCTATTTCGATTGTTGTTTATTTCCAGATATGTCAATTTCAATTCGGCAGTGGAAGAGTGTAAAGCTACTGACATCAATGGTAGTAAAAGTCATCTTAATTTTGCGACATTAAATTTTTTAAATTTTGTTGGAGATTCGGATTTGTCGAATGTTGCTATTGAACATTTGAAAAAATATGGTGTTGGGTCGTGTGGACCAAGAGGATTTTATGGTACTTTTGATGTTCATCTTGAATTGGAAAATAAGTTGGCTGAATTCCTAGGTGTTGAAAAAGCAGTAATCTACTCTTATGGAGCGGCTACATTTTCTAGTGCTATCCCGTCCTATTCTAAACGGACTGATGTGATATTTGCTGATGAACGTATCAGTCATGCTACGTATCTAGGATTAGTCGCATCTCGAAGTCATGTTCGATTTTTTCGTCACAATAATATGGAGCATTTAGAACAGTTACTAATAGCACAGGAAAAAAGAGATAAAGAAGAACCTAAGCGTGCATTGCTTACTCGCCGATTTTTTGTTGTTGAAGGCATTTATTTCAATTCTGGAGAGATTTGTCCCTTATCAGAGCTTGTTGCTCTAAAGTATAAATACAAAGTTCGCATATTGTTAGATGAGACTATTTCTTTTGGAGTATTGGGTAAAACTGGTAGGGGTGTAACGGAATATTATGGTGTTAATGTTGAAGACATTGACTTAATTTCAGGTAAGTTTGTATTCTCATTTCGCATTTATTTGTTTGTAAAACTCACTTTTATTGATTATTTTATACATAATTAGCGTTTAGTACGTTTTGTTACCATTTTAGTTAATTTACAATAATAATGTTTTGATTGGCAGGAAATTGTTGATTTAATAAATCAACGATCAAGGTTTTTACCTCCGATACTGAATTATTCGATGAAGCAATTAAATTTCATACATTGATTAATAAACGTCAGTCGTAAATCATAGTTTTTATGGTATGATCTCCTGACAATCTATCATGGTCGGTTATCAACAGTGAAACACCTTGACTTAGACAATTTCTGTTACTTGACTTTTTATGTGTACAGCAAAAGCGATCACAGTTGAATGGAAGAGTTAAACCATGGTTCAATTTAACTTGTCACGAATAATTGACTTAGCACTAAAACATTCCGTCGACTATATTCAGTTTTTTATTCGGTTGAATACTTTGCTAAAGTTATTCCAGATAAAATCTTGCTACATTACATTTTCCTAAAAATTTAATTTCTATTTGCGTATTTCTTTTAAGTTTGGATTAAAATGAATGTAATTTCCGTATACTTTATTACTATCACTAAAGTGGTGACACGGTGATTCAAGCATTGGATTTTCAACCAGTTAATTGTATTTTCAAACATGTTCATATTTGTTTCTTTAAGCCATTCTAAATTTAACCTATTAAATTAAATCAATAAACTGCTCAAAGATTAACCAACTTGTGTATATGTATAATAAAAATTCATAAATAAAATTATCAGCTTAAGAGATTAAAAAATCGGTAGACCTAATTAATCAAGTGAAGCAACTTCCATTCTATAGTAAACTTTTTTCAACAAGTTTTTAAACGGTAGACTAAATGATAATAAAAATCAAAAGCTCTGTTACTCTTATTGACTTGTTAAAGCTTTGCCTATCAATAAATTGGTTGTACCTCCATAACTTTTAATCGATTGCATATGTGAACTTAAAATTGACACTATGAAATAAATAAATAAATTTATAACGGTTTATCAAGTGCAGTGTTACAAATATTCCATGGGTAACAGAGCATTTACGTAGATTAAACTAATCAAGGACTTGGATTATGTTTGTAAAAAGTGGGGATTCCATATAGTTATTGTTAACGGTTACAAGTTTCGCTGTCAACTAAGAATACAGGACGTAAGTTATCCCTCTATTGTTATAGGGTTTTGTATTTCATTATTCATTCTACTATACTTAACAAATAGCTTTGTGTACTTGATAGGTTCGTTGGAAACTGCTTTAGGGGTATGCGGAGGATTTTGTGCTGGATCACAGTACGTTGTTGGTCATCAAGAGCTCTCAGGACAAGCATATTGTTTTTCAGCCTCACTACCACCAATGTTAGCTACAGCTGCATGTACAGCATTGTCTATACTACAAGCCTCTAGGGAAAATGGTAAACGTAACCAGCGGTTATTGGAACTCGCACGGTTAACTGACAATTTGTTTCATTCTAACAGCAAGTTAACTAGTATTTGGAAACTATATGGTCATCCGGATAGTCCGCTGAAACACTTGAGATTTAGAGAAAACAATACTATAGCTAAACTTGAAGCTGTTGTTCAAAGTGCTTTTGATTGGACTGATGACAAAGACTCAAAAGCACCTCCTTTATTGTTGACCGTTTCGAGGTAAGTGATCCTTAGTTGTACTCAAAATTTTTATCATACTTTACCTATTCAAAGATCTTATGTACAGAGATATTGCAACCATTTATGGCATTTTATTATCAGATCATAAACTACTTTCATTAGATAGAGAGTTTGACTGTCCAAGTAGAGTTCTATTTGGTAATCAGTGCTTAAAATGTTAACAGCTAAGTTATTCAGGGAAAGCCTTACACTCTTCTAAAATCTTTCTCAACATCCTTAAATCCTGATATAACTTATCACCAAAATAGTATGCGCTGCAAAATTAAAGGGATCGTACTGTGAACAAAGGTTTCAAGATAAAATTAAAGTCAACGTAAATGACCGGAGGAGGCTAGTATATGAAGTAATTGATTTGTATGAGCTTAATAGTCCAAACCATGGAGTTCTAATGGTCTGACAGATACCGGTAAAATTTCTTTTATAATGAGACATTATTTTGTAAACTGACCAACCCCCCTCGTCCGACTAAAGCAGCGTCAGCAAATAATGTGCGAAGTGAAGTTCGCAGAAAAATTGATTCGTAACGTATTTCCAAGCTTACCATAAGTCGGTGTGCCACAAAAAAATGGAACTTTGAAGAGATAAAGTAAAGAAGGTGAGTATGATGAATAAAATAACAAAATTTACTAGAAATTAGTACTTCAGAGTAAAAATGATAATAATAATAATAAAATAATGGTGGGAGAAGCAGTTCAGTCAAGGAAAAATAGAACCAGAAAGAATTCTTTCGGTTAAAAAAGTTCTCACTTTTATGAAAAAATTAAAACAAGCTATAGCAGGACTGTCACTGACGTTTTTAATGGGCCACATCTGATAACATCTCAGGCTACTGTGTTGCACCATCTGTAGGACCCCAATCACGGGAGTCGCGAGGGCCCTACAAATGCCAGTCCTATATGGAATTTCAATTTCACGACATTCATAGTACATGTCTGAGCCACCAAAGTCGGTGTTTCATGATGGCGAAACCAATTGAATCATCGTTGCTGTACCCAAACACACGTTTTCAAATCTCAGCATTACTAACAATGTTGCACTGAACACCAACAATTCCTGAAGGATAAAGATAAGGAAACACAGATAGAAACACAAGGGTAAAAAGAAATCGTTCTTCCCTCAGATTCTATTTTCAAGGAAGGCTCAGATTTTACTAACCGCTCTACCTCTCAAGACATGGTAGTTGATCTCATCTGGAATAAAACCATCTAAATTAGCGTGCAGCAAGATGTTGTAAAAAGCCTGGAGAAGCCTAGTTATTACAAGCGGGACGTCTTGTGAACCCACAAGACTTTTCTGCGTCTTGCGAATACAACCAACGTCCATCTACGTTTACAGCACATTGGTGGCTAGCTATTCTTTGACCTAGATCGGCTTGATATTTCGTCACACTGAGAATATAGCTAAATCGCTTATGTTATTCCGTATAGAACGAGACATCTGCTGATCACCAGAACACAATATAAGCTTGGGGCAAACAAACGCACGATCGAAGTCCAAACAAGTACTTTAAAGGATGTGTGTTGTTACGTATGCTTAACCATCGACTGCCGCGACGAGCTATGTTTTGTGGTGTAGTAGGTTGGAAGAAAACTGAGGGGGGCCAGACCAAAACATGGCAGAAATCCATGAAGTCACCGAAAAGTGGACTGAGTCATGTTAGCAGATGTAGGCTACCTTGTTGGGGTCCGCGAGACGATAGTCACCGATGGTTAGAGACCTTGAATGACATGGCTCAAAATCGTTTGCAATGGCACAGGTGCATCCACTCTTTGTGTTCTATGAAATTCTAACCTTCTGAATTCCTCATAATCTCTGTCTTTCTCCTTCTAAATTTATCTCACTGAATTATACTTCTCGAATCATATCTTCGCTCCCTAATCTTCTCCATTACTGCTAATACTTCCGCTATCGCTATCACTCTTGGATTTGAACTAACAGTTGCGTCTCTGTGCCAATATGTTATGGCAACCTGAACTGGTGTACTTACGTACGAGGTTCTGCGTTTTATCTGTCTGTTTGTTAAAGCATGAAACACAAAAGTTGCAGCTCTGGCGATAACCAACCGTGACGTGATCAATCTGAGTGAAGGCTTGAGTGTTGGAGAGATGGCGAGAGGCATGCCGGTGGTGGCTGCACAGAAAGTTGGTACTAGAAAGAAACTTGCTGTGGTTATCACAAAGCTGAAGGAAACAGTTTCAATTATTTATCTTGCCACTAGTGGGTGCCCGTCAGTCTACGAAGCGACTTTTCACTGTCCCTAGGCATCATCAGACCTGTGTATATTCAATATCCAGTTAACATTACAATATCCATCGAATGCAATTTATTGACATTGTTTTACTAGTGGTAGAACTTATCTTTGGTTGCTTCTGAGCTGCCATCTGCGAAGACTTAGTAGGGAACTGTAAAAAGACATCGTTTTCAGCGCTACCGACGCTAATGCTATTGGGTTCTACGACAACTGCATTTGAAACAAACTTTTCGGATTGACAGATGGCAATCAAATTTGTAGTACTTTCCAAGTGTCTTAAGTATGGATTTCAGAAATACATAATAGATCGACATTTGAAGCTTCCAGGAGACGAAACCAAACCTATCTATTGTCAGATCTGCAGTATGAGGAATTTGAACGAGACCAGTTTAACTGACAAATGTGGCTTCTGATTTTGTAATTGCTAGTAGCTTTGATAAGTTCAACTATTCAACTACCTGAGAGCGTCCAGAAAATTTAATGTAGAACTTAAAAATGAGCTGGAAAATTAAGTACACACAATATAAAATCAATTAGAATGTTAAGTACAGAATTTGTTTTGTAATAGGGTCATTGTATCGTTTGAATAGTTGGCAATAAAGAACGATTAGAGTAACGTTTCCATGATTATTCATTAACACATTTCTGTGTAGTTTGAGACACCCAAACCGATACTTCCAAAAGAACTGAAATTACAACCATTTTCCTATATACTAGAGCAGGCTGACTCCCTGTTTTCTTCAGCATCATACGGGGCTGTTAGTTAATTTGTTTAGGAGTTTTAGAGCTTCCATTAGAATTTTAAACCAACTTAATATTATCTGCCCACCCGGTACTTAGGATAAACTTTATATTATTGTAATACTGATCAACTTGTCAAGTCTTTTTTAAATCGTTTTTTTCTCAGATATACATATGGTAAGAATTTCCCTGCTCCGCCTCCAAGTATTCGGATTGCATTGAATTGTGATTTAACTGATGACGAATTGCGCCATCTATTCCGTGTGCTTTCATCAATAGTTGCTGCGTAAATTGGACAGTTGCTGATGAAATTTACACTTTTGAATATTGGCTGTGAAATATCAGAAGAACGTGATATCTATCACTATAATCTTGAAGAAATTATCTCAATAATATACTAAACTTTTCTGTAAATGCCTTTCTTCTAGTAATAAATAGGTTTGTAACTAAAATATTCTTAGATTTCAGCAACTGATAATAACTAGTATCTTATAGTAATTTCCTGTTTATTATTTTCTAATTACTTTGTCATAGCTTCAAATATCAAGTGACCGTCTACCTATTTAGATACTCATAACATAGTGTTAATATGATACAAAATGTTTATCTAGGAATTAATATGTAAATGATAACCATGTGTTACGCATGCGCGTGACCACGTCATTTGATATGCTTGAACTATTAAGAGTTTATCTTAGTCCGAAAACGATAGCGAGGATCCGGCGACACAACCGGCTACTCTAATCCGATTGTCCAAAACCCCCCTTGAGTAAAAGAAGAAGACTTGATACGAAGTAGAACCTGCATTCTACAAGCATCCTGAAAGTACGAGGTCCGAGTCCAGAAGAAGGCAAGGATCCTGGACTAAGGGTCTGGGTCATAAAACGTTACAGATAATGCATATTTATACAGTTAGGTCGAATAGTAAATAACTTTGAAGTCTGTGACATTGATAGTCAGGACGATCAATCGGAAACAACATTGAAGTACGTGATATTGATAGCTAGGATGACCATAATATTGACCAATAGAATTAGACTTACAAAAATAATTCTCTTAGGATATTTCATGAGTATCCTAACACCGTGTTCTCGTATAAGGTGAATGAACTTTTTAAATCACTAATAAATATTTATTAAGCCTATCAAATAAATCTATAAACTCCGCCTGGAGTGCTTCCAGGGTTACTGTCGGTCCCAAACCTGGATAAAGGAGGGTTGAGCATGGGATGAGCAACCCAACTCCTCTCTTGCATGGCATTGGATGACGTTCATTGTATTTCCCTCTTTCTTCGCTTTCAAGGATGCTTTGATGATCCTAGGTCCATAGGATTCCCATCCAATCAGTGCCTTTTGTGCTTGTTTGGACAGCATCAGTGCGACGACTCCGGCCATGAAGAAAAAATGCCTCACACATAAGGAGTACAACAGACAACTGAGAGTAGCTTCAGGAGAGCTGCTAACTTGAGTCTAATGTGTTTCACTGATTCCTAACACCTCCAAACTGTATCTTTTCATCTCTGCAGCAACTTGGAATAGTCTTCCGGTCTCCCACATTGTTCGGACATTCCATGTACCTAAAAGAATGGCTGCTCTGATTGTCAGAAGGTTCATCTGCCTCGTGACTTCCGAAGGGACTCGGCTTTCATCATGAGACGTCATAACTCTTCTGAAAAAAGACCTAACTCCCAGCGCAGAGTTAAAGTGGTTCGAATTGATTTTTCTGGTTAGCGTTTTTTAGCGAGTTAGTTTTCTAAAAGACGGGGTCGCCAACCCTATACCCAACCATCCTCTTTTATCCAAACTTTTTACCGGCAGTAGCCACAGAAGGGTTACAGGCGGAGCTGCAGAAGTATGTGCCTTCAATAAAATGGTTATAGGTGGTACCATATTCTCACACAAACGCATACACAAAGCCACATAGGCTCCTCCGGATTCCAATACACAGAATTGACTAAACTACGTCTGCGTCAATAAAAAGTACATACGAACCATATAGGACGTGAGAACCAAGAGAGGAGCTGACAGGCCTTCAGATCACCGCCTGTTATTTGCCAATATGAGACTGAAACTCGAAAGGAACTGGACGAATGACCACAAAAATTTAATACGGCCTTTCTTCAGAATACTAATAAACTTAAGTATTCAAGAGAGCCTTCAGCAATAGTTTCCAGGCTTTACTCGATCTACTAAATGAAGAGAAAACAACCGTGAAGAGCTGGAAACGGATCAATGAAGAAATAGCTGTAACGTCATGAGGTTGTTGGCCACAAGGAGCGACATCTTAAGGAATAGAACTCTGTTGATACACTAAGCAAGATTTAACGAAGGAATGGCGGCAAGACAGCAATCAATAGCAGCCGAAAAAGGGCAGAGAAAACCAAGACACAGAAGGGAACAAGCAAGTGAAGAGGAGCATTAGAAAAGGAAAACGCGAACATGCGAAAGACCTATCGGTGATGGCAGGAAAAGCTGCAAGAGAAAGAAACATGAGACAACTATACCATAGGACGAAGAAGCTCAATGGAAACTATAGCGAAGTAGGATGACCAGTCAACAGCAAGGAAGGAAGAGATCACTGAATAACAGGTGAGTAGAGCACTTTGACGAACGCTTGAAGCACCCTAGTCATTTAAACTAGTTCGTAACTTGTACAGATTATAATTTAGCCTCAAGGCACATGGCTATTTATGATGTTCCGTCCCACCATTAACTTGTAGGTACTTGATCATGTGCATCGCTATATCTAATGTTTTCGTTCCTATATCGTGACAATATTGCATAGGTTTACAGTCCTCCATTTAAAGCGGTCTAATTAGTCAGGAATATTGGAATTTCCTCTGCTTTTTTTCAGTTTTGTTGAATGGGATACAATTTCTATTCAATGAAACGAAGCATGTGACAAGAAACAGGTCTCCGAACATTACCCCGCTTAGCTCTCTAGAAGATCACGTTTATTTCTGCCTCACTAGCATCTTTCTTTAAAACCATCTATAAATTTAGAGGAACCAGTACAAGAGCTAAACACTAAAACTTATGCACACGAAGTTATAGCTGATGGGGCATGGTAAACTGAACTGATATAGGTCCGCTGTAACTGACTGACTGTTCGTCGTATAAATAACTGTGATACTGATTTTGTAGACCATTTACTAGCCAGTAAAATGAACCTAGCTATCAGGTTGATTAATGAAAGGTTGCGATCACAATAACTTGCAACATTTTTCCATGGTTTCATTTACTTAGGCTATTCTATTGTTTTCATAGTTAATTAATTTGCCACAAGTAGTAGGATAGAATTGATCCTAGCAATTTTAAAAGAGTCGATCGGTCAACAACAACATAGAACATCAGTTCAATTTGCCATTCCACGTTAGCACAGAGATGCAATAGTGACTTCAAATTCCATAGTAGTAGAGGTAGTAGCAGTGTTAGCAGTAATCGGAAATTTTAGGGTTCGACGATATTATTCAAGAAGTAGAATCTAGTGAAATAAACTTAAAAGATAAAGTTGGTTAGGATTTTAGAGAACACAAAGAATGAATGCACCTGCGCCATTGCAAACGGTTTCGGGCCATGTCACTCAGGGCCTCTAACCACCGACTACTATCATCTCGCGGGCCGCAACCAGATAGTTGACACCTACGACTCAGTTCACTTGTCAGTGACTTCGTGGATTTTTGCCATGTTTTGGTTTGGCTGCCCCTAGCTTTTTTTCCAACCTACTCCCACAACACAACACAAAACGTGGTTGTCATTGGTTGCGCAACTGTACAATATGTTCCAACCACTTCATCTATTGATTTGCCATCCTTACCTAGTATTCGTTTCCTAACAACAGCATTGCTCATTCGAAAGTCCCAAGATAAACGAGTAATGCTTAAGAGACACCTATGGTCGAAACCAGTAACCTACGCATATATTCTACTGTTAATAGTTATTTTTTCTACATAACTAGCATGTATAAGCGTATCGTTTAAGCCTTAATTAAATGTCCGTCGTAACAAGTGGTAACCGATACTAGTAGGTAAGAGAATTTCAATTTCATCTAATGTGTTGAGGGCAGTTATCCAGTGTAAGCTTAATCATTTTATTTCAGCTGGTCGGTGACAGAAAAACTGCTTAAACGCTATTCTTTCCAGACAGGTTATTACGGAGGTTAATAGTGCACCATTTTGTCAGGTTAAGGAACGGATACTCTGTGGTCAAAGAGTGGCGGTCATGATTTTCAAAATAGTATGTGCTACTTTTAAGATTAATTGATTTTTATAATGGTCTAAGTAAAAGGTCCTTTCATAGCGATTATTTCTCATGTCACAAAATAAAAATTGACTGGTTTCCTGAATTGTAGGGGATTCGTCGCATGATAAACATTATCCAACGCACAGATGAAAATCTGATAAGCTCTAAGTTACTCGAACAGCACATGTTATATCTGACCTGACCTATATTTTCAAAGTAAGTGTGGATAAAAAAACCTAGTGACAAAACAATACTACATGATAGGTTGTGAGCTTACTTACATTTGACAATCTTAATCAAAGGCAAGATTATAAGTTAAATTAAAAGACAAATAAGTCCTCATAAGTATGGGAGCATATGTTCAGTATTTAGGTTACAGGTGAGTTGCTCAAAATAATTCAGTGCCACAAGCATTAGTATAATATTTTCTGAGACCCACTGGTAATATGATTATAGGGCAGCTGAAATATATATTATTAACTATAGTATAGAATAAAAACTTGCTCAATGTAAGAGACAAAAGGTTTTACATAGAATTTTAACCAGATTAATGGGTGATATACACATATAATTATTCATAATAAGTTGAACTGTTAATAATTCTAGATTTGTTTAGCAGCAACTCAAAAATAATGAAAATCGAAATTCTGTTTAATATTAACATTATTTTTATACATGAAGACAGAACTAAAGATAATTAACTGAATCTTTTTCAGAACATGCATCATGATACATAGTTGAAAAACATATAACTTAAAATGTTAAGTTCATAACATTCTGAAACAAAGTAATAAAAACAATCACTTGGTGGCTGAAATCATTAACAAGAAAGATTACTGAAGTAACAAATCCTTGAAAATTTAGCAAGCTATGAGATACAAAATTGGAAACGACAGGAATAAACAATAAACACGATATAAATAAGACAAAAATAAAAGTGGCTCATTAAAAGACAAACAGACAAAATAAACAATGAAGCTAACTGTTCCCATCAAAGACCTCATTTATCTGAATATACTTCCATTTAAAAGAAGCAAAGTATTGTGATCAATTTCATCCTTCATGTTTTACACCGCGCTTACTTCGTTTATTTGGAGAAAACACGCCTTTGTAAAATAAGTAGAAAAAGTGAAGTACAAACGAATTAAATTTATAAATGTGATTTGATTTAGTGGTATATGTGAGTCTTACGCCACCCACTTTGTGGAACTGAAGCAGCTGATGTAAGTCAGTCAGTTGCAACGTAGAACTTCGTACGTATGTACATAAGTTCATGTTGCCATACCACATTAGCACAGAGACGCAGATGTCAAATCAAATCCTATAGTGATAAAGATATTAGAGGTATTAATGGTAATGAAGAAGACTAGGGTTCGAAGATATTATTCAAGAAGTATAATTCAGTGAGATAAGGTTAGAAAGACAAAGGTAGAGATGCTGACGAATCCAGAAGATTAGGATTTGAGAAGCAGCTGATGTGAATTTCTAGGATGTGTTCTAGTAGCTGCGAGTCGATTGACTTGATCTACTGATTTACAAAAGTGTATAGCAAGTGCTAAACAGCTTATCCATTTACGTAAAATGAACTCACAGTAAGCTTCTCATCTGTACTCCGTCCTAAATCAACGAAGTGGTGGTTATTATAGTGTGGTGGTGCAAATATTTACTTAAAAAGTTTATAGACTCGTTTCATCGTGTAAGTTCTAAAGATACAACAAAAAGCGTCAAAACTAAACTGCCGATTTCAATTTGGTGGTTGATTATTATCTGAACAATATTCCTATAAAAAACTTGATCAACTGTACACTTGCTTATATTTAATCATATGTGATGTATAGATAAGTTTACGATTGAAGACATGACAGAAAAAAATTTATTTCAATATCAATAACAAGTGGGTACATACCATCAGATGAATCCAAATGAGGGAAGTCGGTGAAACTTTGAATATCTACTGTACGTTTACTAGCAAAACTTTGATCAAGGTGTGTTGAAGACCTCTTTTGAGATACCGCAGTAAGTGATTGCATGTCGTTTGTAAGCCCACTGTGTAACACATCAGCAGAAGGCCCAGATAACATTCTAGGGAAGATAACAATAATAACCAAAATTCAATATAGCAACAGAAGGATTTAAAACATTCGGAGTTTGAATATGTGTATGTTGCTCAAAATAGTAGTAATGATACTTTATTTCATGACTATGATTCTGATGATAAGAGTTTAAACATTTCTTTTCTTCCTTGTACCAATCTTTGGTAAACTCTGAACAATTACATTTCCACCGACACTGAAATTTAAAGTTTTCTGATCACCGACAGTCAAATTCATCTCTTTTGGTGTCATTTTTAGTTAGAAATAGAGGTTCCTACTTACAATTTGCACTGTTCAGTTGTATTAACGGCTCGAAAGCTTTTTAATACAATATGTTTAAGTGTTAGATATTTTAATAATTAAAATATCAGAAGAATGAATAAAACTGATATTTTAGGTGATGATAAGAATAAATAATCAATCTAATACATAAAAATAAGAGCCTGAATGACTAATTTACAATTAGCAAAACAAAGTTATCTATATGTAGCGAAACAGATATTCGCGATCCGTTGAATTTGTAGTTAAACTCAAACATTATACACAAAGTAAAAGGAATAAAATAATGTAAACTCACTTAGAATTTCGTGTTATTCTTCGATTTTGATAGATGCTGACTGGACCCGTTAGGGTGTCTTCCTCTTCATCTTTAGGTGTAATGGCTTGAAAACGTTCCTCCTCTTTGTGATGCCTTGGATTTGACTGTAAAGTATCCTCATCTTCTTCGTACTTACGATACTGATTACGACTGTTTGAAATTTTAATAGTTGGTGACGCTGTAAGATCCTTTGGACTTAGAAATGTATGAGATAGAGGTTGATTATGGTTCGCTAAAGGAATACAATAAGTCTCTGGGTTCACATTTTCAGTATCACTAGATGCACCACTTCCCAAAACCCACGATGAACCGGAAAAATTACTTGATAGATCAGTTGATAAGGAACGCCAAGTATCTTCAAAACTAAAAAAATAATGCGGCCCAGATTTCAAACATTACATTCTAGTTGATGAATGACATCAGAAAGATTAGTAGGTAAAACAATGGGTAATTCAGTAAAACCACGGTGTTAGGTACATAAATTAATTAACACAGTATTAAATATGGTATCTAACCGCGTAAAAAATTAAACACACTTGGTTATCTACAGCAAATATAAGAAATAACAATGAAATATACTGATTGCCATATATTTAAGCGACTACACAGCTGTCTCATATTTTGATATCATTTCATTTGCGGCCTATGTCACTAATTCGTTCTGGCAATTATTAGTCGGCTACACAGAAGTTGATGGAGTGAGATCGAAAACGGTAATGCCATCCACAAAGTAGCCGTGGAATCTATTCTCATATATATGGCTGTATCGTACCGTAGAAATTTATGTGTTTGTAATTTCCTCAGATGTGAGACAAGCTTTGCAACTTGCTTACAAACAGCTCTATAAAAAGCAGAAAAGGAAGATAAAAAGCTATAAACATATGAATAAATTTCTAGATGAAAATCATTTCAATGCCACTTTTCTGAAAATGGAGAAGTATGCTACCTTGACGTGGTGGTCGGGCTTGCCTATTGTAATGAACCAACCGAGCTATATTGGCTGGAACATAGGTTCCTGCAGGTCCTACCATGCCAGGTAGGTCGATTGGAGAACGAAGACACTAAAAGCAGCTACTCAAGGTCTGAGGGCGAAGTCGTACTGCTGACTGCAGAGGGTTGTGACAGCAGTAAGGTATTTCCCTCGGACAACCGGCATCTGCAACGATGCTGCCTTCTCACAAGAAAGGAAGTGTTAGAAAAGGTTGACCCTAAAAATGTAGCACCTCACCTTAACCCACGGATTTCCATCTGCGGCATTAAGGGCTGCCCACTAAGGAATTTTAAGAGCAGAGCTAATACTCAAAAAACACTTCAAAAGAAGGCCGTGCGTGGCCGGCCTCAAGCAGTTGTCCCTTGGGCTCTGCGATCACGTTCCCAGGTCTCTAAGACCAACACTAATCTACCTTTCTTTTCAAATCCCACAAGAAACAACCTTCTACGGTGTGGGCAACCGGGAAGTGACAACCGCCCTCATACTCGTAACATCTTACTGGACGTAGGAAAGACACCGTAAGGAAGCCTCTTAGGGTTTTACTTAATGATAATAAAGCTAGGAATATATTTCAGGAGCAACTAGAAAGAGAGTTAAGCGACCATGTAAGCGATTCCCATCCGGAGGCAGGTTGGAATATCAAAAAGGCTGTGGAAACAGCAGTGATAACCTGCTAGTAAGGCTAGGATGAAGCTGTGGATCTCTGTAGCATCCACCGAACTGATGGATCCTCGAAAACTCATCCCACCCGGCTCTGAACATGATGAAGAACGAAGTCAGCTTAAGAGCAAGCTGATAAAAAGCCTGCGCAACGACCGTGAACAGTGGTGGGTTGCGACAGCAGTCAGTCAGTCAGTTGCAACGTAGAACTTCGTACGTATGTACATAAGTTCATGTTGCCATACCACATTATTAGCACAGAGACGCAAATGTCAAATCAAATCCCATAGTGATAAAGATAGTAGAGGTATTAATGTTAATAAAGAAGACTAGAGTTCGAAGATATTATTCAAAAAATATAATTCAGTGAGATAAGATTATAAAGATAAAGGCGGAGGTATTGACGAATCCAGAAGATTAGGATTTGAGAGAGCTCAAAGAGTGGATGCACCTGCGCCATTGCAAACGATTTTGAGCCATGTCGTTCAAGGTCTCTAACCATTGGTGACTTTCGTCTCGCGGACCCCAACTAGGTAGTCTACATCTACCAACATGACTCAGTCCACTTGTCAGTGACTTCATGGATTTGTGTCATGTTTTGGTCTGGCCGCCCCTAACTTTCTTCCAACCTACTCCTACACCACAAAACATAGCTCGTCGGGGCAGTCGGTGGTTAGCCATACGTAAAACATGTCCCAACCACCTCAACTGATGAAGTTTCACCACTTCATCTATTGATCTGCCATCCTTACCTAGTACTCGTTTCCTAACGACAGCATTGTTTACTCGGCTGTCCCACGATATACGAGCAATGCTTCTTAAACATCTATGATCGAATACTAGTAACCTACGAACATCTTCTACTCTTAACGGCCATGTTTCACAACCATATAAGAGAACGGAACGAACTGCTGCGCAGTACACCCGCCCTTTGGTTAGCGAACGGATATCACGCCTACGCCATAAGTGACGCAGGTTGGCAAAAGCCAATCGAGCTTTCTGTATCCGAGCTGAGATTTCGTCAGTCACCAGACCATCAGCACTGATGAGACTCCCAAGATAAGTGAAGTGATCTACACGCTCGACTACTTCACTCCCTATCACTAGTTCAGGTGCCAATGCAACCCAGTCTTGAAGCAACATTTTGCATTTCGAGGGGGAAAACCGCATCCCGAACATGCTCGCATTGTTGCTTATGGTAGTCAGAAGACTCTGCATTTTGTCAGCGTCTTCACCGAATAGAACTATGTCATCGGCATATTCTAGATCAGTAAGCGACTTTCCTGGTAGAAGGTCAACCCCTGAAAAATCTGACGAGCTTAATGTTAACTCTAAGAGGATGTCTACGACAAAGTTGAACAAGAATGGAGAGAGTGGACAGCCCTGACGGACACCACTTGATGTAGAGAATTCAGATGACAATTCGCCATATGCTCTCACCCGACCAGTGGTGTTCGAGTAGAGTGCTTGTATAAGGTTAATGTACTTCTTTGGTACACCTTTCAATGACAGACACTGCCACAGAACCTCACGATCCACTGAGTCGAATGCCGCCTTAAGGTCCAGGAACACGACTATCGTCGGACGTCTAAATGTGTGTCTGTGTTCCAGGACCTGTCGTAGTGTGAAGATGTGGTCTATACAACCACGTCCAGGTCGAAAACCAGACTGGTTTTCTCGAGTCTGCTCTTCACGAGCTCTAGTTAGACGTCTAAGTATAATCGAGGCTAACAATTTAGAAACTATATTAGTTAAACTTATTCCCCTGTGATTGTCACAAGAGGACTTCTGTCCTTTCTTGTAGATTGGGACAATTAGCGACTGAGACCAGTCAGATGGGATTACGTCCATTTCCCAGATTCTACCTAGGATCTCGGTCAGTCTAACCGTTAAAACTGGACCACCATACTTAAACATCTCAGGGGTAAGCCTGTCGGGACCTGCCGCTCTACCTCCCCTTAGATTTCCTATTACTTTCTCAACTTCATGTAAACTGGTTGCGACAGCAAAAGCTATGGAAAAGACAGTGGCGATAGGCGACAGTAGACAACTTTTCCGACTTATCAAGGAAACCAGTATTAGGAATCCTAGTGTAAGTGAGACTATCTCAGAAAATGACGGGACTCTTATTTATTCTCAATCCAGGAGACTGGATCGATGGGCAGAACATTTTAGGGATCAGTTCAACTGGCTTTCAGCCACACTTCGGTTACCCACGATCCCCAGTCATCCTGGATGACATCCTGGATGAAGTTGTAAAGGCTATAGGAAATCTGAAGCGAGACAGAGCGGTAGGACCTGATAAATTGACTCCTGAGATATTTAAGCATGGTGATCCAGTTTTAGCAGCTAGACTGACTGAAATAATAGACAGAATCTGGGAACTGGACGTAATCCCATCCAACTGGTCTCAATCACTGATTATCCCAATTTATAAAAAAGGACAAGAGTCTTCTTGTGAACATCACAGGGCAATCAGTCTAGCTAATATAGTTTCTAAATTGTTAGCGTCAATTATACTTAGACACCTAACTAGAGCCCGTGAAGAGCAGACTAGAGAAAACCAGTCTGGTTTTCGACCTGGACGTGGATTTATAGACCACATCTTCACACTACGACAGGTCCTGGAACACGAGCACACATTTAGGCGTCCCACAATCGTCGTCTTCCTGAACCCAAAGGCGGCACTCGACTCTGTCGATCGTGAGGTTCGGTGACAGTGTCTGTCACTGAAAAGTGTACCAGAAAAGTACAGTAACCTTATACAAGCTCTCTACTCTAAAACTACTGTTCAGGTGAGACCTTATGGCGAACTGTCACCGGAATTCTTTACTTCAACTGGTGTCTGCCAGTGATGTCCACTCTCTCCATTCTTGTTTAATTTAGTCATAGACATGCTCCTAGATATAACCTTATCCTCCTCCGAGTTTTCAGGAGTCGACCTTTTACCACGTGGCTCGCTTATTGACTTAGAATATGCCGATGACATTGTCCTACTTGGTGAAGACGCTGACAAAATGCAGTCTTCTGACCACCCTAAGCAACAATGCAAGCATGTTCGGGATGCGGTTTTCCCCCTCGAAATGCAAAATGTTGCTTCAAGATTGGCTTGCATCGGCACCTAAAGTAGTAATAGGGAGTGAAGCAGTTGAGCGTGTTGACCACTTTACTTGTCTGGTGAGTCTCATTAGTGCCGATGGCCTGGTGATTGACAAAATCTCAGCTCGGATACAGAAGGCTCGATTGGCTTTTGCCAACCTGTGTCACCTATGGCGCAGGCGTGATATTCGCTTACTAACCAAAAGGCAAGTGTACCGAGCAGCAGTTTGCTCCGTCCTACTACATGGATGCGAAACATAGCCGTTAAGAGTAGAGGACATTCGTAGGTTACTAGTCTTCGATCATCGGTGTCTCCGAAGCATTGCTCGTGTATCATGGGACAACCGTATAAGCAATGCTGTCGTTAGGAAACGAGTTCTAGATAAGGATGGCAAATCAATAGATGAAGTAGTGAAACTTCATCAGTTGAGGTGGTTGCGACATGTGTTGCGTATGCCTAACCATCGACTGCCGCGAAGAGTTATGTTCTGTGGTGTAGGTTGGAAGAAAGTTAGGGGCGGCCAAACCAAAACATGGCAGAAATCCATGGAGTCACTGACAAGTGGACTGAGTCATGTTGGTAGATGTAGGCTACGTGGTTGGGGTCCGCGAGACGAGTCACCGATGGTTAGAAACCTTGAACGACATGGCTCAGAATCGTTTGCAATGGCGCAGGTGCATCCACTGTTTGTGTTCTATGGAATTCTAACCTTCTGAATTCCTCATAATCTCTGTCTTTCTCCTTCTAAATTTATCTCACTGAATTATACTTCTCGAATCATAACTTCGCTCCCTAATCTTCTCCATTACTGCTAATACTTCTACTATCGCTATCACTCTTGGATTTGAACTGACAGTTGCGTCTCTGTGCCAATATGTTATGGCAACCTGAACTGTACTTACGTACGAAGTTCTGCGTTGTATTCATCTATCGAATTTGAAAATCACGAGGCCGATAACCCTTCTGACAAACAGAGCCCTTCCACGAAGTTGACATCCGCCTTCATTGCCGTAACAGCACACGAGACTCACTTGGTCACAACCAAAACCTTGCTACACTTCTTAATAACTCTCTCATTGCCACGATCAACCCCATCTTTAGACCGTTTGTCACCTCGCACTGCTAATGAAAACGATGCGAGTTCACGCAAAATTATTCCTGGTCTGATGAAACCCCATTCTAAACTACATGTTGGAGCTTTGAATGTCCAGACACTGTTTCAAATAGGGCCAAAAGCTTCCTTAGCTAAGATTTCAGAATCGAGTGCCGCTGATGTATACTGCGTCTCAGAAATGCTCATACAGGATCCAAGTACAGTTAGTAAACTGACTTCAACTTGTAGAAATAGTGAACCAAACGGTTTACCCTCTGTGTATCCGGAAGCCCTGCTTCTACTTCCCGTGGTCTCGCTCGTGTATGTACAGAATTGAGTCATAGGGCAGAACTAGCTCTCCTAGAGTGAATCCAGTCAATCAGTCAGTCAATTACAAAGTAGAACTTCGTATGTACGTACATAAGTTTAGGTTGCCTTTGGTTAGCAGATGGGTATCTCGCCTACGCCATAAGTGACGCAACCTGACGAAATCCATTCGAGCCTTCTTTATTCGTGCCGCCTTAAGGTCGAGAAATACTACTTTTGTGGGACGTCTGAAAGTGTTTCTATGTTTTAGGACCTGGCACAGTGTGAAAATGTGGTCTATACAGCCACGTCCGGGTTGAAAACCAACCTGGCCTGAGATTCACGAGCTCTAGTTGTACGTCCGAGCATTATTGAGGCCAATATGTTAAATACTATATTAGTAAAACAAAGTCCTCTGTAACTGTCACAAGAGGACTTTTGTTCTTTCTTGTAGACTGGGACAATCAGTGATTGAGACTAGTTGGATGGGATTACGCTGTCCCCAGATTCTACGTAAGATCTCAGTCAATCTAACTGTTAAAACTGGATCACCATCCTTAAATATCTCAGGGGTAAGCCTGTCAGGCCTTGCCGCTTGTCCTCGGTTCTGAGTTCCAAGGCATCCCCATCAAGTGATTTGATTGGCGCATGTTGTTTTGTATCGAAGAATCTTGCTTTTCCCTTTGTGTATCTTGAGATCTTCTGCTGCTACACTAGTCGTCTTCTCTTGCATTTGTAGTCGCGTGTACGAAAGAAAAGCGAGATTACCTAAGATGTCCAGATCGTCTAGCTGCATCATGACTGCCCACTGTATACCGTACTTCCCTCCAGATGTTGAGATCTTCACAATCCAGCCGATCACCAGGACACATCATAACTCTTCTAAATGAAGACCTTCTAACTACTAGGGCAGAGTTAAAATGGTTTGAATTGTTTTTCGGTTAGTGCTGTTTTAGCGGGTTAGTTTTTCACGGGACGGGGAAAGATGGAAAGACAAAAATGGCATAATCGAATGGAAATCCATGTGCCGAATTGTGTGGAATTTCGTAACAAGTAGCAAAGGTAATGTAATTATCATTATTGTGTCACAACCCTAGAGTACGATCCACACAAGTAAATTGACGTTTTCATTTGCATACACTGGTAAAGCGCACGGTTGCATAGCTCTAGATCATGACAAGATATATCCCCCGAAGTCAGAATAACATCAAACGCAATAAAAATTATAATAGTGGGAACTTACTTAAGATCATCGAAGTTGTGTAAATGTTTGCGCCACTTGCGAATCATCCCGTCCCATGCACGGCGAGAAACTTTACGAAACTTGTTGGGAGTCCGAGGATGATACTTCTGACGCTCAGGTTTCGGAATGCTTAATACATATTCAGCGTAGCGTTCTGTTACTTTGCCCATATCAATGTCTTTTTGCCTTCTTAGCAATTCCATTTGCCTCCTTTCAAGCTCAATAGGTTGCTGTGTTTCCCCCTAAACACAAAAGGTACCAAAAACTATTGTGGGTAATGGCAATTTACGAACAAAAGCAAGGTAGAAGAAATAAGAACTCGGGCAACAGGTACAGCCTTCTGGCCGTGGTAAGTCAACATACTTATCTTAATTTGTGTGCTGTGTTACCAGTGGAGATATTTCTGAGCAGGTTCAACCGGAATTGAAACTTCGAAATTTAGAGGTCGCAACCAAGCTAACAAGTGAAAATAATTACAAATCAGGATAATACGCACGTGTTATTGTATTTAAAAAACACTACCTCACTCGTGATATTTCAGTGCCAAAAAATTGAGCGAAATAAGAAAAAAGTAAGCTACTACATACATGTGACCTAAAATAACGTGAATAAATTGGAATACGCCAGAATACGTACAAGAACTCATCAAGATTATGGATTAATAAGGTGTATATACGTTTATATCCATAAATTTAGTCTAACTTCTGTCTCAAATTCGACTAAGCTACCAGATTGGAATCTGTGATTGCGGTCCTCATTGGTAAGTCTTTGAGTGACATTGTTCAGAATCATGCGCAATAGTGCAGGTGGATTCACTCTTTCTTCTGAATTGCCGTGTCTTGTTTCACTAATTTATATTTTCTCGAATTATATCCCCTATGTCCAATCGTTTTTAAGACTACTAACAATATTATCATCCCTATAAGTCAGGGATTTACCTGAAGTTTCGTTTCGCTGTGATAGCCCGGACTGATATACACAAGCGCCAGATTTTATGTTGTGCATGACTAACTTCCGCCATACTAACTATTAGGCGCACATACGTAACACTTACACTCATAGGGATTCCCGCAAACTAAGGCGAAGTACAGGGAATATGCGGCATCTGGAAGCCGATAATAATGGAATTTACTAATACTAAGATACAGGTAGTTAGGAAATTTGATCGTGCAAGTTTAAGGGATAATTTGGGGTAACAATTATTTCAATTGACAGTAACAGTTCGCACTAAACACCACCTTCTGATATCTTCATGTATTAGCAGGTAATCCATTAGTCATAAGAATGAAAACTAGGATTCACACCTAAATACTGTTATTATTATCGATGTATTTTGTGCTTAGAGAAATTTAAAAATACCACTAAACAAATGACCGGATAAACCTGCCAAAGTACCCGTAGTTTTGCTTTTAAATGTCAGACGTGAGATGAACAAAGCTATACATTGAGTTATCTACTACAATAAATATCATGAAGATAAATATAAACAAACAGTCACCTTTTCTGCCAGTCTTCGCTTTAACTTTTCTTCGTATCGATTGAGATCTTCGTCTGCATCGTCAGACAATAGCATGTCAACTTTCCAGTCTCCTTGAGTGCGATAGCGGTCGAGACGTTCCTGAGCACGCCTGATTTCAATAAGGGGGTCATAGTCTGGGTGGAATTTTCTACGACTTCCAATCTATAGGAGATAAAATTATTACTACACCTACCGAGGATAAAATGCTTCGTGACCTGTTGTGCTCGCAATTTTCTTCTTTAGATCGGTGCCGAGTTCGATATCTAGGTGTTGTTTCACAGTTTCGAACAGGCGTCGACATGCGGAAAGGGGCTGTCGAGCTAGTATTTTGAGTGGATGATCTGCTGAATCTTTCCATGTGGGAAGAACTTTCTGATTTCCGACTACTTCCCCGGTCACTGTGACAAAATTTATCTGCATGACTTAGGATTCATATAAGTCAAATGAAGAACAATACTTTTGAGAGGTCAGTGGGTTGATACGCGAACGCTCTTTATTGATAGCCCCTAAGAAAATAGCATTCTTAACTGGTGCGGATTTCCGCGATCTCCGACGATCTTCCAAAAACGAAGACATCAAGTTGAAATTTTAATAAGGCGGCTAGGTAACGTTATTTAGGATACCGCCCACGTACGATATCCAATATCCAATATCTTTTTCACGAGCTAGTGTAAACCAATTTGATTTTTTCGCGCTCGATTCTTGTTCCTGCGGTACGGTTCCAGGTGTTCGGTAATGTTCAATGGATGGAGGTCTAGCCACTCGACTGTCTAATTCTAGTCAGTTGGCAGTTGGTTGTGAGTTTGTATGTCTCGGGATTTGAATGAAACGTTTGTTTCAGGGCAGTAGGGTTTCTGGATACTAGCAGCCGTCACATTACCAAACCGGAGATCAGTTAGTTGCAATGTGGAAAATAATAAGGGTAATAAGGGTAAATTAAAATGATAATATGAGTAAAATTTCAGAACTGAGTAATATATAGATGAATTTAGTTTATTAATTGGTAGTGAAGATTGTGAGAGAGGACCGAAGTGTAAGCAAGGGAGAGGAATAGGCGATAGATTAATTAAGTGATCTGAGGAGATGGCAATGGTAACAACTAGCAGGTCTCAAGATATGCATCAGGCACAGCTTGTCCAAGAGGGAGATGATAGTCCGCATGTGAGTACGTGATTATCAAGTCTCTTCTTAAAGCATTCCACTGAGGGGGCTGTAACTACCTCGGCTGGGAGAGCATTCCAAGTTGCGACGACTCGCAATGATAAAAAGTGTGCACGAATCTGAGTATTTGCTCTTTGATGTGCAATATTTTGAGGATTGCCTCGAGGGAAGTGGTGGTGATGCATCGGTAAGATGCTCACATTGGGATGGTTTGGCGTGTTTAATATGGTGTACGCCATAATCAGGTCACCTCTGATTCTCCTGTACTTCATTATACGGTGATAATATTTATGCTTTATGACCAGCCACAAACTAGTATCCTTATCTAAAATTTTCGACTAATCGAAGATTGTTAGTCCCACTAGATACTCAATTCAGGGTACATAATAATTGTACATTGTTTTGGCGAGGTGATACAAACGGTACTCATTTTTATCTTCTAAAATATTCAAAGGCTATCTTAAAAACACTTAATCTCCCCAGGTATCCACAATACTGGCAAAAGATCCAAATCTGTCACTAAAACGCCTGACATACAAGTGAGTAAACACGCTGATTGGTCCATGTCATACTTCAGTTTACAACTCCTACAGTTGGATGGCAGTCATTGGATCAAATCATACGACAAAATGAGCATCAGCTCTTCGCTGTATTAGCTCTCGCACAACTTCCATCGCTCAGTCGGTGGTGTTAATATTATCAAACAAGTGGTCAAAAATTTTTAAGTTAGAGGTTTTTTTTCTTGTTGCCGCTAATTTCAGGTTACTCCATTCTTCTTTAACGGCCATCCCAAATCTCCTTCTGTTGTCGCCGCTGAAGGGAAATTCGCCGTTTCTCGTGTTTTTGGAAGAAATATTCAATTAAAAGGAATGTGGTCATAAATGAACAGCAACGCCGAACTCAACAGCTGTTCCAGAACAAAATACGTAGCATAGGATAAGGGGTAGTTCATTTCCCCTGCTTTCGAGCTTGAAGCGATTAAGATAATGTGGTATTAGGAGCCCAGTTACCTGCATCAGTGTTCGGTGGAACAGCCAACACTGTGAGATCCAAAGTATATTTTCTCGATATTTTAGATGCTCAGAAATGCATGAACTAAGTTTGATACTTGATGCGAGATGACACGTCGCACGGCCTTCCCAAAAGAGATCTGGTGGGGAAGTGTGACCGAGTGCCTTCAGTGGTGGTATGTCTAGCATCATTTTCGAAGGCTAACAGAATTATTTATTTTGCAGTAAACTAGCTCACTTCCTCTTATTGGTGACCAGCCAGAAGTTCGAATTCATCGTGCATGACGTCGGTATACACTCTTAGAGCATGGGGAATCGTTCTATCAAACGGTTAGCTCGCAGATGGTAGGCAGTTGTCCAGAATCATATGATTCGTATGAGTGCAGTAAGACGGCAGACAAGTTCAATTTCGGCCTGGCAGAAACTGTCTATAGTAATGATTGAATGGCAGACGAAATTAGTTACCCATCGTTCGATGTCGTTGCCAGCCACCGTGTCGGTAGTAATATCCTTCATTGGTACTGTTTCTAGCTATCAAGAGGTAAGAGTGTAGATTTGAACCCTGTGACGGTCATATAAAGTCATAATGAACGAGCTTGAAACAAGAATCAGCATTTGAGATAGTATCCAATGGAAATATTTTTTGCCTAATTACCTTAAACTTACACGGGATTTTGTCCATTCCTTCATGCATTTTTCGTCCCAGACCTTTGAACTCGTTCGCCTATCAGTATGGTGGTTTCTCCGGCACCTGAATGAGAATGTTTGTGATATATATCGAAAACATTGCACCAATGATGTTCCGGCACGATTAGACGATCCCCGTCTGTATATGTGTCACAAAGTAAAGTTTCCTCATCTGCTTCCGCCTGTTTGATTCGATGGTAACTCGTGCAGAAGATCAGTGCTTTTTTCTGAATTGAGCGACTTTATAAAGTCAGTACCTTGGAAAATTTACAAAAATGTTTAAGGAGACAAGGCGTCTGGAACAAAATTGCTTGTCCCAGAGATATGTTGTTCATCTGGAGTAAATTGCTCGATCTAGTCCAGTTGTTGAGACACTTTAGGAGAGTACTTGTCTGAAATCAAGCTGATGGGAAACTTAACTTGGAAAAGTAACTTTAATATCGTTTATTAGTTACATGCTGCTATATCATAAGAAGCCATAAGCAAATAAAATTTTCTTCCCTTCAGACTGTCAAGTCAAAGCCCGCTTTGGATTGAACAAGACTTTTTAACACCCATTCTTTTGTGAGTTCTCTATTGCCTATAATCTGTTTCACTGTTTTTACGAAGTAACCTATTGAATTTTCATTGGTTCCATCTGGTTATCCACTGCCCCATCTATAACTATAATATTCCTACGCACTCTCGCTTACTTTACTAAATATCTGCCACTACATCCCAAATGTTTATAGTTTGTTTGAAAACCCCTACTCTTTTTTCCATAACAGTTAACTGTACTGTACTGATGCCTAGCTCTTAGTTCATATGATGTAACCTTCTCAACTGGCGGTGAAATATATAGCCTTGAGGAGAACATAACGTATTTATTTTACCATCATTTTAAATAGTCCTAAACAAAAAAAGGATGGAGGGTGGATTTCTGACCGGCAAACATTGATAAGAAGGGCGATGACTTCAGTCCACCCAAGTTTGTGCGGTAGAACATCTTGTTTGCTTCTGGCCGTTTTGATAGAGGATGAGGCGAATAATCGGTGATGTTAAGGTTGTTATTATACGCTTGCTACTTCTCAGGACTCATTATTGCCACAATATCCTGGAATCTTTATTTTGCCAATACAACCTGCAAGATACTTAATCAGGCACTTAGAGTATGACTTACAGCTTGGCATTTATGTAACAAAGATACAATTACCAATGTTCTTCACAAAATTTCACTCTTCTTCCTGAAATTTCGGTTTCATATCCAGCTTGTTGCTTCCAAATTCTCTTATATTCACCTGGACACACATCACAACCGATTGTTTTTTATCGCTGTACTCTGAAAACTGAAGACTGCAATTTAATACTTTATTTTTGATTTTAGTGATGACTGTAAGTTTTTTCTTGAATTATTATCGTTTAGTCCTACTTGCTCACGAAATAGTTAAGAGACGCTCTGGTTATATATACATTTGCCTGCTTGCTCTTTTTTCTGTATTCTGTCTTTTGTCCGTTCTTGGAACCCTGTCAACAGTACAAGGGACCAAGGTGCTTCTACGTAAAATTTACCTTACGCGCAACATCTTGGTCACAACTTATGTCAGGCGCCTTACAATCGACACTTCCTAATAAATTCATTCCCAAATTATGTACACCACCCAAGACTGACGCTTTGTACCTACCCTATTTTGCAGTCACTTGCTTTAAATGTGACTGTATCTATCTGTCAGACCTTTCACAGTAAATGTGGTAGCATCGGTATCAATTTGATCTTGCCTGTTAACTGGTATGCCTCATGTAACAATATTATTTGAGAATAAATTATTTTTATTGTCTCCATAGGATGTACATTTATCAAGGTTTTAAACAGGCCTTAGTAGGTGGCTAGTATGAATATTGTGTGACTTGTTAATCACAGTATTTAAAGAACCTTCTGTAACTTATTTTTTCTGAGCAGTTGTAACTCACAAAGTTGGGATCTAGATCCAGCATGTTATGGAATCTTTAATTTACTTAGTCTTAAGAACTGAATATTAGGTTTGTGGAGATGCATTCCTTGGTCCACTGATGATTCTCCTTGTATTAACAGTAGGAGCTCATTTGTAAGTAAAGTAAACTGTGGACAATACTTGACGAATATATCAAGTCTGATGTTATTAGATGGCCTAATGTGTTATTCATTTTATATTTTGTATCGGAAGCTAGAGGCATGTCAGAAACAAATAAAATGAACATACTCCCTCCTAACCATTAGGACAGTTCATGCCGCAAATGATGCAGAGAGCCAAGTATGAGTCATTCTATTGTTTGCAATGCGGCATTTATATCATATACTATATCGGTTTATCGATTGTTTCGCGTGGTAAAACATCCTATTCGCGTAAAAAAGAATGTAGGATGTCACCGTTGAGGTCATCATCGACCAGACTTCTTGTAAAGCGCCT